TGGATGAGTCGCTGACCTACCAGCAGTTCCTGGCCCAAGTGGAGGAGGAGGAGGCCTGGATCACCGAGAAGCAGCAGTTGCTTTCGGTTGAGGACTATGGCGACTCGATGGCCGCCGTTCAGGGTCTGCTGAAGAAGCACGACGCCTTCGAGACGGACTTTACCGCCCACAAGGATCGCTGCTCCTTGATTTGCGACCAGGGCAGCGAGCTGGTGGAGGCCAAGAACCACCATGGCGAGTCCATTGCCCAGCGCTGCCAGCAGCTGAAGCTGAAGCTGGACAACCTTTCGGCTTTGGCCGCCCGTCGCAAGGGCGCCCTGCTGGACAACTCTGCTTACTTGCAGTTCATGTGGAAGGCCGATGTGGTGGAGAGCTGGATCGACGACAAGGAGAACTATGTGCGCTCCGATGAGTTCGGGCGGGATCTGTCCACCGTGCAGACGCTGTTGACCAAGCAGGAGACATTCGATGCAGGTGGGTGTGAATGGGTTATTAATAATAATATAATAACTTATTATACAATGAATTATTTTGAATTTTCTTGTTTTATGCGAATGAATTAATTAGAATTTTTAGTTTAAAGAATTTAATGAACTTTAGTTTTGAGTTCAATAGAATTTAATGAATTAAATTCAATGAATTATTTTGAATTTTCTTGAATTGAAATAATTTTATGAATGAATTTATCAATTTTCTTGTTTTATGTGAATGAATTAATTAGAATTTTTGGTTTAAAGAATTGAATGAATTTTAATGTTAAGTTTAATAGAATTGAATTTTGAGTTTAATAGAATTGAATGAATTTAATTCAATGAATTATTATGAATTTTTATTAAATTTAATTAATAGGAGTTTTGAGTTTAATAGGATTGAATGAATTTTATTAAATGAATTATTTTTAATTTTATTTGTTTTATGTGAATGAAATAATTTCAATTTTTAGTTTAATAGAATTAGTTTAGTTTGAGCTTAGAAATTAGAACATCATTTAATTCACTTCACATAGAATTAAATTAAATAAATCAAAAATAGCCAAGAAACGATACAGAAAAAATTGAATGATTCCCGCATTGCTCTAGATATAATCTAGTTCACTTATTAATTTATAAATCTTTCCCATTCAGGTCTCAATGCCTTCGAGCAGGAGGGCATCCACAACATCACCGCACTGAAGGACCAACTGATCAACGCCAGCCACGCCCAATCGCCGGCCATTCTGAAGCGCCATGGCGACGTGATTGCCAGGTGGCAGAAGCTGCGCGATGCCAGCGATACCCGCAAACAGCGACTGCTGGCCATGCAGGAGCAGTTCCGCCAGATCGAGGAACTCTACTTGACATTTGCCAAGAAAGCTTCGGCCTTCAATTCTTGGTTCGAAAATGCCGAGGAGGATCTCACAGATCCTGTTCGCTGCAATTCGATCGAAGAAATCCGCGCCCTGCGCGACGCCCATGCCCAATTCCAGGCGTCCCTCTCGTCGGCCGAAGCTGATTTCAAGGCATTGGCAGCACTCGACCAGAAGATCAAGAGCTTTAATGTTGGACCCAATCCCTACACGTGGTTCACCATGGAAGCTCTTGAGGAGACCTGGCGTAACCTGCAAAAGATCATAGAGGAACGCGATGGCGAACTTGCCAAGGAGGCCAAGCGGCAGGAGGAGAACGACAAGCTGCGCAAGGAGTTCGCCAAGCACGCCAATCTCTTCCACCAGTGGCTCACAGAGACCAGGTTAGTTGGGGTTGGGTTAGGGTTATTTACGGGGGTTTACTGTGTCGGTTTTCTCGGATCAAACACCCATCCATCCAATCCAATCCACACGAATCCGAAAACAAGTCTTGTGGTCTTGTGAAATACTACGTAACTGAAAGATCCATTCTATATTTTCTAGATATTATATGCTGGGTTATAACCGTCAAGGGTAATTCTGCGTTTCGAACTCTTGTTATTTTCTGTTGTGATCTTTTTTGGTTCCTCTTAACTCGCGTTGGAGCCCCGCTGCGCCTCCACTAACCTTTGGGAGTAACTCTCTTGCTTTGGCACCTCGTGCGCCGAGGGCCTGTAAATAAAATACTATCCACACTGATAAGATCGAGCAATAACTAAGGCCTAGTTTTAGTTAGTTGCATTAGCGAGAGCACCACCGATCCCGACCCACCCGATATGTCAACTAGATATATCAACGTGCTCCATTATTCCTCTGGTCTCTCACCTCAACTTACTCCAAAATTAACGAACAACTAAACTCTTTAGCATGCAAATCGAGAGCATATAGAACAAAAATACGTAGAAATCGAGCAATTTAAATTATTATCATATTTCTTCTGTTCAATCGAAGAGTGTTTAACCAAAATCTAGTAGCTTTTTCCAATTTAAACGTTCCGTTTGGCGCTATTCTTATTTTTAACTCGCTTCCTAGAAATTAGACAACTTTCGTCTTTATTTGTTGCTGACAAACTCAAAAAGAAAACAATCTTAACTACACTAAACCCAAAGAACTCGCGTCCCGCCAAAAAAATAAATTCCCACAGACACCTGTAAATATAAACAAAAAAACAATGGGAAGACAAACTAGTTGCAAGCCCGAAAAATCCAGAAAATAATATTCGCTGCCCGTAACAGACCTCTAACAAGATTTGCTTTTCTTATATGCATTATATCATTGTAACGTTCCAAATTTGTTTGAGACCTAATCACTCGATATTGTCTGCCCTACTAACGAATGCTTGTATTTCAACCGCCAATTCTCAACCACGCACATCGCAAATCCCACAGAACGTCCATGATGGAAGGCTCCGGTTCTTTGGAACAGCAACTGGAGGCGCTTCGCGTCAAGGCCACCGAGGTGCGTGCCCGTCGCGTCGATCTCAAGAAGATCGAGGAGCTGGGCGCTTTGCTGGAGGAGCATCTGATCCTGGACAATCGCTACACGGAACACTCGACAGTGGGCTTGGCCCAGCAGTGGGATCAGCTCGACCAGCTCTCCATGCGCATGCAGCACAATCTGGAGCAGCAGATCCAGGCACGCAATCACTCTGGAGTATCTGAGGATTCCCTCAAGGAGTTCTCGATGATGTTCAAGCACTTCGACAAGGACAAGAGCGGCAAGCTGAATCACCAGGAGTTCAAGTCCTGCCTGCGCGCCCTCGGCTACGACCTGCCCATGGTGGAGGAGGGCCAACCCGACCCGGAATTCGAGGCCATCCTCGATGTGGTCGATCCCAACCGCGATGGCTACGTCTCCCTGCAGGAATACATTGCGTTCATGATCTCCAAAGAGACGGAGAACGTGCAGTCCTACGAGGAGATCGAGAATGCCTTCCGCGCCATCACCGCCGCCGACCGTCCCTACGTCACCAAGGAGGAGCTCTACTGCGTAAGTATATTTATACCCGTTACTCGTAGAGTAAAAGGTCTGTCTGTCTGTCCGTATGAACGCTGAGATATCGAAAACTACAAAAGCTAGAAAGTTGGGATTACCCACACATATTCTTGGGCTTCCTACGCAGCGCAAGTTTATTTCAGCTGAGTGCCACGCCCAAAATCGCCCACTAACGATTTTAAAATTTGTCTGGCGCCTACACCTTTAAAGATTCGCGAGAAGTATAAATGCAATTTTGTTGTGTATATTTATATCTCTCGAAATGTAGAAGACATTTTTCAAATCGGACTATTCATTAAAAAGTTATGCGCAATCAAAATTGTATATATCCATCTCCCTCGCACTCCTTTTAGCTGAGTGGCGGGTATTAGATAGTCGGGACACCCACCCGACTATAGCGTTCTCTCTTGTTTTTACCTTAGTATGAACCATTCCTAACATTTCGCCTTTTACAGAACCTCACCAAGGACATGGCGGACTACTGCGTGCAGCGCATGAAACCCTTCTCCGAACCGCGCTCCGGCCAGCCCATCAAGGATGCCCTGGACTACATAGACTTTACGCGAACGCTGTTCCAGAACTAAGGAGAACTTGTTTAGTGGCGCGCCTGAGCATATGTCTTACAATTTAAAGTATATTTCTAAAAACCAACAAAACCACAAAAAAAAACAAAGCAAACAATATATATTTACACCATTATTTTCGATAATTTAGTCTCTAAGTCAAACAGTTTAATGCTTATTTAAGAACCTATGCCACAATGAACCTAAAATCAACAATAGCACCTTGCAATACATATATTTATCAATCAACATGATAGTTTTTGCATTTATTTCAAGATCACAGTCCCCATGAAAGTATCTAAAATTTGGACGTTTCAGTTTGGTGGTCAGGTGGCCGGAGAAGATATTTAATCGAGGATATAGTCAACGTAAACTGAGCAACTTGCGCCTGAACAGCAGATGATATACAGCTTAGCTTCCAGTAATCGAGCAACTCACATTTTCCATATTGAATGTCTGTAACTTGTAACGAACATAGAGATACAATTGAAATATCAAAAAGTTTAAGATACTCTTGCTACCCAAAAAAAATACATAATATTCAGCCTCCAGCCTTGTGTTTTCTCCAGTTTCTACGTGTATTCGAAACGAAAGTAGTAAACTTTTTCAAAAATAAAAATAAAAAACCAAAAAAAAAGAACGAAGAAAAACAAAACAATAAAATTTGCCTCTGTATTGAACGTATATTTACAATCCGTGAATTGCAAAAATAAATATATTGCTCCATGTCTAATAATGTTAAAAGAGTGGAGTGTTTTTATTGTTATATGATGGGAAATTATGTTATTTTCATATAATTTATATTTGGTCTATTTTTTGACATTCTCGTAATAAAAAATTGTATTAATTGAAACTTTATATTAAAATGGAACATCCCTAAATATTTACTTATTAATTCCCAATTAATCTTTATTAATATATTAATTACAAATATTGATAGTTTCCAATTAAAAAAAAATTTTTTTAAGTATTGGTTCCATATTTTTAAAAAAGATCTGATTTGTATAATTGATATTGATCCTATCTCAACAGTTTTATCCCAGATAAAAGTCTTTAAATAGCTAATCCCCTGGACTTTTCAGCCCAAGTAGCATCTATATTTATTCATTAGATATCAAAACAGATTTAACAATTACGATTACAACAAGAACTTGTTAACGCTTTCCGCATAGGCGGCATTCGTGAGCTTTCCGTTTAGAGCCTCCTTGGGCAGCCACTCGAACTTGGCCACCTTCTCCTCCACCTGACCAGATCGCAGGGATGCCCGGTAGAAGAAGACCTTGGCTCCAACGCTCTCCGTTCGCTGATTGCTAGGATACTTGTACTTGTGGAAGCCCACGGGCGCATTGCCGTAGAAGAGCACCTGCAGCTCCTGGCCGCAACGCTCGCGGAGCACCCGCTCCGCCGTCTGGCGCATGGATTCGCCCTCCTCCCGCTTTCCCTGCGGCAGGACGAGGTGCTCCTGCTGTCCCAGCTTCTGCTGGACGAGAAGATAGAGTGTGTCCTCCAGGCAGCGATCCGTGGAGCTGGTCTTCCCAGCCTGATCATCGGGCGTGGTGCGCTCGCCCAGCTGAAACTTCTTCAGCTCCTCGATGTAGGCATCCTTGCGATCCTGCGCCGTCTGCTTGGAGCCGCTGTCCTCCATGTCCACCTGCATCTTGCCCTTCTTGATCAGCTCCGCCTGGACAATCTCGCGCTCGTGCTTCAGCTCGTGGTCGGACTTCAGGCTGTTCTCGTACTCCACGCGCCACAACATGTCCTGGAACTGTTTCTCGAGGGGATTCAGCGACTTTGAGACCACAGGCAGGCGCTCCACCAGCACGCCGGCGTACAGATCCCACTTCTCCGCGGCGGTGGCGGCGGAGGATTGGCTGCGGCTCAGCTCCCGGGCACCCACTTGGACAAGGCGACGCAGCATTTTCACCAATTTAATTGAAATCTTAAGGGAAAATAGAAAATCCTCAAATCCACACCGATTACATGAGCAGCGTAACCGTATCAGCTGTTCGGCGAGTGTTATCGCTATCGTTATCGGAGCGACGCGCTTGCTATCGTTTTGCCATTTTCGTATTTATTTTCATCCGCTGGACGCAGAAGCTCTAAAAGATTAGCCAAAAATGTCCGGACTGGAGTCCTACATCAACCACACAGTGTCCATCATCACGGCGGACGGGCGGAACTTCATTGGGACCCTCAAGGGCTTCGACCAGACCATCAACATCATCATCGACGAGTGCCATGAGCGGGTTTTCTCCACGAGCTCTGGGATTGAGCAGATCGTCCTGGGGCTGCACATCATCCGCGGGGACAACATCGCGGTGATCGGACTGATAGACGAGACCATCGACTCCCGCCTGGATCTGGCCAATATCCGGGGCGAACCTCTTGGACCCGTGGTGCACTAGGATAGCGAATAAAACCAGTGATTCTCAAGACTTAACAAGGGGTTTATTAATGATTCTTATTCTGTATCCACGCTGAAGTTGACCTGGCGGCAGTCCAGGGTGTCCAGGTCCACCACGGCCACGCTCTGCGTCCGGCTGAAGCTGGGCACGCACACCAGGCGCGTGCGTTTCTTCTTAGAGGAATCCTCATGAAGCTCCGTGGCAAAGGACTCGCAGTTGCCGGCGAAATACACATGCGGACACTCGCGCAGGATGAAGGGATCGCTGTCGATGTAGGGATAGCAGGCCAGAGTGTCCGGCGCAGTGGGCGCAATGTGGCCCCAGGTGAGGGTGCATCGTAAAGCCTCCAGCGGAGATTCCAGCGAGGTGCTGCGCAGCAGATCGGATACATTCTGGCCAGAGGTTCCTATTACCAAAGCCTCGTCCAGCCGGCAGTTGTAGGGATTGATCACCGCCTGGAAGGAGGCCAACTGAGCGGCCTGGGGGAACATGCACTTGTGGAAGGGCTGCTGGGGCAGCATAAAGTTGGCTGGGTCATAGGCTCCCGGCATTACATCCACTGGTAAACTCCTTGCCCACGAGGCAAACCACTGATCCAATTGGGTCACAGCCTGGACGGTATCGTTGGCATTCGCCTGGGTGCGGGCCACCTGGAGCGTGGGCACATGGGCCACTGCACTCGCTCGCACGGAGTTCCCAGCCACTATCAAACGCACCATGGAGCCTGCCTCCTTGGCGTTGCCCAGACTCCCAGCCAGCCAGTACTGGAAGAGATTAAGGGCCTCCACAAAGTTGTGGGCCTGCAGTTGGTCCAATCCCGAAGCGAGCACTAGGAGGCGGCTCCTCTTAGTCATGGCCAATGGCTTCTGCGGGCCACTTTCGTAGAAGAGCATGTCTTTTACATTGAAGAATCCCTCGCTGTCGGTGCCTCCGAGGGCGGCGCACACAACGCCGGTGGCCAGGAGCTCGGGCTTCAGTTCGCCTTGGAGACGCACCCGCTGCAGCTCGTCCTCCAGCACAATCTTGTCCTCCGGCTCCGAGTAATTCTGTCGCGGCGGCTGTGGAGCCAACTGGTTCTCCTCGGAAATGTCACGCAGAATGCTGGGTTTGTGGGCCTGGTGCTTGAAGATGGTGCCAATCAGGATGCAGTGGACGTCCTGTTCGCCGCGCAGCTCGCACAGCTTCTTGATGGGCTCCTTGCTGCCCCACTTTTTCTGGGCCAGCGGCGTCAGGAGGCGCGTCATCTCGGCCAGGCGGTGAGCATACAGGTGGCAGAACTGCTTCTGGTAATCGTGTCCCTTGAGCCGGAAGATGCTGCTCAGGTTCTCGTACTTGGTCTCTAGGCGGTTGCTCATGTTTCCAGCTGTATTTTGATCTAGGAACTCGGGATCCTCTCAAGACGCTTGTTTCTTTTTGGGCGCCAATTTGTTACAGTGAAGATTGGCTAAGGAGAACCAGTAATCTTAAACAACGAGTGTAATTTGGTATAAAACTTCTTCAAAAAAATTAAATTTGTAATATTTTTAATTTAGTTTATAATGATACTTTTTTTCGTAGCAAAAAATATAATTTCAATATTTAAATTTGTTCCTTATGTAATTTATTTAATTGTATATCCCAGCGCTCCAAGTGCACCCTTTTAACTATCGGGCTAGTAACCATGAGTTGATATTTTTAACTTATTATTATTTTTAAAATATTGAAGCAATTTACCTCATTTACCTAATTACTAACATTATTTTTTATTGTTTTTTTAAGGTAAAAAATAGGCTGTTTTTAAATTCATAATTCTATATTTCTAATTTGTTTCAATGTTCATTTTTAAATAATTATTTTTATATCATAATTAATAATATTAATTTATACATTAGTTATTATGTAGTACTCACTGTACCTCCACCGCCTATCGATATCCGATATTCCTGCCCACACACCCTGGCTCAGCTGTTAGCTATCGAAAAGAAGAAGAAGCAGAGCTGCAAAGAGCGAAAAGTTTTTGTAATTGGAATTAAACCCATTTAACGCCCGGATGCGATGAATTTAGCCTGCAAACGGAGCACAGGGATGTGGAATCTCGCGACTGAAGCCACCGGAGCAGCCTCTCGCCAGCCAGCCGTCGTCCAGTGCTGATTTGGGCGAATGTTTCAGTGCTCTTATTGATTTTTACGGTTTCGTTTCGGAAGTGATACGCATTTGGCTCTGGCCCGATCTTCCCCGGAAACTGCGCCGCAGGAGGATAGAGGATGCCAGTGAGGTGCTAGACGGAGGGGATAGAAGCCATTGCGAGCCATGGGCGGCTCCGTAAGCCAGGTGTTCCGCTCCGGATCGGCGCTACTCTCGCATCGCGACGGCAAGCTGTCCAAGGCCACCGAGGAGACGATCCAGACGCTCTTCGACATCCTGCGCGCCAACCCAAAGGTCTCGCTGCAGACGCTCGAGAGCCTGCTCATCCAGATCCCGAAGAATGAGAACATCCTGGCCATGCACGACGACCACGGCTACAATATCCTGCAGCGCAGCGTTGGCCTCAATCACATCGATCTCACCAAGTGGCTGCTGCACCGCCACCGTCCGGATGTCAACCGCTCGCCCTGCTCCCTGCCCCTGCACATCGCCACGCTGCGTGGCTACGAGGAGTGCGTGGAGCTGCTCCTGCGCCACGGCGCCCGCATCGACGTGGACACCAGGATGTGCTTTCCCGGCGCCCATACGCGCAACTGCGAGGAGAGCGGCAAGTGGCATAATAATGTGGACGACGTTAGCGAGCGACTGAACACCAAGCTGCAGAACGCCCTCTACTACGCCATCGACGGGGATCAGTATAATGTGTTGAGCCTGCTCACCCAGAAGATGGAGGAGCCGTGGATTCCGTTCAGGGTCAAGAAGCCGCTGCTGCACTTGGCCTGCGAACGCGGCGCCTGGAATTGCGTTCAGCAGTTGGTGGTCACGCGTTCGGAGGAGATCAATCTCATCATGGACGAGTATTACCCGATTCATCATGCTGTGCTCCATGATGGACGCTTCCTGGAGCTACTCATTCATCAGGGAGCCATTACCACAGTAAGGACGTGCACCCAGCAGATGACCCTGCTGCATGTTGGTGAGTTTTTACTATCTGAGAAGAGATATTGAAAGGGAAATAACTTATTATTATTCCTTAGTTATCTTTGCCGCTCGCAAATCCGCTGACGACACGCTGGCCACGCTGCGCATCCTGCTGGAACGTGGCTGCAAGGAGCTAATCAATGCGCCGGATTCACTGGGCAACACTCCTCTGCACGCCTTGATTGTTCGCTATGCCCTGGAGGAAGCTCGCTACGGCTACGATAAGTGGAGCAAGTGGGATGTCCTGCACCTGGTTAGATTCCTTTTGCAAAACGGTGCAAAGCAGTCGATCAATCAGGCGGGAAACAGTGCCATGGCCTGTGTGTTTCGACATTTAAGAGACTGGGAGGTCTGCTACGAGCTGCTCAACATGCTGATCAAGGAGAATGGCGATCCCAACATCGTGGGAAGAGATGGATCTGTGCCCATTATGGTTCTGCTAGTGCCGCTAATTAATAAGGATCACCTGCATCATTTCACGCACTCCATGAAGGTCGGAAAATTCGATTTAACTTGTTGTTTCTCAAACTAAATCCTAATTATCAATAGGTCTGCTATCTAAACTGCATCCGCATGCTGCTGCAGCACGGGGCCAATCCCAATTGCTCCTACCGCGCCAACCTAAAGCCGCTGCACGTGCTCGTGTTCACGGTGAGCGAGAACTTTACGCTCAACTGCGACACCCAGAAGCGCACCAACTTCGACTTCATCAAGAACATCCTGCTGATGCTACTGCAGCATGGCCTGGACTGCAATAAAACATATCAGCACATTCTACAGGCGGTTATGGACATGGTCCATAATGTGCGAACCTGCCACGACATGGAGTGTGTCTACGAACTGACCCTGACGCTCATCCAGTACGGGGCCGATCCCAATATAGTGCTCAGTGGAAAGACGACGCCTGGGACTGCGATCTTCTCCAACGAGCTGGCCACCTTCCGCAGCTCTTTCCGCACCAACTCGTGCTACTTGCTCTTCTACTACATCATCCTGATCACCAAGAAGGAGTTTATCCTGAACGATCCCCAGGCGACCTACACGAGGGTGATACACCTTTTCTACCTGACCATGAATCACGAGCCGCTTTTCAATTGCCTGAAGGCGCTGCACAACTTCTATGTGGCCCAGGTGCCCAGCAAGAAGACGGAGCAGCTGATAGCCCTGATCTCGTCGCTCTATCGTCGGCCGCGCAGTCTGAAGCAGCTTTCCCGCTGGGCGATTTACGAAGCAATGAACCGAAAGCTGGCCCAGAACATCAACCGTCTGAATCTGCCTGGCCAGCTCAAGGACTATGTGCTGCAGTTCGAGGAGAGGTAGCGAGTGGAGCGGCCCCAGGACCAATGAATCCCAACCGCAGCGAACTAGAGTCAATCACTAGTAATGTTTAATATGCATATTCGTATGTAGTTACGCAATAATTACGAACTATCAGGACTGTAGCTAAAAGATTATGGAATTTACTTTGATATCATCTGATTACAACCAGTCCTCGTATGATATGGAAACGCTTAAACGTACCTACACACAACACAAAATACACACACGAGAAGCCAATTTAAATATTGTCAAATCAAACACGTGCAATTTCTTTGATACGAATCTATTGATACAACTATTGTGAGGGAGGAACGCTCATCTATGTTTTGTAATTCTATACGTACAACTTTTGTGAACTGTAATGCGCTTTACACTATACAAGCACAAACCGCACCTTCCTTTCACCTTCTACCCTTCCAAAAACCCAAACCTCTCATGCTGCATAAGTTATAGGACATAAACTTAAGGCTGTTTTTTGACAAACATTTCGGGTGTTTTAGAATTTTGTATATTCGAACGCAATCGAGGGAGAGCGAGACGTTATGTAATTATTATTGTAACTATTATTATTGTTGCTAAACCGTTGTTAATCTCTGTATCTTATAATGTCATTTTCAATCGAATTGATAACGCTATCGATCAATAAATAAACATAAACTTTCACATGGCTAATAGTACTCCTCCAAGGTCATCAAACCGGCGGTAATACCGGAAACAAATAACCTCCTCCCCCAGGGAAACAAACAAAATAAACAATAACCATCGAAGCATTGGAAAACTTTCTGGAATCCCTGCCCGACATTCCGCGTGCGCCCAATCCAGAACGAGGTGAACGTCATTATACCCGTTACTCGTAGAGTAAAAGGGTATATTGTATTCGTGCAAAAGTATGTAACAGCTAGAAGAAAGCTTTTCCGACCCTATAAAGTATATATATTCTTGATCAGGGTCACTAGCCGAGTCGATATAGCCATGTCCGTCTGTCTGTCTGTCCGTATGAATGCTGAGATCTCGGAAACTATAAAAGCTAGAGGACTGACATTTTGCATACAGATTTTAGGAGTTCCTACGCAGCGCAAGTTTATTTCAAAATCGTACCACGCCCCCTCTAACGCCCACAATAGCTTATATACAATTTTAAAAATTTCAATATTTTGGAAAAGTAAAAATGCAGTTTTATTGTGTTTATTAATATCTATCGAAATGTAGAAAAAATTTTTTAAATCGGACCATCCGTTAAAAAGTTACGGCGGATCAATGTTTTTATCCCCAACTCCTTCGCACTCCCTTTAGCTGAGTAACGGGTATCTGATAGTCGGGACACCCGACTATAGCGTTCTCTCTTGTTTGGCTTTCGTTTCACGCAACTTTATTTTCCTTAAAGCAAATTGATAATAAGATTTAGTGACGCATAGTAAGCCACCTCTTAAAGTTTCTAGCTACGCCTATGATAGAACAAGAGCAGTCCAGGAAGATCCTTCTTCTACGATCTAAACATAGTAGATAAAACGACTAAAAAAATGAGATATGTTTCATAAAGATCGGTCAACAAATTATTAAATGGCTGTTGACGATACTTCAATTTGTTACATTGGAATCGAATAAGTATTGAAAAGTCCCGTTGCTCGATTCGCCTTGGCCCGCCTCACCCCTCTCTCTCTTTCCTCTTCAGCTGAAACATGAAATTGGAACGATATTGATTAGAACACCGATATTGCAAATGCAACCGAAATTTGAATGTGTGGGATCTCGTTACTTCTATCCAGGGACCGAAAATAATGATTATTTTTTTTGAGTAAAAAATAAAAATCTCCATTTAATGATTATTTTGTAAGCAAAAAAAATATCGCTCAGAAATAATGATTATTTCGTGAGCGATATATTTCGTTCAAAAATATCACTCAAAGTGGGATTGCATCCGTCCTACGCGGAATTTTACAAAGATTTAAATGTGCTCTTGTAGGTAGAATCACGGAGCACATATTCCGTTAAGAAAAAAATTAATTTTCTTTGTATAAACCGCTTAAAAAAACAAAAAAAAATCTTTTTGTATAAAAACACTTTCTGTGGGAATCGAACTCGTGCTTACAGCTCGGTGGACCAATACACTAACACTAACGTTTTAAAAAGTTTATACAAAGAAATCACCTTCTTTTATTAACTCGATGTGTGCTCCGTGGTTCTACCTACAAGCAGAAATTTAAAAGTTTGTAAAATTCCGTACAGAACGGCTGTAATCCCACTTTGAGTGATATTTTTAAGCGAAATAATATCGCTCACATAATAATCATTATTTCTGAGCGATATTTTTTTCGCTTACAAAATAATCATTAAATGGAGATTTTTATTTTTTCACTTTTCTATCGAGACTTTTAAGGCGAGAGAATTTAAAGCGCGTTTTGAAATCAAAGTAAAATAATGACATCCGATATTTCTAATACGCTCAGGACGTACGCGGATCTCTTCGAAAAGCCGCCATTCGACGGATCGCGCGCGGCAAGCCGGTTGGCAATGGCCCAAATACTTTTCCTTTTCGCGGAGCAGCTACTGCTACAAGAGGAGGAGGCTGCACGCCAGGAGCAGCAGTATTTTGTGGAGCATGGGGACGAAGGCCATCAGGACCTAGCCATTCTAGCTAATCAAATGGAAGACATTTCCGACACTGGTGCCGGTGCAGGACCGGATGCCATATCATCGATTCCGTCGAAAACAGACGCGCTGTCGGCGGATTCCGCCGACCAATACGCCAGCTACCGGCATCAGTGCACTAACTGTTCTCAAACATTCAGGAGCATAAACCAGAGAAATGAACACAGGGCGGGATGCAAGGAAATTAGCTGCGGGAAAACATTTCAGCCGGGCAAATGTATTGATGGGCACATGAAAAATTGCCCACAGAAGAGGCGAAATGCGGAGGAGGCCGAGATGGTGGCCGAGCATGGGAGCCACCAAACGGACCACTTTAGTAAGAGGTTAAAAAGGAATAAAATGGTCAATATGACGGAGTGTAAACACTGTCATGATGGTTTTAAAACTTCTGCAGGATTGATAAGCCATCAAAAGGCTTGCAAACCCAATTCTCGACCGTCACAAGGACCGGTATTCATAACCCCACCACAAGGAGCGATATCCATTTCTGGCCAACCTCGAGATGGTGGGATTTTCATCTGTGGAGGGCCAGCAGGAGGATTGCGCCGAGCTGCTGAGCTTTCTGTTCACCCACTTGTCAGAGGACGTGTCTCGACCGTTCATGTTCTGCAGAACGGAATTAATTACCTGCGATCACTGCCAACGGATCGCCAACGGATCTCCTTATAGAGATTTCATTATATACAGGAATGTCCTGAACACCCTCCAGCTGATGGTTCAAACCATGGATGACTCCGAATCGATTTCGAACCGAACTAAAAGCGGATAGTCATCCGGAAATATTGGTCTTAGTAATAAATAGATTTTCGTTTGATCACTCAAAAAATATGTCTCCTGTCACAATGCAAGATACGGTAAGATGTACAACAATACAATAATTTATGACTTTTTAAAGTAAATATTTTTTTTAGGTGTTCGTAAATTGCAACAGAAATCAAGAATTCTACAGCTTAAATGCTTTGATTATTCATAGTGGCTATAGTTTCACTAATGGTCACTACTTCGCCATTGTCCGGCACATGGACAATCCTAGCCTATGGTACCGGGCGGACGATGAACGGGTGACCGCCATGACGTGTAGATATGTCAGCTCGTTGAACGAGTCTGACACTCCCTACATGGCCTTTTTTATTAAAACGCCGAAAACGGAGCCACCGACGCCGCCTATGCCGCCTGTGGAACTAGAGGAAGTCGCAGACTTGCAGTCCACGTAATGATGTGATTTAAAATCAACAAATTTAATTAAAAGTACAATTACAATTAAAAATTGCAGGCTACCCCTAGTCAGTCGTGCCGCAACGACGTTTAGGGGGGTGCTCGCCACGATGGGGTTTGAGGCAAGTGTGGTGGAAGGTCAATTCGAGGATGAGGATGAGGTGTACCTCGCGGTCTACGAGGTCAGTAGGTTAATCTTGGTAGTCAACGGCTTCGACACATATTGCGGAACGCTCGACCTTGTTGCGAACGCAGCTAATTTCGATGCTTCCTTCTGCATAATGTTCGACGAATTGACAGCAGCCGCGTCGCTCACACAAACGGAGCGAAAGAGACCACCAACGACGCGAGCAGCGCTGCCTAGAGGTGCAGAAACATCGATGGAAACATCGATGCATCGATGTTTTTCCAAATTTTCAAAACATCGATGTTTTTTTGGACCATCGATGTTTTCAAATTATTATAATTATTTTTATTCCAGCAATGTTCAAAAAAAATGGAGCCTTACAAGGAGCTTGCAAAAAAATTTTTGTGTATTCCTGCCACGTCCTGCGAGTCCGAACGAGCTGTTAGCAAGGCAGTCAAATAATTTCCGATCGCCGTACCCGTTTAAAGAGTAGCATCGTAGACCAACTTATGTTCATTAATAAGAATTATGATCTCATTTAATTTTTAAGTTTGTTTTTTATTTTTATTGAGATTTTTTAATTATATTTTAAATTATAAAGTTTTTTTGGAAAACATCGATGTTTCATTCGATGTTTTTTGAAAAACATCGAAAAATATCGATGTCTTCAAACCAGGGAACGAAAATAACTGTTATTGTAAATTTTTCATACAAAAAAATCACGCACTTAAAAGGGTCCTAAAAATTTTTTAAATACACCACAATTTTTATTAGCCATTGTAGTTTACAAATCCGTAATGATTTTTATTTTTTGATTTTTATAATAAAACTCAAAAAATAACTGTTATTTTTTGATTTTTATGAATAACAGTTATTCTATAACAGTTATCCTTGACATTTTTGAAAAAATGAAATAATTAAAAAAAACATGATACCCGTGCTTTTTATAACTTACTAAAAATTTGTTAAAAAAGGCAACCGCGCATATTTTATACCTATATTTTTTTAAAATTTTGTTTACCCACAAAATCGCCATAAATCAAGTTTGAGTTTTATTTTTGATCACGACGAATAACTGTTATTTGTCAACTTTTATTATAAAACTCAAAAAATAACAGTTATTCTTTGAGTTTTACTTTACAAATCAGACAATAACTGTTAAAGTGTGATTTTTAAAATAAAACTTATAACAGTTACGTTCCCTGCTTCAAACATCGATGTTTCTGCACCGCCAAAGTTTCCAGCAGCGCTGTCGCCGAAGTTTCCAGCAGCAAAGGCAGAATTAGGTCCCAGGAATCACGATCAGCAAAAGGGAGGCAGTCGAAAGTATGGATGTCGAAATATTTAAAAATATCGTATCGATGATATTTTTTATTTAAACAAAAAATCAAAATGATATTTGATATATTAGAAAAAAAATATCAGATATTTTTGATATTTTTTTATTTATAATTTTTTTAATTTAATTTAATTTAATTTAATTTAATTTAAACATTAACCCACATACGATCTTAAATTATATTTTTATAATTTGTAGTGTACATTTATTAATAAATTAAAGAAAACAATATTTATTTTAGCTTTCTTTTGCTTTTATTTATAATATTCAAGTCAAGTATTTAACGCGCATTTTTTTTTTTACCGCGTTTTCTTGAGTTCTAACGCTATGCTATGCATTTTTGCCGAAAAATAATTTTGGCACTGTTTGTGAATAGTCACTGTGAAGGAAGGAAGAAAAACAATTTTAAAAATTCCAAAACAATTCACAAAAAACTGATAAGTGTCCTAAAAATTAAGGACATAAGGTGTCTTTGGATCAAAAATGCATTGTAGAAGAAAATATTTTTATTTAATTTTTAAACGCTGTTCACAAATGAAGATTTTTAAACTTTGCTGTGACTTTAAAATTTTGAATGCGCCCACCTCCTCGTGTGGTTGAGTTAGATTGAATTTTCCAAAACGACCGTATAAAAGAGACATGTAACTATTTAATTCCGAAAAGATTACCAAAATTTGTTGACCACTCTTGAGGATATACCCCAAAAGACGAAGAAAATTTGTGATTTTCTTAAATTAAAGATACCGCAAATACCAGAGCTGATGGACTATAGGCGTAGTGGCAACTTATTCTTAGAAAAGCCTCACTAATCGAAATAAAATGGTGGCAGGCCTGGACACCGACCCATTCTTTTGCAGCGTACCGAAGAAGAATATTTTATAAATATATATAATAATATATGTATATTCTTAATCATTTAGCGCCAGTTTTAATTTATTTTATATTTTATTTAGATGTTCGCTTATAAGTACAGGTACAAGGTAGCAACGTACGCATTACAAACCTATCTGCTAACTGCCCAACATAATTATAAACTAAATTTGACGCTCACATTAAGTGTAATATTAAAGAAATTGCACGAGTTAAATTTAAAAAAATATTGAATTGCTATTATATCGGATAACGCAGCTAATAATACACAAATAGTGGATTATGGGACTTATTCCATAACCAACGGGTTGCAAATAAAAATAATATAGATTTTTTAATGCTTCAATTATATTCGAAAAACTGTACAAAGAATAATTTTTCTGCACACAGAGAAAATTATCAAAAGTTTTATGCGCAAAATAAGGGGTGAAACATTTTAAAAAGTAAAACGCTTCATACAAATTTTTTTTTACTTTGCATTTTTAAAACGTTTTCGTTTTTATTTTTAAAACGTTTTTATATGAAAACGGCACCTAAAACGTTGTATAATTTTCTCTGTGCATTTATGTCTAAATTTATGAATATTCAAAGACCAATAAGACCAAAATCTTTCCTGAAAAAAACTATATCGGAAATGGAAAATATTTACAAAGTCGCACTAAGGTTCTTTGAAATTTTACCAGAAGGTAACTTTTCCTTAGCTTTGCCAAAAATGACACGTTGGAATTTGTGGACCGTAAAAAGCTATGAAAAAATGTGTCTACTTTAGCTTCATTCGAATATCATTCAAATCTATCTATTAGAAAAAACGGAATGAGCTTTGGCCGCGGTCCACTGTCCATTCCATTTATCGCCATCAATCAATAAATAAAAATGAACTTTCACATGGCTAATAGTCCTCCTCCAAGGTCATCGAACCGGAAACAAACAACCTCCTTCCCCAGGGAAACAAACAAAATAAACAAACACAACAAGTCGCCTTAGCAACAATTACCATCGGAGAATTGGAAAACTTCCTGGAATCCCTGCACTTTCAAATCCCAAACCAAAGAAGGCGCGCCGACCATGTACACCAAGAAGCTGGAGCGGATGCACCGCCCGGCCTCGGACATCACCAAGTACGACAATGAGCCGTATATGAAGAACCCGCTGCTGAAGTTCCGCATCAGCGAGGTCCACGAAAGGCGGCACTATCAGTTCCTCAAGCAAAAGGCGGCGGATGTCAAGGTGCGGGTGGCCCGCCAGCAATATCAGCCGGAGCCGGACATGCGCCTCCTGCCGCAGAGCCACTACGAGGACAACCTGCGGCGGGAGGTGAGGAAGATAGTGGTTCCCCCGATGCTGCGTCGCACCGAGGCCAAGATCCTGAGCTTCGCCTCGGAGCGGCTGAAGAACAAGTACCCGGAACTGGTGCAGGCCTACATGGCGGATGTCCACGAGGAGTTCAATCGGCTGATGAAGGTCTACAGCATGAAGAACATCCTGCGACATCCGGAATTCTCCGACGAGGATCCGGCTCAGTTTGAGCTTCCCCATCCGGATATTGGCTTTAGGAGACCAGGTCGCACTCAGAACTACACAAACTTCCTGGAGAACCGGCGGCGCATCGCCCAGAAGCTACTGATCCTCCAGCAGCCACTGAGGGCCATCTTGAACATATCCGTGGGGGAGCTACCCAATCTCGCCTGCGTTTTTCACTACGTTTTGGCCACCGGTGCCATGCAACAGCAGCTGGGATTGGGTGGACGGGAGGCACTGTCCTACAAGTTCTACCGCAAGTACATCCAGAACCAACTGGACAAGGTGAACACCTTCCTCCGGTGGACCTGGTATCCCAAGGTGGTTCTCGTTCTACGAAAGCTAATGCGCAAGCGCGTGATGCCGATGAGCACTTGGAAGCGGGCCTGGAACGCTCTGGAGGGTCTGATGAACCGCGAGATGACCAACATGAAGATCCGCACTTTCGAGGAGATGTACCGGATGTGCAGTCACCCGCGCACAATGCCCATGCTGCGAATGTCGTTGGAGTGGGCCGAGTTCTCCAGTGACCTGGATACCCGTCCTAATGTGTGGGCTATTCTGAGAACCTTTGCAGAGATTGCCACCGAGATATCGATGGTGGGTTACCGCATGGAGCCACTGCAGCCACAGGTCCAGACACTCACCTCCATGGCCATGTATGCAAAGGTGAACGATTACCTGAAGATCGAGATGAATGAGAACTACCTAAAGGACGTGATTGATAAGGTGGGTATAAGATGTATAGAATAAAACCCATGATCATATATATGATACTATTTTTCATATCTGTTTCAAAATCGGATCTAATTTAAATTCAATTTAGAGAGTATTTTTGTCTTGATTACAAGAACGTATATTCTCGAATAATAAAAATATGAATTTTAAGCTTGAAATTTTTCAAAATTTTAATCTTGGCTTATTTCTGTTCATAGTTCTCGTATAGAGAAACTGTCTTCATATCTGTTTCAAGATCGTTTCTATTCGAAAATGAAATTAGAGGGTATTTTCGCCTTGATTACAAGAACGTTTATTCTCGGATAATAAGAATTCTTAGCTTAAAACTTTTCGAAATTTTAATCTTGGCTTCATAGTTTTTCTGAGATTGTTAATCCCCTAATGAATAATAATATTATCCATAGGTTCAAGACATTATCTTGCGCACATATCAGGAGGTAATCCAGTATATCGAGGGCTTCCGGGAAAAGTACTATGCGCTTTACTCCTGGCAGGAACGAGATGCCCTTAACCAGTTTCTGTCCGAACCTCATGAGTTTGAGGAGTACTTTGCTCGAATCGACATGTACTATGGTTTTATTCAAATGCTGCGAAGTGAACCTGGAACGGAGTACTTTGTGATGGCCGTAATCCACAACGAGCCAGCTGTAAATGGCCTCCGAAGTCTGGCCGAGAATCTGATTGACGAGATCACCACAATTATCATAAGGGAGCACATCAAAGCAGAGGTGGAGATCTGCGATGAGTTCGAGAAGATCAAGTACCGGGCGCTGGAGATCCCGAAATCTACAGAGGAGCTTCTGGAAAGTGCTGAATACATGATCCACGTGAAGAAGGATAAGATCGCCGAGTTGACCGATCGGATACAGTATTGCCTTCAAGTGGGCACCAATATCGTTGAGCTCACGGAAATGTCCAAATACCACTTTGACCTCACCATCAAGACGATCAATTGGATCAAGGACATAAACGACATTTGCGACTATAATGCCTCGCAGCAGGAGCAATTTAAGTTTACATTCGAGGAGCATTTGCAGGAGGTCATCAAGAAACTAAACACGGACATTGATGACCTGCTGCCCAAACTGGCCGTCATTGACGATATGAGTCGACCGGACAAGTTTCGTGATAGCTATATAATCCTACAGAACTTTATAGACCAACTAAAGACCTTCGACGACTATGTAGCTTGGATCAACAAGGAAGAGAAGCTCTTCAAGATTGCCCAAACGGAGTATCCCAAACTGGAGATCATCAAAACGTTTGTGTATCCCTTTGCCGAGCTTATGAAGTGGGTATCCTATATATATATCCTATACTTAAACTTAAAACATATCTTAACTTCAGATGCTGCATTGAGTGGCAGCGTTACTTGAGCGTTTGGAACGATGGTCCCTTCGAGTACCTGGAACCGCATTTCGTGGAGAGAACTACTGACGATTACCTCAAGGAGTTCCAGAAGAATCAAAAGTATTACAGGGTCAAGATCAAACAGGATCTTATTGACAATCCCGTGTGCAAGTTCAAGGTGAGATCACTTGGCTTAGAAATTCTTTAAGAGATATAATAAATTATTTCTGCAGGGTCAAACAGAAGATCCCGATCCTGCCAAGCACCCAGTGCCTCTGCGTCTCTGCACCTCGATGATCCAGTCGATCAAGGACTTCACTACTGGAGTCTTTATAGTAAACACCATGTGCAATCCTGCTCTGCGCAAGCGTCACTGGAAGGAGATGTCCGAGATCGCGGGGTGGGATGTCACGCCCGATGCGGGAACCACTCTTCGGAAGATTCTCAACTCCGGTTTGGACCCCATTCTCGATCAATTTGAGATCATTAGCATTGGAGCGAATAAGGAATTGCAGCTGTGGAATGCCTTGCAAGCGATGATTAAGGAGTGGGAGACCAGGGTGTTTCCCTATGGTCCTTACAAGGAAACTGGCGTGCAGATCCTGAGTAGCTTAGATGACATTCAAGCCTTACTCGATGACCACATCCTCAAAACACTAGTCATGCGAGGATCAGCTTTTATGAAGCCCTGCGAGGAGGAGGTGCGGGCGTGGTACGAGAAGATCATGCGGGTGAATGAGACACTGGATCAGTGGGGCAAGGTGCAGGCCAACTACCTCTACCTGCTGCCCATCTTCTCATCCAAGGACATTGTGGCACAGATGCCGGAGGAAGGTCGTCTCTTTGTCATCGTGGAGCAGACCTACACCAGGAATATGGGTTTGGTGCTTCGCCAGCCACTGGTAATGGAAACTGCTCCCGTTTCGGGTCTGCTAGAGTCTTTGCAGAAAGCCAATGAGCTCCTGGAGGACATAGCCACCGGTGTGAGTAACTACCTAGAGAAGAAGCGACTGTACTTCCCTCGCTTCTTCTTCCTCGCCAACGATGAAATGCTGGAGATCCTCTCGGAGACAAAGGACCCCCTGCGTGTTCTGCCCCATCTGAGCAAATGCTTCGAGGGCATCAATAGCCTGGAGTTCGATGCGGCCAAGAATGTGCTGGCCATGATTAGTAGTGACAAGGAGTCGATAGAGTTTATTGAACAGGTTTCTACAGCGGCGGCTGGAGGAAGTGTGGAGAAGTGGCTAATTGGAGTGGAGGACGAGATGCTTAAGGCGGTGCGGTATCAGAACGAGCTATCTTTTGCCCACTACCCCAAGGTTAAGAGACACGAGTGGGTTTTGGAGTGGCCCCAGATGACGGTGCTAGCCATCTCACAGGTCTACTGGGCCTCCCGCGTCCATGGATGCCTACGTCGCACCTTCGGCGGCAACATGACCGTTATGCAGAACTTCTTCCAGGAGTTGTCCAAGGAGCTCAATGATATTGTAACCTTGGTTCGTTCGCCCAAGATCAGTAACCTTAACAGGATAACTATAAAGTCCTTGATTGTCATTGATGTACATGCCAAGGATGTGTCCGAAGATCTGATCAAGAACAAGGTCAGCAGTGAGTTCGACTTCCAGTGGTTGGCTCAGATGAGATACTATTGGGAGGATGACAAGACCTGGGTGCGAATCATCAATGCCACTGTTCCCTTTGCGAATGAGTATCTGGGTAACTCTGATCGCCTGGTGATCACCCCACTCACAGATCGCTGTTATCGCACTCTCGTGGGAGCCTATCAACTCCATTTGAATGGAGCTCCCGAAGGACCCGCTGGAACAGGGAAGACGGAGACCACCAAAGATCTGGCCAAAGCTCTAGCTGTTCAGTGTAAGGTGTTCAATTGCTCCGATGGTCTGGACTACAAGGCAATGGGCAAGTTCTTCAAGGGATTAGCCTCCTGCGGCGCTTGGGCCTGCTTTGATGAGTTTAACCGAATCGAATTGGAGGTTCTTTCCGTGGTGGCTCAACAGATTCTTCTCATCATCCAGGCTGTTCGGAGTAATGCCACCAAGTTCATGTTCGAGGGAACCGAGTTAACCCTCAATCCTGCCTGCTACGTTTGCATCACCATGAATCCAGGTTATGCCGGTCGTTCCGAATTGCCGGATAATTTGAAGGTGCTCTTTCGTTCTGTGGCCATGATGGTGCCGGATTACGCAATGATTGGAGAGATCTCCTTGTATTCCTATGGCTTTGTGGATGCTCGCAAGTTGGCTGTGAAGATTGTGACCACCTATCGACTCTGCTCGGAACAGCTGTCCAGCCAGAATCACTATGATTATGGAATGCGAGCCGTGAAGACGGTGCTCTCCGCCTGCGGAAATATTAAGAAGCAGTTTCCGGATGAAGTGGAGGATATCTTGTTGCTACGAAGTTTGATAGACGTGAATCTTCCCAAGTTTCTCTCCTTCGATGTTCCCCTGTTCGAGGGAATCATCTCGGATATCTTTCCAGGAATTAAGCTACCTCATATAGACTACTCCCTGGTGGAAACCGAGTTCAAACGCGTCTGTTTGGAGGAGGTTCTGGAGCCAGCTCCCAGTTTTCTACTGAAGGTCATTCAGACGTACGAAATGATTATCGTGAGACATGGATTCATGCTGGTGGGCGAACCGCTAGCTGGGAAATCCAAGACGCTCCAGGTGCTCGCGAAGGTCCTGTCCGCTTTGAAGATTAAGGCTCCTCAGAAAAGTAGCTACTTTCAGCACGTCCAAATGGGCATTATGAACCCAAAGTCCATTACAATGAATCAACTTTATGGCTCCTTTGATCCTATTTCTTATGAATGGACAGATGGCCTGGTGGCCAAGATCTTTCGTGACTTTGCCATGACGCCCACGCCGGATAGGAAGTGGGTGAGTCCTTGAAATATTGCTTTTAAATCTATTATTAAACTAAATATTCATAGGTCATCTTTGATGGACCTGTGGATGCCGTTTGGATTGAGAACATGAATACGGTTTTGGACGACAACAAGAAGCTGTGTCTGACCAGCGGTGAAGTGATTACCATGAGCAACGAAATGTCCATGGTGTTTGAGGTAATGGATCTGGCTCAGGCTTCCCCGGCTACAGTTTCCCGTTGTGGAATGATCTACATGGAGCCTTCCACCCTGGGATGGCGGGCTTTTGCAAAAAGCTGGCTAAAGAAGGCTGATCCTCGATGGGCGGACGAAGAGGGCGTGGCATATGTGATGGCCCTGCTCCAGTGGCTTCTTCCCCCAGTAAGTTAGCACTACTGATATCACTTCAATCTTATAACCTACGGTTTCTTTATTTCAGAGCCAAACTTTTGTGCGTCGATACTGCAGTCAGTTTATCAAACCCGGGGAGTTTAATTGCATGAGGACCACCTTTGATCTGTTTGACATGCAGATTGCGGAGGCAATTGAGGAGAATCCGGAGGACTACCAGAAGTATCTACAGAGCTACTTCCAGGCCGCCATGCTGTTCGCTTTGAGTTGGGGAGTGGGTGGAGTGCTGGACACAGCTTCGCGGGAGAAGTATGATGTGTTCTTGAAGAAGGTAGGATTAATCTTCTTATCATATATGTATAAATCCCTATGTGTCACTTTAGCTTTGGGACAGCGATCCTCCGCCGCCGGAACCCCTAGGCAAGATGGAGATAACTCCACCCACCGAGGGTCTACTAGTGGACTATGTCTTCCTCTACAAACAACGTGGAGCCTGGCGTTATTGGCCTGATCTGGCCAAACGCATGGATGTGGAGGAAACCAAGACGGGGGTGATAGTGCCCACGGTGGATACAGCGAGGTATATTCATCTACTCAAGATGCATGTGGATCACAAGAAAAGAATGCTGCTCGTAGGACCAACGGGCACAGGAAAGACGGTCTACATACAGAACTACCTGATGAACAAGCTGGACAAGGAGGTGTTCGAGACGGGATTCATCACCTTCACGGTGATGATCTCGGCCAATCAGTGCCAGGAGCTGCTCATTTCGAAGTTGCAGAAGTGGAAGCGAGGCATCTACGGTCCACCGAAGGGAATGCAGAGTGTGCTCTTCGTGGACGACATGAATATGCCGGTGAAGGAGGTCTATGGAGCCCAACCACCTCTCGAGCTATTGCGTCAGTTCTTCGACTACGGACATGTCTATGATTTAAAGGATAGCTCGAAAATTTATATCCACAACGTACTGATCATGGCCGCATGTGGTCTGCCCGGCGGAAGTCGCCAGGATGTCTATGCTAGATTCCTGAATCACTTTAATGTGTATTCGATTAACACCTTTAGCGATGATAGTATGTTCCGTATCTTCTTGAATGTGGCACTGAATGGCTTCCGTCGTGCTGGCCATGGACAGGATGTCTTCGTAGTGGCAAACCAGATAGTTTCAGGAACTCAATCCATCTACAATACCATTTGTAAGGAAATAAGAGCAACGCCTGCAAAGTCCCATTACATATTTAACCTGCGGGACATTTCCCGCGTCGTGACCGGATGCACCTTGGTCCGAAAGGAGTCGGTGACGGACAAGAAGATCTTCGTGCGCGTCTGGTATCACGAGGCCATGCGGGTCTTCTACGATCGCCTCGTGGACGACGTGGATCGCAAGTGGATGTTTGATAAACTAAACGATTGTCTCAAGGTTAATTTCAAGGACAAGGTGGAAAACGTCTTCGAGAGATACTGTGTGCAGGTGAGCTGGTTTAGTTTCTTTCACTTTCTCTCAAGAATTCGCGGTCTATTTAGTTCAGTTGGTTGATGCTGAAGAATTCGCGGAATTGGAATTCTTTGACTAATCAGATTTACTCTCTTCCAGGGACAAGACGAGCAGGTGTTCACCATGGAGGCGGCCAGCAATATCCTGTTTGGCGTTTACTTTGACGAAGATAGTGTTCCTGATGAACGACGCTACGAGGAGGTGCCCAGTGTGGAGGTCTTCCTGAATCTGGCACTGACCAGTCTGGAAGACTACAACTCAACGCGTCGCAACAAGATGGACATCACCCTGTTCACCTTTGCCCTTCAGCATCTGAATCGTATATGTCGCATTATCTCGATTCAAGGAGCGAGTGCCCTAATCATTGGGTTGGGTGGTTCAGGACGTCAGTCCCTCACCAAACTGGCCACCAATATGGTGCAGACGTCGTTCTTCCAGCCGGAGATTACCAAGAACTATGGGGCAAACGATTGGCATGATGACATCAAGGCGATCCTGAAGGAGGCGGGTGGAATGAACAAACATACCACCTTCCTGATAACCGAGAACCAGATCAAAATGGAGCTCTTCCTGCAGGACATCGATTGTCTGCTTAACCAGGGCGAGGTGCCCAATATTTTCCCCATCGACGAGAAGCAGGAGGTCCTGGAGATGGTGCGTCTGGCTGCCCAGGGAGGCAATCGCAACATTGACGTCTCAGCGCTGCAGGTCTTCTCCTTCTTCGTGGACCGCTGTAAGCAGAAGCTTCACATGATCTTGAGCTTCTCGCCCATTGGAGATGCCTTAAGGACGAGGGTTCGCCTGTATCCTTCGCTTGTAAACTGCTGCACCATCGATTGGTATGACAGTTGGCCCGAGGAGGCGCTCCACATGATTGCCAAGATGTCGCTGGTGGATGTGAATGTTCCTAATGAGGATATCAAGGTGGCTATCATGGATACCTGTCAGTATTTCCATACTACAGCTGCGAAGGCTACCCGCTCCTTTTGTCAAATGACAGGGAGGCATATCTACCAGACTAATGCCTCTTTCATAGAGCTCATACGCTCCTTCCAAACGCTCATCTACCGAAAGCAGAGTGAAACGATGCTGGCCAAGATGAGGTACATTGGGGGATTGGATACCCTGGCCCAAGCAGCAGCTGCTATTTCTATAATGCAGAGAGATCTAAATGCTTTGCAGCCCAAATTAGTTGCCCTGGCGGAGGCTTCCCGCAAAATGATGCTGGAGATTAATAAGGAAACTCTAGCCGCCAGTGCCGCCGCTGAGCAAGTGAAACGGGATGAGGAGGTGGCATCCGTTCAGGCGGAAGCTGCGCAGGTGCTCAAGCAGGATTGTGAAAGGGATTTAGCGAAAGCCATTCCTGTCCTGGAAGATGCCCTGGCTGCCTTGAATACCCTGAAACCAGCGGACATTACCCTCGTGAAGTCCATGAAGAATCCACCGCCTGTCATTAAACTCGTTATGGCTGCCGTTTGTGTGATTAAAGGAATCCCTCCAGAACGCATTCCAGATCCATCTTCCGGGAAAATGGTGCAAGATTACTGGGGACCCAGTAAGCGGCTCTTGGGAGAGATGAACTTCCTGCCTGCTCTTAAAGAGTTCGATAAAGATAATATCCCCGCCGATATTATCAAGCGGATTCGTAAAGAATTCATTCCCAACAAGGACTTTGATCCCAAGGTTGTGGCCAAGGCCTCGAGTGCGGCAAAGGGTCTGTGCCAGTGGATCATCGCCATGGACATGTACGACGAGGTGGCCAAGGTGGTGGCGCCCAAGAAGGCCAAGTTGGCCGGCGCCGAGAAGGAGTACGCCGACACCATGGAGTTCCTGGCCCAGAAAAGGGCCTTGGCCTTGGCGCTTGAGGAGAAGGTGGCCCAGTTGAACATCGAATTGGACAAGGCGAATGTGGAGATGCAAAAGACCGAGGATCATGCCGAGAGTTGTAGGAATAAGTTGCTCCGAGCGGAGGCTCTAATTGGAGGATTGGGTGGTGAGAAGTCGCGATGGAACAAGGCGGCGGAGGATCTCCAAGAGCTATATGACCATCTCCCCGGTGATGTTTTGATTTCCTGTGGTATCATAGCCTACCTGTCAGCTGTTAATCTTCAGTATCGATCGGAGTGTGTGAAGGATTGGTTCAAGAAGGTTACTGATTTGAAGATACCCTGTTCTGCACACTACTCCATCACAGATGTACTCGGTCTAGAGGTCACCATCCAAAACTGGCAACTAGATGGTCTTCCCAATGATGAGTTCTCCAGCGAGAATGCCATTATATCTTCCAATTCCAGTCGGTATAGCTTGTTCATTGATCCACAGGCTCAGGCAAATAATTGGTTAAAGAACATGGAGCGAAAGAACCGGCTAAACTGTGTGAAGTTCAATCAGAGCAACTACATGAAGGTGATTGCCGAGGCCCTGGAATACGGAACACCTGTAATAATAGAGAACGTGCAGGAGGAACTGGAGGTTCCCCTGGATCCCATCCTGATGCGACAGACCTTCATTCAGGGCGGGATTAAGCACATCAGCTTGGGCGAGGCAGTGGTTCCAGTTAACCCAAACTTCCGCCTCTACATGACCTGCAATCTGCGCAATCCTCACTTTCTACCCGAGACTTTTAACAAGGTCACAGTCATCAACTTTGCCCTGACCCAGAATGCCCTGATGGATCAGTTGCTCAGCATTGTGGTGGCCAAGGAGCGACCTGATCTCCAGGAGCTGAGGATCACTCTAACCACCGAGGCGGCGGCCAATAAGGGAGCTCTGCGGGATGCGGAGAACATGATCCTGAAGACGTTGAGCGCGGGCGGGGACATCCTCGAGAACGAGGGGGCCATTCAGATCCTGGCAGATTCAAAAGGACTCTCCAAGGACATTGTGGAGAAGCAGGAGGCGGCCAAGGAAACGGTGGCCAAGATTGAGGCGTTCCGGTTGAACTACAAACCCGTGGCGGCGCATTCCTCCATACTCTACTACTCAATCACTGATCTGCCCAACATTGATCCCATGTACCAGTTCTCCTTGAATTGGTACATCAATCTTTATATGTACTCCATTGAGACGGCTAATAAGTCGAAGGATCTGCCGCGACGCATCAAGTTCCTGGTGGATGGCTTCACCCGGAATCTATACAACAACGTTTGTCGCTCTATTTTCGAGAAGGATAAGCTGCTCTACTCCTTTATCCTCACCGCTAGGATTTTACTAGGCACTGGTCAGGTGGAAATGCGACACTTTGCCCATTTGGTCACCAATGCCAAGGAGTCCACCAGTCTGCCACCCAATCCCGATCCCAGTTGGATAACGGAGACCGTGTGGTTAAATGTCCTCCGCCTGGAGGAGCTCAAGGAGCTGCGTGGCATTGTGGAGCACTTCAAGAGTCATCTGCCCGCTTGGCAGGCGATCTACGATCACTTTTCGCCGGAGAAGCAACCATTGCCTCCGCCTTGGCAGGATAAGACCACCGCCTTCGAGAAGATCATTGTGTTGAAAGCTCTAAGACCCGATTCAGTTTTCCTGGCGGTGCGCATCTTCATCGCCGAGTGCATCGGAGATCAGTATGTAACGCCACCGGAGTTTGATATTTCCAAATCCTATGCTGATTCCACGGCACTCACTCCGTTGGTTTTTATACTCTCACCTGGAGCGGATCCACTGGGATCCCTGCTGGCCTTTGCGGAGAAGATGGGCCAGGAGGAGACCTTCCAGAGCATCTCACTGGGTCAGGGACAGGGTCCCATTGCCACGGCTTTGATCAAAAACGCCCAGGAGATGGGCTATTGGGTTTGCCTGCAGAATTGTCACTTGGCTGCTTCGTGGATGCCCTACTTGGAGTACCTCTGGGAGAATATGGACACCTTCAATACCACACGTGAGTTGATATATTCCTAATAACTTAAAAATGTTTAATTCCAATTCCCTCTCCTTCAGCCAACTTCCGTATTTGGCTAACCGCTTATCCCACGCCCCAATTCCCGGTGACCATTCTCCAAAACGGCGTCAAGATGACCAATGAACCGCCCACTGGACTCAAGGAGAACCTCATGCGATCTTATAACTCTGAACCCATTAACGACTATGAGTTTTATACGGGTTGTGCCAAGCAGGATCGCGCTTTTACCCGATTGCTCTATGGTATTTGCTTTTTCCATGCGGTGGTTCAGGAACGGAGGAAGTACGGCCCATTGGGTTGGAACATTGCCTATGGATTCAACGAGTCCGATCTGCAGATCTCTGTGCTGCAACTAAGTGTAAGTTGGTAATAGGGCACCAAATGGGTATACAAAGTGGGTCTGTTGAAAAAACCCGAATGAACTGCAAGGAAGATAACAATTTTACAAAAACGCGAATTCTTTAGAACATTCGAACCCTAGTTAGTCCTAAATAGGTATTCAAAGTGGGTTTGTTGCGAAAAACACGAATGAAATGCAAAAAAGAGAACAATTTTACAAAAGCGCGAATTCTTTAGATCAGTCGAACCCTAGTTAGTGCTATAATAGTAATATAATCCTTCTCTCTTTTTAGATGCTGCTGAATCAGTATGATCATGTGCCCTACGATGCCATCTCGTATTTGACCAGCGAGTGCAACTACGGAGGTCGAGTCACGGACAACTGGGATCGCAGGTTGATCGTGACGATCCTGGCGGACTTTTGCAATCCCCAGGCGGTGTCGGATAACCGTTATAGGTTCGCCAGCGACGATCGCTACATCCTGCCTAGGAAAACAGAGCATCGAGAGATCCTGAGGTATTTGGATGAGAATCTTCCCTCACTGGCGCCACCGGAAGTCTATGGTCTGCATGCCAACTCTGGAATAACCCGAGATTTACAGACCACTAAAACCCTGCTCGATTCGATGATCCTTTTGCTGGGCAGCGAGGCAGCGGGATCCGCAGGAGCAGGAGTAAGTGTAGAGCAGGTAATCCTGGACACAATCAAGCAGATCGAAAAGGAGATGCCTCCCGATATGGACATTGAGGCGGCGGCTGAGAAATACCCAGTGGATTACAACGAATCCATGAACACCGTGGTGGTGCAGGAGATGGAGCGCTTCCTCAAGTTGCAGAAGGAGATTCGAGGCACCTGTCGGGATCTGGCCATGGGTATTAAAGGCATCATCGTGATGACACCCGATCTGGAGAACGTAATGACTGCAATGAAGTTCAATCGCATTCCCACCAAGTGGATGTCTAAATCGTATCCTTGCCTAAAACCCTTGGGATCCTATGTTCAGGATCTTTACAAGCGACTGAATTGGCTGCACGACTGGCATCATCATGGAAAGCCTCCAACCTTCTGGCTGTCCGGATTCTTCTTCACACAGGCTTTCCTCACCGGTGCCATGCAGAATTTTGCAAGAAAGTATAAGATCCCTATTGATACCTTGACCTTTGACTACGATGTGCTGAAGGTTGAGACGAAGGCGTCGCCACCGGATGATGGGGTGTACTGTAATGGTCTCTTTTTGGAGGGCGCCCGGTGGGAGTGGCGAGAGAACATTCTGGTGGAGCAGTTTCCCAAGGTGCTCATCTATGCCATGCCGGTGATCTTCTTCAGGCCAGTGGGTCTGGTTGATGTGGTCGAGGGTTCGCGATACCGTTGTCCCCTCTACAAGACCGGCGAACGCAAGGGCACCCTCTCCACAACGGGACACTCCACCAACTACGTGGTTCCACTGCTGCTAAACACCCATATCAAGGCCTCCCACTGGGTCAAGCGGAGCGTCGCTCTCATCTGCCAGACCAGCGACTAAGGGCCTTCGGGACCCTTCTTATTGTTAGAGTTCATTAAATTATTTTTATATTGTGTACCATTTTCTACCAGCTTTTTTAAACATTTTCTAGATATATGTTTTAAGCATACCAGTATTCCATATTGAAACAATATTCATAATACGATATTAAAGTATACAATTTAGAATATAAGCATATTTTTAAAAATAATTGAAGGTGTGAAAATATGGTCCGATTGTAACATTTTCTATTCAAGCCATTACAATTAGACAATCCAAGAACTGAAAATAGTAAATGAGCTAAGAAAAAAATAAATATTAATTGGTTTTTATTTTTAAAATTCCAAAAACTATTCCTAATTGGCTATTGCAAAAAATGTTTGGTATATTCCTAAAAATAAACTTCAAATTGTATAATTAGATCCAGGTATTCTTCAAAAAATCTTAATTAGTTTCTATTTTAACAACTAAGTTAATTTGCTTGTTAGATTCTTTTAGGTCTGAGGGCACTAAACTATTCGCCAACATTCTTGTGTTTGATAAACGGAAACATCAACTGAATACCTATAAAAGAATGGGGTTTTCTGGGTTAAAGTCACACTCAACTCGAACTCAATTCAAGATGTTCATCCAATGGGCTTTTCTGATCTCCAGCGCAACCCTGATCTCCGCCGGATCTATATCGATTTCGGAAAGGATTGTCGGAGGACAGCCGGCGAACATTTCCGAGGTACCATGGCAGGTCTCACTTCTCAAGAGGGGCAAACATGATTGCGGTGCTGTCATTTTTAGTGACGATATAGTTTTAACTGCTGCCCATTGTGTTTTGTCCAATAATCTAAAAAAATACTCAGTGAGAGTGGGATCATCAATAGCGAACCAAGGAGGCCAAGTGGTGCAGATAGCAAGCATCAAACGGCACGATAAATACTTAAAAATCTTCGGCTCGTCCTTTAATGATATAGCCGTCATCCGGCTAAAGACCAAGCTCCAGTTGGGTGACAGTGTAAGACCCATCCCTTTGGCAGACAGCGCTCCTGCAGGTGGAACACCTGCATTGGTTTCCGGATGGGGAGCTATCAAACATAAAGGGGTGAATTCGAAAACCCTTCTGAAAACCACAGTGAATATAGTAGATCGGAATGTTTGCGGAAAGTCCTATAAGTTTATGACTCAAGATATGATCTGTGCCGCTGCTCCCGGGAAGGATTCCTGTCAAGGAGACTCTGGAGGTCCTCTGGTCGTCGATGGTAAACTTGTTGGCATCGTTTCTAATGGCAAAGGATGTGCTCGTCCCTTTTATCCTGGAATCTATGCTAATGTGGCTGTACTCAAGCCCTGGATCGAAGATAATATTAAATCTTTAATGTACGAAAGTAAATAAGTGTGCAGTTTGAAGCATACTGAAAATCCTAATAAAAAATTAAAACCCTATTTAAATTGTTTACCAAAAGTTGATTTCTAATAAAAAATTATATATTTTTAGTATATGCCTTTGATTAGGTTTCGGAATTCGAAACTATTCGTTGACATTCTTGATAAGCCTTGACTAGATCTATAAAAGAGTGGGTTTATTTCTCAACTCAGCTATATAAAATATGTTAGTTCAATGGCTTTTATTAAGCTTTTTCTCTGCCGGATGGTTGTTAGATAGCTTTATGGATATTTCAAACGTGTCAAATATAAGTTCTAGTCAAGTGCTGTGATAGTTCATAACCAGTTCTATATATCGGCATCCACTCCACGTCCTTGAAGTCGAACGAAGCGTGGCAGCTGCCTACACTCATAAAAATTAATTTCTAAATTTTGGAAATCTCGCCATTGAATCGGCCTACCTTTGAAAATAGAAAAAAAATTTCTTGTTATTAGAAAATTGGCCTTTGAATACAGAAAACCTTTCTTGATGGAAAAAATTCAAGAAAGAATTTTTCTTAAAAATAGAAAAATGAAAATCTCATATGTCTGTTTTGCCGTCGCAGCCAAAACATTTTTGTACGTATTTTAGGACAAAATCACCTTTGAATATATGAATGAAATGACCCTAGAATATAGGAAAGTAGCCATTGACTTCCTTCGGCTGCCGAATGTTAACGACAAGAAAAACGAAGTGGGACGAAGGGCCTACCCGGCTACCGACTTCTCTGATCCCCCGAGCGTCAGTTGTGAAAAAAATTCGTGAGTGATGGACGTGATTTTCAAGCGGATAAGAGGTTAAGCCTTTTTCCAAATATTCAAAGGTATGTAAATATATAATTTTTTGTATAGCGGGCGTACAATTGTATGTATGTAATTAAAGGATAAATTTCAAATCTCTTTACCAAGCGTATACCAATTTAGTTGAATGGTTTTTTAGCTAAGAGCTACGTACATACATACATTTGTATATAAATCTGTGGCTGTAGAGTTCTATAATAACTTTATCTTATTACTCGCATTTTATTTATTTTTCAGAGTGAAAATACCTGCAGTTGCATCAGCCAAATAATTTGTTTAGCGAAGCTGTAATTTTGTTTTAAAACATTCTAAGGTAAGAAAAATATGTTGTATTTGTTTGACATACTTATGTATGCATGTAAATATCTATGCATGTACGCGGCTCACCCGATCTGAAACCCGATTTTCAACCCTTTCATATTCTGCTCCTCTCTCTCGCTCGCTTGACCTACGCGTCGCGACGTTTCTCTCTACTCCTTCTTAAAATTGTCATGATCTGACCTGCTTACATTCGGTCTCCCTTCGCGCAAAGGACTGTATGTAAATATATATGTATGTATGTGGCTCTTTCTGAAATTAGATTTTCAACCCTTCCTTCTTCATTTTCTACCTGTCTTGCTCCTCTCTCGGTCGTCTGACCAACGTGTTTGTATTTTGGCTATTATTAACATTACATTATTATCTATTATCTAAAAACATCTATCTATTCTTATCTAAAAACAAATCATTGATATCCCAATAACTCTTTTTTTCCAGATGAGGAAAGCCGAAGAAAATAATTTTTTATGCCTGCAACTACATATTTGGTTATAATAATGTTTTCTTAAGTCAAAAATGTGTTATTTAAAATTGTTTAAATGTTCAGTGTTAAATGTTTTAAATTTAAATAAATAAAATATGCAAAAGAAAAAACCAAGTTACATTTTATTTTTAGGGTTTCAGTGTTAATATAAAACTTCCCTTCAAGAAATATTATTTCTTAAATCAAGAAATAAAATTTCTTGAAAGGAAATTTAAACAAGAAAGAATTTTTCTTGTTCAAAAGGTGCCTTTCTAAAAAACCCTTTCTTGTTTTAAGAAATTTAATTTCTTGAAACAAGAAACAAACCACCTTTGAAACAAGAATCGCCTTTCTTGTTTTAAGAAATATTTTTTCTTGTTTTTATGGTGGCTTTCTAAAAAACCCTTTCTTGTTTTAAGAAATTTAATTTCTTAAAACAAGAAATATTTTTTCTGGTTTTAATGGTGCCTTTCAAAAAAACCATTTCTTGAAACAAAGGTGAGGTCGCCTTTGGCAAAAATTCAAGAAAGAATTTTCTAGATTTTAAGGAAATTCTTCGATTTTTTTTTATGAGTGTAGGGCGGCAAATCTCGACTGTTAAGGAAAATTTGGCTGCAGTCTAGGGCGGCAAAATCAAAAATGCCTAGGGCGGCGAATTGTCTTAATCCGCCCCTCCATACCAGTCATATTGAAAGAAGAAAAAAACAATTTAGAACATAGGGACATTTTTATACCCGTTACTCGTAGAGTAAAAGGGTATATTGTATTCGTGAAAAGTATGTAACAGGGAGAAGGAAGCGTTTCCGACCCTATAAAGTATATATATTCTTGATCAGGGTCACTAGCCGAGTCGATATAGCCATGTCCGTCTGTCCGTCTGTCTTTTTACGCAGCGCAAGTTTATTTTAGCCGAGTGCCACGCCCCCTCTAACGCCCACAAACGATTTTAAAATGTGTCTGGCGCCCATACCTTTAAAGATTTCCGAGAAGTATAAATGCAATTTTGTTGTTTATATACCTATCAAAGTGCAGAAGACATTTTTCAAATCGGATCATTAATCAAAAAGTTATGCGCAATCAAAAAAAGGTTATATATCCATCTCCCTCGCACTCCCTTTAGCCGAGTGACGGGTATTAGATAGTTGGGACACGAACCCGACTATAGCGTTCTTTCTTGTTTAATATGTGATCCGACCGTAATATTTTGTATTTACTTATGTTTGTTAAAATATAATATAGAATGTATAGAATTACATTACATTACATATCATTAGCCCTGAAACCCTGCCTTCAAGTTTTGACTTTCACCGAACAGAAAATAATTAATAAGTTAACAAAAATAAGAATGTAACTTTAATTGGTTTTGATTTTTAAAGTTCTAAAACATTTTCCTTATTGGTTATTACAATAAGTTGTTGCTAAATGTATAAAATAAGCCTTCAAATTGATAACTACATTCAGGTATACCTACTTTAAAAAATGTTAAATGTTTTCTATTTTAAGAATTAAGTTACTTAGCCTAATAGATTATTTTAGGTCTGTGACTTCCAAGGTATTTGCTAACATTCCTGTGTTACATAAACGAAAAGCGCAACTGAATTCCTATAAAAGAGTGGGTTCTTCTGTGTTAAAGTCACTCTCAACTCGAACTCAATTCAAGATGTTCATCCAGTGTATTTTTCTGATCTCCAGCGCAGCCCTGATCTTCGCCGGATCTATATCGATTTCGGAAAGAATTGTCGGAGGACAGCCGGCAAACATTTCAGAGGTGCCATGGCAGGTCTCTCTTCTTGAGAGGGGCAAACATGATTGCGGTGCTGTCATTTTTAGTGACGAGATCGTTATAACTGCTGCCCATTGTGTTGAGTCCAATAATCTAGAAGAGTACTCCGTGAGAGTGGGTTCATCAAAATCGAACCAAGGAGGCCAAGTGGTGCAGATATCTAACATCATACGGCACGAGAATTACCATTATATCTACCTCTTGAATGATATAGCCCTCATCCGGCTAAAGACCAAACTCCAGTTGGGTGACAATGTAAGACCCATCCCTTTGGCAGATAGAGCTCCTGCAGGTGGAACACCCGCATTGGTTTCCGGATGGGGACGTATCAAACATAAAGGACCTTCATCGGAAGACCTTCTAAAGACCACAGTGAACATAGTGGATTGGAATGTTTGTAGAAGGTCTTATGGGTATATTTCCAAAGATCAGATCTGTGCCGCTGCTTCAGGAAAGGATTCCTGTCAGGGAGACTCCGGCGGTCCTCTGGTCGTCGATGGTAAACTTGTTGGCATCGTTTCCACTGGCAATGAATGTGCTCATCCCTATTTCCCTGGAATCTATGCTAATGTGGCTGTGCTAAAGCCCTGGATCGAAAATGCTATTAAATTTGTTTAATGTACTTCATTAAAAAAGTGTTTTATACATATCGAAAATCTGAATAAAAAAGTAATTAAAAACAAAATCACAGACCATATTTATTTTCGCTATAATTTAAAATATAGATCTTTCAAAATATTAACCAATTTATAGATTCTCTATATTTACCAAACTGTTTTAAATTAACGCATGCAAGAAAAAATGCATTAAAATAATTTTACAGTCAAGATAAAGAAAATTGGTTTCTATGTTAATGGTATTTCGAACTATTCGTTAACATTCTTGTATAACAAGAATATACAACACCTACAAAAGAGAGTCCACTCTTTGCTTTAAAATCACTTCTAAAGACAACTCGACTAAACACGGAATATTTTTCTCAATGAGCATTTATTAAACCCTGTTTAAAAATAAAATATGCGCACTTATGTGTTACGGTTACAAATTCACAGCTTCGGAAACGCTTTCTAATAGTATCTATAATATCGAAAATCGAAAAGCTCATCCACGGTTGCGGCCTCACTGCGTCCGGCAGTGCAGGGAGTTCATAAACAGGTCTTTATATCGGCATCCTGTCTTCATCCTCGAAATCGAAAGGAGCGTGGCCCTCATCTGCCAGACCAGCGACAAAGGCTTTTCGAAAGGCTTATATGATTTTTTGAATTTACTTATGTTTGTTACATTACATTACCCTGAACTAAATCCTGCCTTCAAATTAAGACTGTCACCGAACAGAAAATAATAAATGAGTTAACAAAAATAAGAATGTAACTTTAATTGGTTTTTATTTTTAAAGTTCTAAAACATTTTCTTTATTGGTTATCACCAAAAGTGTTTGCCAAATGTATAAAATTAGCCTTCAAATTGATAACTACATTCAGGTATACTTTAAAAAATGTTAATTGGCTTCTATTTTAAGCATTAGGGGACTTTCCTTGGTAGATTCTATTAGGTTTGTGACTTTCAAGGTATTCGCCAACATTCCTGTGTTAGATAAACGAAAACCGCAACTGAATACCTATAAAAGAGTGGCTTCTTCTGCACCCAAAAAAAAAATCCTGAGTGTCAATTTAATAACTGTGGGTTAAAATGACACTGCCCCTAGGATCAAATTTTTGGGGTCAATTTGCTCCCAAATGAGTGTCAAAAGTACACCGCGTTTTCAGAAAAATCGTATTTGATACTAAATAGTGTCATTTTGATAAAACTAGGTTCACATCGTTCCCAATAATTATCATTTTTGATTTTCGAAGTTCGAAGTTCGGCGATGTTTTACTCTAGTATCGATTTCGTTTATACTTGTCAAGTGTTCGCTCGCGCGCAAAATGGTTCGATGGCCCAGTTGGTAAGGCGTCTGCCTCTGATGCGAGAGGTCCCCGGTTCGAAACCCAGATAAATAAGAGTAGGTAAAAAGTTTTTAAAATGCAAATATATCATTTTAAGAACAAAAATGTTAAGTTGTGTTAGATTACTGATAAAAAAAAAAGAAAAAGGTGTTGCGAGCGGGATTCGAACCTCGTTCCCCCGAGCACAAAATAATATCAGAGCCTAGCGCCTTGGCCCCTGAGCCATGCCCATATTAATTTTTGCCATGGCAGAATGGTTACAGGAGCTTTCAAGCAAATGTTAAATTTTATTTAATACTAAGAAAATGACACCGGCTAGTGGCTCTTTGACACCAAATAGGGTCAAATTAATATTTTCGAAAGTATTAAAGTGACACCAGAATAGGGTCAATTTAATGACGTTCGGATCAAAGATTTTTTTCCACTCAATAGTGTCACATTGACACCTAAATAGGGGCATATTGATGACTACTTTTTTTTGGGTGTGGGTTAAAGTCACTCTCAACTCAAACTCTCTTCAAGATGTTCATCCAGTGGGCTCTTCTGATCTCCAGCGCAACTCTGATCGCCGCCGGATCTATATCGATTTCGGAAAGGATTGTCGGAGGACAGACGGCGAACATTTCCGAGGTGCCATGGCAGGCCTTCCTTCAATACTTGGGCAAATATGATTGCGGTGCTGTCGTTTTTAGTGACGAGATCGTTATAACTGCTGCCCATTGTGTTGAGTCCAATAATCCAGAAGAGTACTCCGTGAGAGTGGGTTCATCAAAATCGAACCAAGGAGGCCAAGTGGTGCAGATATCTAACATCATACGGCACGAGAATTTCCAACATAAATACTACTTGAATGATATAGCCGTCATCCGGCTAAAGACCAAACTCCAGTTGGGTGACAGCGTCAGACCTATTCCTTTGGCAGATCAAGCTCCTGCAAGTGGAACACCCGCATTGGTTTCCGGATGGGGAGATATCGAAAATGAAGGACCGTCATCGGTAGACCTTCTAAAGACCATAGTGAACATAGTGGATTGGAATGATTGTAGAAGGTCTTATGGGTATATTTCTAAAGATCAGATCTGTGCCGCTGCTTCAGGAAAGGATTCCTGTCAGGGAGACTCCGGAGGTCCTCTGGTCGTCGATGGTAAACTTGTTGGCATCGTTTCCACTGGCAATGAATGTGCTCATCCCTATTTCCCTGGAGTCTATGCTAATGTGGCTGTGCTCAAGCCCTGGATCGAAAATGCTATTAAATTTGTTTAATGTACTACATTAAATAAAAAACAAAATCACAGAAATATAGATCTCTCAAAATATAAAAAAATTTAAAGATTCTCTTTATTTACCAAACTATTTTAAATTAATGGCATGTAAGAAAAAATTCTTTAAAAAAAATGGAGTCAAGATAAAGAAAATGGTATTTCGAACTACTCGTTAAAATTCTTGTATGACAAGAATATACTACACCTACAAAAGTGAGCCCACCCTTTGCTTTAAAGTCATTTCTAAAGACAACTCGACTAAGCACGGAATATTTTTTTCAATGAGCATTTATTAAACCCTGTTTAAAAATAAAATATGCGCACTTATGTGTTACGGTTACAAATTCACAGCTTCGGAAACGCTTTCTAATAGTATCTATAATATCGAAAATTATAAGATTACCGAGGAGGGCTTTTGAAGCTCATCCACGGTTGCGGCCTCACTGCGTCCGGCAGTGCAGGGTGTCCAGCGCAGCGGCTGCGGCGGCTCCCTCGCCATTGGCATCGTCGGAGCTGTTGCTGCTGCGCCGCTGGGACGTGGGATTGGAGGGACTGGAGCCGTTGCTGGTGCTCGAGCTATTTTCCCTATGCTGCCGCCCATGAGGTAGCCAGGATGCCATTCTGTTGCGATTCAAGGGGCGGACGCGGGAACGGGAACGCGAGCCAGAACCCTCCAGAAACCCACGGATGAAGTATTGGAATTGGTTGATGTCGAAGTCACCTCTGTCCACAATGTTGCGCCTGAAGTTGCGCTCCAGCGTCTGCTTCAGCGAGTCCTCGTCGGGCACCTTCTGCGGAAAAAGAGATTAAATTGGTGAGCATAATCTATATATTATTACGCAGAAAAAAATTGGTAATGGTCAATTTGATATTTTTTAAAGATCATTTTGATATGAATAAAGATTATGTTAATCTTTTCTTATATAGTTTTCTCAAAAAATACTAAACTTGGTATTTTTTTGATATGATAAAATATCATGTTGACATGTTTGAATCTTAAATTGAAATAACATAGAAATAACCCTATTTCATATCGGTGTTTTTCTGTGTAGTTATTAATTGATCCTACCCTATCAGGTCCATTTGGCGTCCAGATCTTGACGTCATGCTCCAGGCCCGAGGTGGCCAGCACCGGCATCCAGGGATGCGGCTCCAGGCAGTTGACCACGCCGGCATGGTCGCCCTTCATGAAATTAATAATCGCCTCTGTGTTCCGGTCCCAGAAGAATATGTTGCCGCAGTCGCTGCCGCTGACAATATATTCGGAACGGGGTCCGAAGAAGTTCACTCCCTTGATGGTGCGGCTATTGCTAAAGCACAAGAAGTAATATGAGTACCAGGACATACTAGTGATGCTCCCTAAACTTACATATGCCCCTCGTAGCAGTGCAGATACTCGCCGTCTTTGGTATTCCGACTGTCAAAAAGGTAGATGCCCGCATCGCTGTATGAGGCCAATATCTCGCTGCCGCTGTGGTTGTAAACGGCGCAGGTAATTTGCGTGATCTTCTCCTGGACACGAGAAGAAAAAAAACAGAGATTAGGCTGCCTGGTTCGCAGGGCGGCACATGCTCACATCCTCTATATTAGAAGGCGTCATCTCCAGCAGGGTCTTGGTCAGCTTGCGCTTGTCGTAGACCCGCAGTTTATCGTCCGAACCGCTGACGCAGAACTCGGGCGCATAGGGATGGTGGGCGATACTAAACAGGCGAACACGACCGCGTTCATTCTCATCGTGGTAGACGCAGCGCAGCATTGTGCTAGCGGCATTGCTGGCGCGCAAATCAAAGTGCTTGACAGCCGCATCCTCGCCAGCACTCATCACCTCGTGACGGCTGTGCGGAACCAGCACTATCTTGTGCACCGAATCGCTGTGGGTGTACAGTCGCATGGGCTTGATGGTGCCTCCAGAGGGTGGGATGACTGACCTGCGCACCTGGCCATCTCGGCTGGCGGACACAATGTCCAGGCAGCCGGCACTGTCGATAAACTTGGTCTGGAAGATGTTCATGCTGTGGCCGGAGCGAAAACGGTGCAGCGCCTTGTCGTTCGCCCAGTCCCAGACGATAATGCTGAGATCATCGGAGCCGGAGCAAATCAGGTCGCCGGCGCGGTTGAAATTCAGGCAGTTTACGCAGCCATCGTGCTTGTTCAGGGAACTCAGGAGGGTCAACTGTTCCACCACCTGGCGCGAGCCATAGTAGCCTTGGCCGAAGCTTTGCGACGAGGTGTGGCCGCCACGCCAACCGATACGGTTGATTATGTTGTGCTCCCGCTGCAGCAGCTCCTGGTCAATGTTCCACGAGTACTGGGGCTTGCACTTGCACATCGCCTCGTCCACGGCGCAGTCGACTTTCGCACGGTCGTCGGCATTCACGTGCTCGTTGAACTCCACGTCGTCCTGTTGATTCTTAAGGTGATTAGTAAAGGTTCATAAGGCAATTAACCTATGACTAGCAGGATTTGGAAATTGACACACATGTTAATAAAATTGTTGACATGTGTGTCAAATACAAAAGCGTTAAAATGTGAAAAATAATTGTTAGCTCACTTGTATTTTTTACACAATGTGTTATAAACACGACGTGTTTTTAACACAAATGAAAATTACATTTCACTGACATTAACGAATCGAAGGGAATATGAAAAACCAATATAGGCCATTATATCTTATATGTTAGTTTTAACCATTTCAAAGCATATATGAATTTGTTCGGACGTTTGCTGTAGTTGAGAGAACATAAACCCACCACTCTGTTATAACCGAGTTTTATGTAAAGGGAGTCACAAGAGAGAGAACGATCGACGATTCTTTTATGGGCATCGAACAGAAGCAGTCATCCCAGCCGCTGGTCGCGTTTAATAATCTAATATAATAAATTAAAATTGATACCATTGTCAGCATTGAAGATTGTAAAGTGAAAAAACTGAATTCGAAGTAATTGTAGATAATAAATAGACCATCCATGAAGTGCACCTTTTAGAGTTATAATTTTCAAATTGGTGGAAAAACCCCAGAGCATCTTTGCTCATCTTTGACAATATAAATTGTCACAACATTTTGGTGGCCCATGAGGGGACCCATCCAATCACGCCTTCTGGAATAATTATCTACTAATCTGTTTTCGAATTAATTAATCAGTTTGGATCTAAACTTTGTGAAATCTGGCACATGGTTATAAATTTTCCATTCGCAACTACATATAACCAGCAAACGGCAGCACATGTATAAGTGCTGTTACACTATCGTCCCATACGCTTTACCCTCCAACTGCGCTGCCCTGCCGATCCATCGCTTTGCCGAAGTCAACGTGGGTTAATTTAGATGCTGGAGAGAAGCTGTTTCGCTGCCGAAATCTATCACGTCGCATCCCCCACACCTTTTCGTCAAACCTGGAGCGACTTCACTTGGACTTCCAGACTTTTCGTTCAATTTCGTTACGTCACAACTTGAAAGGGGTAAGTGTCGTTGTGGTGTGTTGGTGAGTTGACAAAGTATTGAGTACATTTTTCAGTGTATAAGAGTAATACAATCAAAGCTGAAACATGGCAGCAGATAAAGACCAGGAGCAGGGGCAGGCATCCAGCGATGCCAGCCTATCAAACCTACATATACTTCAAGCTGATATTTTTGAACGTGTTAAACAACTTTATCAAAATTTTAAAAAGGATAGTCAGTCAAGAAAAACTAAAATCTATTTTCAAACTCGTATAAATAAACTTGAAAATTTCTCAAAGGAATTCGACACCAATCATCAAACTCTTTTATTGAACGGTTGCTCACCTGAACATGAATATTTTACCTCTCAACTAGCAGCAAGGTTTGAAGAGTCTTACTTAACATATTATTGCGAGATTGGAGACGCCTTCGAGACCCGGTTTCCAACAGTTCCCAGCGACGCTACTCCTAGCCATTCTAATTCAACGATGCACAACACCACCATGCTACAAGCGCCTGGCTCTACAGTTCAACTACCAAAATTACCAGTACCTAGTTATTCTGGCAAGCTGACTGAATGGCCAGCCTTTCATGATGTCTTTCAACAACTTATTCACGATAATGGTGCACTTTCCAGCATACAAAAATTCCACTTTCTGAAGCAAGCACTCCCAGCGGACCGAGATCAAGACGTGCATCAAATGGACTTGACTGAAGCGAATTATCTCGTCGCCTGGAGTCTCATTGTTACGCGTTATAATAATCCCCGATTGTTATTCATGCATCATATGAATACCCTATATGAGTTGCCATCAATTTCCAAAGAAAGTTCAGCCGAACTAAAACATATGTTAAACGTTGCCAACGTTTGCATCAATGAGTTCAAACGCCTCAACATTGCAATTGCCAATTGCGATCATTGGATTGTGCATCATCTCACCACTAAGCTGCCATCGCAAACTATCCAAGCCTGGGAACACAGTCTTGGGAGTACAAAGGAAATCCCAACCTTTTTCACTTTGGAATCATTTCTCAACAACCGACTTTTTAGCATCGATATAATTGAAGGTCGCAAGGTTCCACCTCCACCACGGCAACCACAAGGAGTCAACGGCTTCCAACGAAACGTCATCAAACATTCAGGCAACGCACAAACCAGGATCAGTAGCTGCCATACTTCAGGGGTTACTACCAACTCTGTTCGCTGCGCTCATTGCAATGACCAACACATCTTACGTCGTTGTCCAGACTTTTTAGCAAAGGATTCTTTCGCTCGCAAACTTATTGTTGACCGCAGTAAGGTATGTCTCAATTGCCTCAGCCCCACCCATTCTCTGTCAAAATGTAACAGCAGCAAAAACTGTTTACAATGTGGACAACGCCATCACACTCTCTTACATTTCCCAACCCAGGTAAAGGCTAGTGATGTCGCGCAGTCTGCAGGAAACATAACTAGTCTCAACTCACAGGGTCTGACAGCATCTAGCAACACCACACAGCTCATCAGCGCGTCAGCCTCACATTCAACACCTCATACGATGATTCTCGCAACTGCTCTGGTTCGTCTTCATAGTAATGCCACAGGTCAGTCAGCGGTGGTCCGAGCCCTTATCGATCATGGATCAGAAGGTACCCTTGTTACGGAAACTGTAGTCCAAGCGCTAGGGCTTCCCCGATTTCCAGTCTCAGCAGAAATATCAGGGGTAGGAGGGAATTCCACCAACAGGTGCAAATATCGCACCGAATGTACTTTAAGCTCAACTACTAATTCAGGATTCAAGATGTGGGTGGAAAATGCCTTCGTTTTGCGTACCCTGACTTCTCCTTTACCAAGGACGAATCTAACTCTACCAACGTGTCCACATTTAACTGGGTTGGAGCTCGCCGACCCAAATTTTATGCACACTAATAGCATAGATGTGCTCCTCGGCGTGGACACCATTCCACAATTTATGATGAGTGGAATCAGGAGAGGATCTTACGATCAACCAATTGCCCAATGCACGCAACTTGGTTGGATCATTTTTGGCAGAATTACGCCAAAACAGACACACACGATATCCATACAATGTCATCATTCTAATCTGGAAACTCTAGTTCAAAAATTCTTCGAATTGGAAGCAGTAAGTACAACCCGTCTCTACACTGCGGAAGAACAATGGTGCGAAGACCACTTTAAACGCACTCATATACGCCAACCAAATGGAAAGTACATGGTGCGCCTACCATTTAAAACCTTATTTGATCCTAACCAAACCATAGGAAAATCAAAACAAACTGCCCTAAATCGGTTTCATTTTTTACAGCGAAAATTCCAAAAGAAACCAGATCTGTATGAACAATACTCAAAGGTCATGGAGGAATACTTCGAGCTGCACCAAATAACTGAAGCCATCACCTCAGAAGAACAGCATCGCCTGGCGGACAAAGGAGGCTCAATCAGTTATACTGCATGCACATTACCCCATCATGCAGTTCTGAAGGCGGACAGCAGCACCACAAAACTTCGAGTTGTGTACGACGCCTCATGCAAGACATCAAATGGAAAATCGCTCAACGACATTCTCTGTATAGGCCCAGCCTTACAAAACGACCTTGGTGGGGTCATTCTCAATTGGCGATTTTTACAATATGTCTTTGCGGCCGATATTCAGAAAATGTATCGTTGCATCGATGTACACCCGGAGGATACACACTTCCAACGGATTATTTGGCAAAGGGAAAACAATGCTATAAAGGATTATTGTTTAACAACTGTGACGTTTGGAACAGCATCAGCCCCGTACACAGCCATTCGCATCATGCATCAGATCGCTCAGGATGAACGAGATCAATTTCCATTAGCAGAACATGTTTTACGAAAAGAAATATATGTGGATGATTTGCAAAGTGGACATGAGACAATTAAGGGAGCCCTTCAAGTTCGAGATGATGTCATCGGGGCACTTCAATCAGCTGGTATGGAGCTTCGAAAATGGGCAGCAAATCATCCCAGTCTTTTGAACTCTATTCCTCCTGAGCACATGTCCAATTCCAAAATTTTGGAAATCGAAAACCAAGAGTCCATTAAAACTTTGGGGCTATATTGGCACCCCAAGGAAGACTTTTATGGTTTCAAATTAAAATTTACAATTGATGAAATTTTCACTAAACGATCAATTCTTGCTACAGTTGCACGTCTGTACGATCCTTTAGGTTTCGTTGCTCCAGTCATAATCATCGCCAAGGTTATTCTCAAAGAAGTCTGGAGCATACGTATTCAACAGGCTGATGGCACTCCAGCAGGATTAGCTTGGGACGCAACGGTACCGCCAGTAATTCAGCACAAGTGGAAAGAATACTGCACCAATTTACTTAAAATTGAATCACTGAGAATACCCCGATGGTTACAGTATTTACCCAGCACCATCGCATCCTTGCAGCTGCATATCTTTTGTGATGGCTCTTCTATGGCATACGCAGCGTGTGCCTATGTGCGGGTCCAACATACAAATAACTCGGTATACACGCATCTCATAGCTGCAAAGAGTCGAGTCACACCCACAAAGCCGTTGACAATTCCTAGAGTGGAACTATGTGGAGCTGTACTCGCCGCACAACTGGGTGACTGGCTCTGCAAGCAAATAGATCAACCAACGCATCCCATTTCGACCTATTTCTGGAGCGACGCAACGATCGTTCTTTATTGGATTGCGGGGGATCCCTTACATTGGAAAACATTCGTAGCGAATCGTGTAGGACGAATTTTGGAGTCCAGTTCTGCATCTCAATGGAGACATGTGCCCACCGGAGATAACCCTGCAGACTGCGCGACGCGTGGTCTCTATCCAGATCAATTAGCTGCCTATGATTTATGGTGGCAGGGGCCTTCTTGGCTACGACTACCAGAATCTCAATGGCCTAGCAAAATCTTTGACATTCCTGATAGCACCAATCTCTCGTGTGAGCAAAAATCGCTTTCTCTACAAACCCACAGCTGCGTTGAGAGAAATCCAAACTCTTTACTCACGTCGTTTTCATCTTACAACAAACTTCTGTTTATAATGGCTTACGTACGACGCTTTATTCACAATTCACAAACGCGCGTGGACTCTCGACAGAGAGGTCCAGTTACCGCCCAGGAGTTTCAGCAGGCACTAGGGCACATTGTCCGACTAGTGCAACATGAAACGTTTAAGGTGGAGATTCAAAAAATAAAGACAAAAACACATTTATCTAGATCGAACAAATTAAGTCAACTTTCCCCATTTCTAGATAACGAAGGAGTGCTGCGTGTCCGAGGGAGATTGAAAAATGCATTGCACCTATCGCCGCATCAACGCACACCGATCATTTTGCCAAAGGATCATCATTTTACCGAACTTGTCATTCGTAATGCTCATCTCAACACATTACATGGCGGGATATCACTTACACTGGCAGTGACAAGGCAAACGTTTTGGATTCTTAATGGGAAACAGGCAGTTAAAAAGATTCTGCACAAATGTGTTGACTGCTTCAAGCACAGACCGAAGGCAGTCACGCAGCTCATGGGAGACCTTCCCTTACATCGAGTGAACCCACCAAAGCGAGCCTTTGAAGCCACAGGCGTGGACTATACCGGTGCGCTAGAAATCAAAGCGTCAAAGTTTCGTGGACACCACAAATACAAGGCATATATTGCAGTTTTTATATGCTTGGCGACAAAGGCAGTCCACTTGGAAGCTGTTACCGGATTGTCTTCTCAGGATTTTTTGTGGGCTCTACAACGTTTTATTGGCAGACGTGGATACTGCCAACACATCTACAGCGATTGCGGTACCAATTTCATTGGAGCAGATAAATCCCTAAACCTTTGGCATGAAGAGTTTCGACAAAGCGTTATCGCAACGGTTATTCCAAAATTAACCGCTCAGCAGATTCAATGGCATTTCAATCCGCCACACAGCCCAAACTTCGGTGGATTATGGGAGGCGAATGTTAAAGCGGTTAAGACACACTTACATCGCACGTGTAAAGGGGCGCTCATGACCTACGAACAACTCTCAACTATTTTGGTTCAAATCGAAGCCTGTTTGAACTCTCGCCCACTTTGCCCGTTGAGCTCGGATATGGAGGATTTAGCAGTACTGACACCGGCCCATTTCTTAATTGGCGATTCCATGATGGCGCTACCTAATCCATCAGCTTCGGATAAATCGTTAAACGCACAATTCTTGGAAGGACAAAGACTGCTTCGAACCTTTTGGCATCGTTGGAGCTCGGATTGGCTTTCACACTTACAATCTCGTCCAAAATGGCAGCGGGTTGAGGAAAACTTGCGTTTACACGACATAGTTATTATTAAAGATGATCGGCTTCCGCCAAATGAATGGAAGCTCGGTCGCATAGTCGAATTACATCCAGGATCTGATAATCTCATTCGAGTCGCATCTATTAAGACGGCATCCGGAATTTATAAACGCTCTTTGTCGAAAATCTGTCCATTGCCATTAGCTACTTATTCAGAGGCTACGGAATAAACATTAATTACGTACATACTTTGTCCACCTCTACATATCGTAATGACACTTATTTCTTTACAGCAAAGTGCAGAAATTTGGTTTAAATACTGGACTCAGTATTTGGGGGCGGCATGTTCGGACGTTTGCTGTAGTTGAGAGAACATAAACCCACCACTCTGTTATAACCGAGTTTTATGTAAAGGGAGTCACAAGAGAGAGAACGATCGACGATTCTTTTATGGGCATCGAACAGAAGCAGTCATCCCAGCCGCTGGTCGCGTTTAATAATCTAATATAATAAATTAAAATTGATACCATTGTCAGCATTGAAGATTGTAAAGTGAAAAAACTGAATTCGAAGTAATTGTAGATAATAAATAGACCATCCATGAAGTGCACCTTTTAGAGTTATAATTTTCAAATTGGTGGAAAAACCCCAGAGCATCTTTGCTCATCTTTGACAATATAAATTGTCACAACAGAATTCTTATACTCTAGAAAAACATATAATTCTCTCAAAAACTCATTGTGTTAATGCGTGTTATTTATGTTTCTAACGCAATGTAGGATACATTTTTTACACGCAAGTCAATAACTTTTATTGAACCTAACACTTTGATATTTAACATGTTAATAACACAAGTTTTTTACAGTGTGTGTTATTTTTCCAACCCTGCTAGAAAAAGCTACTTAATTACTTAGTGGCTAAGGTTTAAGGTCTCACCTCAATTGTTGAATCACTTTCACTGGAGAGTGAATAGCGCACCATTTCGTCGTTGGAAGAACTGTCAGAGGAAGACTGCCTGTGGAAGACATCGTCCTCCGGAACAACAGCAGCAGCAGCCTCCGCCGCCGGGTCATCGCTATCACCCTCCGCCTCCTCGGTCTCCTCCTCCGTCTGCAGCTCTGGCAACTCGGCATCGGATTCCGAGTCGGTCACCGTGCCCACCAGCTCTATGCTGATGCGGCGATAGGAGCGTGTGGCCGGTATGTTGCGCTGGTTGAACCTGGGCGAAGTGAGATCCGGGGAGGTTTCACCTAGCGGCGGAGTCGCCGGTGGCTCATCATCATCGCTGTCGATGGTGCCGGTGCCACTGGGGAGCTTTGGTTTACTGGCTGCCAGCACGGAACTGGCGGCGTGGGGAGATAATTGACACTCCAGGTGGGATGGGCCCGCTTGTTCCTCAGCGGGAAGGGAGGAATCCTTGTTAGCCTGCGCCTCTGCCGGCTCCTTTTCCTCAGAATCCTTTTTCTCCGGCTGCTCCTGTACCTTCTCTTCTTCGTTATTGTTGTTGCTCGTCATTGTTGTGATTGTGGTGCCTTTGATGGCCACCTGGTGTTTCTCCTCGCTGTCCAAGCAACCGGAAAAAAATCAATTGGTTATCCAAGCCGCAGAGCTTACTTAACAGACGTAGACCACCACACTTACCCAATCTGCGCCGCGTCTCCCAGTTGGCCACCACCATCACCATCACCATTACCATCTTCACGGGAATCGGTGTTGCGTCGCTGGCGTTTGCAGGCGGATGCCGCTCCGCTGGCCACGGGATCGGGATCCTTCTCTTCGTCCATCGCTGGTTAAGGGCAGTTCTATAATCTGTTTCTTGCCTATTTTGGTTGTCGCTCCGCTAATATTTTCCTGTTTTCCCGTGCACGCACTTGTTTACGTCCAAAAATCAGCGATGGCACTTTCCTCTGGCACCAAAAGCCCGATAAACCGATAGACTTGGCGCGATTTGGTGATAGCTTTTAAAAAAGTCTGCGGATGGATACAATATATTTCTGAGTTTTGGTAACGGGAATTATTGAATTTTAATAATATTTTAGAAATTAATAATATTTTTAAAGGCCCAGGAAATATTACTTGACTACCGATCAGGAGGAAACCAAATGTATGAATTAAAAATTGTAATAGATTTCTGACAGTTGTCTTTTAAACAAAGGGAAAGAGTTTCCAGGGCAAACTAGACCAGTTAAATGATTGTTCATGGAAAAAAATAAAAGCCAAAGTTAAATGGTTAAAAATTTTTACGTAAAAGAATTTATAAAGCTCTATATTCATCCAAATTAAGCCGTTATGTTATTTTATATATATATATTTTTTAATCTTATGTTCGTATTTTTTTGTTATTAAAACAAATTATAAAAAAAATTTATTTATTAATTTGTTATAAACTTGATAATAAAATTGCATATTGTAAGTTTTAAATTAAAGATCTCTTAAAAGTTATAATGTCTTTTAAAACCTGCTCTTCATGAAGTACGTGCTCTTCGCTGGTTTGTTTTATGCTGAGCGCGGCTTTTGCTCCCCCAACGTCTTGGCATTTTGGCTCTTGGAGAATACTTTGTATGCGGACTGGGTGGATCGGGTTCGGCTTGAGTGCTCTATAGAGCCGGATCCGAATATATGTATCAATTTACGCTGTGGCCTGGTCCGCTGTGACCGATGAAAGAGAGTCGCGTTCATTTATAAGCGAGCTGGCCACGAAGGCGGTGCAAAGTGTTAAAGCGGAATAACAGAAGTTCGGGTAATAAAACATAGTGCATATCGTACAGAATACCAAACCGTATAAATTCGATACGCTAACGGAGTTACATATACTGTACCTATACTTATACTTAACTTGACAAAGAAAAAAAACAGTGAATGTACTTGTTTTTCGATGTCACCTGAGGGTTTCTCTTCGGTTTTTAACGATCGTGTGTGTTTGTTAATTGGCTTTCGACTTCCTCTGCTGCGCATGCGCAACCTACAAAGTACGAAAATGGGAGTTCATCTCCCACCCCATTTGAACTGATGTTTGTTCTCGGCTTCATGGCCTGGTTTTTTCCTCTCGTTTTCGATTTCGTACCCATGTTTTTTTCGAGACGGGTCGGGGTCTCTAAACTCGTGATGAACGCCAAATTCCGGTTTGCCTGGGCAACCTGAGCCACAAAAACTAATAAAAAAGAAACAAATTAATATGCATAAGTTTCGGTGGAAAAGTAAAAAGCCGGAAAGTGAAACCGCCTCTTAAGCTTTGTTTTCCACCCATTTCTCGGTGCGCACTTCCTATATTTTCCGTCTCTCACAATATTACCAACTTTTAAGTGCCTATTCATGCCGTTCGTTATCAGACTTGAGATACCAAGGCCAACTTGTTTTACCCTCGCAAGATAAATAATAAAAAAACAGTCTGGAACTGTGTGTGGATTTCATGATTCACTGTTCTGCTCGATGCACCAAAGATTCGCTGACTTGACCAGCTATTTAAGGGCGCACCGGCGAAAGTTGAGAATCAGGTTCGACCAGCCACTCAAAAAGGCCACTAGCCAGTCGTCATTTATATCCACTTTGTGGAATTAAATGATCCAAGCCGGGCTATAAAGAACAAAGCGAATTCTTTGATTACATTCGGACTTGATTTAGATTTTTTAAGTCCATTTGCAGTGACTCACGCGGTTCGTACTGTAGTTCTTCAAGAAACTTTATTACACTTTAAAGAATAAAAAAGAAAAATAAATCTTAAAAATAACAAAAATTATATATGCGTTTTATACTAATTTTGTGTATAGAACTTTCCATCCTATTCTTCAGATATAATACAATAATAATCTTTTTTTCGAATTCCGGATGACAAACAGTTTTTCTGGCCGGTTTATCTTCCGCAAAAATATGTTAAGTGTGTGTATTATTAATAGATTTATAGTGCTACTTATTAATTAATTGGTTGTGACTAATAAGAGGGTATTATCTTTAAAGGCTATAAATTTTTGTTGAATATTTCGATTGACCAATGTCAAGCTTAAGGAGCATACAAAATTAATCATTGCTTTGAAATACAATAAGCAAATAAAAACATTGCATGTCAGCGATTCATTGCTTATCTCTTATAACAAACGGATGGGAACTACATATATTTGGTTTATTCCGATTGCCCATCCTCTAAAAACAAACAGATGGGAAGTCAATATAGTATATTGTATACCCAACCCAGACTTTGACTTCAGTACGCCAGTTTTCTTAGGGTTTACATGACTCTTGTGCCTTTCACTTTTGCCCATCAATTAAGCCGACAATTGAGCTGAATTGGAATTATGTGTTGTCACAACATAGTTGCAGTTGCAGCCCCGCAAAGCATTTAACTCGATTCTGGATCTATTGACTCTTCCCCAGGAAAAACCGAAGCCACAGACAGATGACGCTGAAGGGTCGACTGAGGGCTTCCCCACCGCAGCTGTGGCTGCTCCTCCTCCTGGCCTCCATTTCGGGCAGCTTGTGGGCTTCAGTGGCCGCCAGGACAGGTGAGTCTTAAAGTCTTATAGGTTAACCACAAAGGGGTTGCTAACTTATTTTTTTGTTTATTTCCAGGACCCCTGCACGATAAGGTGGTGGTTTGCTACATATCCACCTGGGCTGTTTACCGACCGGAGCTGGGTGCCTATGCCATCGACAACTTCGATCCCAACCTGTGCACCCATGTGGTCTACGCCTTCGCGGGTCTGGACATCACCCAGGCAGCCATCAAGTCGTTGGGTGAGTTTCCGGTTCGATTTTATATCCAGTATGCAAATTAAAAGGCTTCCTTATGGCTTACACAGAGAGAAATAAGTTCAGGTCTAAGCTTTTAAAGTTTTTGAGGTTCTAGGATAATTTGTTGTTTAACATATTTCAGTAAAAATTTTATATTTTTGTTAAATATATCTGAAATCCCCATAAATGATTCTAAAAATGTCTGAGAAAAAACGTTTTGCCTATAAAAAATATAATACGAAGTAATATAAAACACTAAAATATAAGTGCTCTTTTAATTTATTCATAAATAAAAAAAATATTTCACAAAATTTTAGAGAATTTGAACTTTGAATACAGTATGAACTTTAATTTTTGTATTGATAAGAACTTTTTTAATTTACTAAATATATATTTTTTTGTTAAGAGAACAACTATACCTTAAATATCAAATAGATCTTTTAGATGATATCAATGTAGTAATCAGGGACCCTAACTGTTATGAGTTTTATGTTAAAAATCACATTTTAACAGTTATTTTCGGATTCATAAAGTAAAACTCAAAGAATAACTGTTATTTTTTGATTTTTATAATAAAAGTTGACAAATAACCGTTATTCGTCGTGATCAAAAATAAAACTCAAACTTGATTTATGGCGATTTTGTGGGTAAAACAAATTTTAAAAAAATATAGTTATACAACATGCACGGTTGGCTTTTTTTAAAAATTTTTAGTAAGTTATATAAAACACGGTAAGCATGTTTTTTTAAATTATTTCTTTTTTTTTTAAATGTCAAGGAAATAACTGTTATTCATAAAAATACTACTAGTAATCTTAATTGACTTTTATTTAAATTGTGTATTGATAAAAACTTGTTTAATTTACTAACTATATATTTGTTTGTTAAAAGAACAGTTAAACCTTAAATATCAAATTGATCTTTATATTTTCTGTTATCTATTAGATGATATAAATAAAGTAATCTTAATTTCTTCCTTTTTAGTACTAATAAATAATTTTTTCTCTGCAGATCCCTGGCAGGACCTTAAGGAGGAGTACGGCAAGGGTGGCTACGAGAAGCTGACGGGCCTGAAGCGCACTCATCCGCATCTGAAGGTCAGCTTGGCCATCGGCGGCTGGAACGAGGGATCGGCCAACTACTCCACCCTGGTGGCCAACAGTCTGCTGCGCGGTCGGTTCGTGAAGCAGGTGTCCAGCTTCATAAGGAAGTACGACTTTGATGGCTTGGACTTGGACTGGGAGTATCCCACGCAGCGCAAGGGAAAGCCCGCCGATCGCGAGAACTTCGTCCTGTTGACCAAGGAGCTGCGCGAGGAGTTCGATAACCACGGACTGCTGCTGACCTCCGCCATCGGAGCGGCCAAGAAGGTCATCGATGAGGCCTACGATGTGCGGCAGATCTCGCGCTACCTGGACTACCTGCACATCATGTGCTACGACTACCACGGCAGCTGGGATCAGAGAGTGGGCTATAATGCACCGCTTGCGGCGCCCGCGGATGATCCGCTGAGTGTGGTGAGTGTGAAGCACCTGTTGAGGAAGTTTCTTGGAAAAATATTAATTCCGGGAATGTTTTTACTATTTTATGTACCTTACACGGTGCATCTAATTTATTAGCTGAGAGTATCAAAAACTAATGATATAAACCCCAGTTTGAGTTATTATGGTATCCTTCGATTATGAATAGGAGGAAAATTATTATTATTATTATAATAGGGTTATTAAATAGTTCGGATCGTTGTAAAGATTTCTTTTTTTTAACTATCTTGTAATTGATAAAATATATTTTTTTTAATTTGTTATTTTATCTAAGATATTATAAAGTTATAGTTTTGGAAGTGTCATTAAAATGTATAGAAAATACAATAACTTGCAGGACCATATTGTTACCGAATTAAGATATTATGTTAAATTCTACATTATATTTATCCTAAAAAGACCCTTCCTAAAATCAGAGTTATTTAAGATATAAGATTATTTGAAATGTTTTTTTTAAGGATTCTTGACTTTTTTCTCACTGAAGTTTTTTGTTTTGGATGACTTTTTGTTAGGTTGAATACCAGCCCTTAGTCTTAAAATCGAATTTTCGTAAACCCTTAATTTAAACCCTATCCATAATTTATTTTTCCAGAAATTCTCCATTGACTACCTCCTAAAACTGGGCGCCCCTCCAGAGAAGCTAGTGATGGGTCTGCCATTCTACGGACGCACCTTCAAAACGGTGGCCCAAGGAAACCTCAACGACGCCAGCGATGGAGTTGGCTTCAGGGGTCCCTACACCCGGGAAGATGGATTCCTCGGCTACAACGAGATCTGCCACACGCTGAGCAATCAAACCTCTGGATGGACTCGCCAATGGGATCCCCAAACCAGCCAGGTGCTGGCCAGATCAGAGCGCAACGTCTTCACCCAGGAGATCAATGTGGTGACCTACGATAGTTCGCGTTCCATAGCCAACAAAGTGCTGTTCGCCATGACCAAGAGATTAGCGGGAGTGATGGTGTGGTCAGTGGATACGGATGATTTCCTGGGCAATTGCAAGCTGGATGAGGATACGTACGAGGACTTCCAGAAGGTGACTTCACTGCCAAGGAGATCGAGTCAGAACTATCCCCTGCTGAGAACTATTAATGAGGCCACCATGCTGGCCGTGGAGGAGCTGGCTGTTCCGGAAACAAAGCCGGATGACTCCGAGAATGAGATTCCGCATGGCAGTATTGCGGATCGAAAGAATGCAGGTGCTTCTGTGGTGAGTTTGGGTCTCGGATTGACTGCCATCTTCATGCTCCTGCACCGGGTGGCCCAATAAAGGATTGGGTTAGGTCCACCGGTGGCCATAGTCTAAGCAAAACATCACCTTGTTTACGTAGTCATTAAAGTCCAAATTTAAATTTCTAAGAAAAAAATACAATGGTTTTATTTGGATGTCCAAAAAGGGTTTATGAAAGGGTTTAAAAATGTGAGAGATCTCCCAAACTATTATAAAACTCCATCATCCAGTTCCCAAACCTTCCCATTAAAAAATCCATTTAAATTTTTCTTAAAATGTTTTGGTTATACTTGGTGTACTCGTTTAATAAATTTTAACTGGCGCTCTAACATTTAACTAACTAGTCATATATTTGTTGTATGTGTGTATATGTCGGTGTGTGTATACGCAACTATGTAAATACGCAGGTAAATATAACATAATTTGTATATATAATAATAATATCCATATAGATTATCATTGCTACAAGTTGTCAACATTCAATTCAATGCTACCATATGTGTTAAGTAATAATATATGTTCTAAGTAAACTATGCAAAGGATATCGCGTAAAGTAGTTAAAGCAAGGTCTTCTTTTTGGCGCCCCCTTGGGGGCCATTGATAGTTGGGAGATAGAGAGGATATTTAATAGAATAGAGTTTCGTTTTTTTTGTTGGATGGCAAACATTACAGATGCGACGATTCGAAAACCAAAGGTGATTGGTTCTACAGGCAGTGATGATACTTATATCGTATGATAAACGAGAAATCTGAAGGACTTCCATCACTGATATCCGAATCCTTCTCTATAGAGAATATAATGAAGGTGAAACCGCTGCTAGACAAATACCTCCTGTTCGTCGGTGCCTCACAAGCGACCTCCATCCGATGACCAGTCGGATCGCTCGGCTCCACTGCCATAGATGTCCAGCTGTTCCCGCGATCGCGTCTTCGACTTGGCCTTGTGCTTGGCCTGCTGGGTTCGCTGATAGGGATTGCCACCCCTATCGTTGATTACCTCGTAATGGGAATCCCCACCAACGTTTGATCCCCCGGCAATCAGCAACTCGTGGATGTTCTTGGTGGAGCGACGATGCGCCTCCAGGCACTGCGACTCCGAGGAGTAGGGAAACGAGGCCACGAAGCTGGGACTGCTGGACTGCTGACCCGCCGCCGGCGGAGGAGGATCACTGGCAAAGTTGGCCGGCGGCGGCAGGGGAAGATTCCCACCACAAGGCGTCGATGGCGACAGATCGGTGAACTCCGTCTTGGCCTCCGACTCCACGGAGCACATGCTCTGCCGCGAGATCTCCTTCTGCAGCTGCTGCGCCTGCTGCTGTTGCTCCTTCAGCGTGGGCATGTTCAGGTTGGAGCTCTCGTAGTCATCTTCCCTTCTCGTCTGCGGAATGGGCAGTCGGCTCCTCACGGAGTGCTCCCTTCCGCGTCCAAATCTCTGTGCGAGATAATCCTCGTTGCTGCTGTGGCTGCAGTTGCTGTGCTGGTGATGGTGACCTCCCTGGTGACCCTGATGCACCTGATGGTGACCCTGATGTCGCTGCGCATTGTCGTAGTAGCTGTCGTTCTTCACCGACATGTTGCAGCAGCTGCTCACGTCCGCAAAGTAGACCTCCGATTCCGCGGGATCTGTGCCCACCGCCTGATCCTTGGCAATGGCTCCATTGGAGTCCTGGTAGCCACTGTTCTCCACCCCCGCCGTCTGGGGCTGCGCCTCCTGGGGATTAGCCTGCACTGCCTGCTCCTGCTTGGCGAACAACTGCTGGACATTCGGTCGCTGCTGGCCAGGATTGCTCTGTGGTCCAATGCTCTTGGCTCCCGTGCCCGCCTCCAGTCGCTTCTTCAGCTTCCTCGTGGGCAGCGTATTGGAGCAGCGTTCCCGCTCCCGAGGATTACCACCATCGCTATCAGAGGGTGTGTTCTCATACTCCGCCTTGGACTTGTAGGCGGAGGAGCGAGTGGCGGCCACCAGGGTGCTCACATTCCCGGCACTGCTCAGCCCATCCATCCTCTCCAGAGTGGCGGACTGGACTTGGAGGCGTTGCAGCTGCAACTGTTGCAATTGCTGCTGCTGCTGCGGATGCGAGTGCTGTAAAGTCGGATGAAGCTGCTCTTGGGTGAGGGTCACAGCCACAGTCCCACCCGCATTTCCCACTAGGCAAGCAGTGGGCTGGAGATACTGATAGTAACCCCGCCTCGCAGGACTATTGGGATCGCTGTACGGCGGCGGAGGACCCCAAACGCCATAGGGTAGAGCATTCGGCGGCGGCATCGCTCCATAAGCGGCGGCCACCACGGGCTCCTCGATGAGCATCTGATTGCCATCTCCCTGGACCGCAGTGGATGAACTGAAGCCGTACTGGGAATCCGGACTGGCGGCAGCCTGACGGAAGCGACGACCTGCATCCGGTGTGGTTCTTTGCCAGGGCATCCTTGGCCAGCTCCAACCGCTGCTACTCCTACCAGCTCCTCCGCCTCCTCCGCCGTTCCTTTCTCCACTCCGGCAGCTGCCCACCGCATCCTCGCCTCCGGGATTCGGTGAGTAAAAGTTACCCGGCGGCTGAGCTGCCCAGAAGCGCTGCTCTCCTCCACCTCCTCCTCCGCCGGCGGCTGCTGCTGCGGCGGCCACCGTCGCCTCATCCCAGGGATATGCGGTGGCCTGCAGGGGCAGCGTCAACTGCCTGTGGGCGTGGCACTGCTCACAGCACCGGCAGTTCAACATCCTGCCAGGACCCAAACTGGGCGGAGGAGCCTGACTGGCGTAAAGGGAACGGCAGCGCAGCTCCAGCTGCTCCCAGTACATCTTTTTCCGCTCGTGACTCAACAGTTGGTACACCAACATGCAGCTGAAGACGGCGATCAGAACTCCGGCTACGGAAAGGCCAAAGATGGCCCTCAAACAGGAGTACAGGGAGCCATGAACCACCCCACAATCCGAGAGGGAATCGAACACCAGGCGCACTCCTTCTGAAAGGGATTGGATTAATTAGCCAAGGGTTTGGTTTTGGGGTATGGCCACCACTCACCCTTATCCACACGATCCACCTGGGATTCAATGAGATCCGAGTAGCAGGTGCAAGTCCTCGTCTTCTGGGCATACTCGCATTCCCTCAGAGCCTGCAGACGACTCATGTGGAGCACAGTGGTGGTCACGGTGACCAAGGCGCAGGTTAGAGCGGAGACCAGGCCACAGGCTCCAGATAGTTTGATCTGAAAAGGTTAAAGAAGGTTTAAAGAAGGGTTAAAGAAGGTTTAAAAATGGTTAAATGAAGGTTTAGAGAAGGTTTAACGAAGGCTTAAAGAAGGGTTAAAGCAGGTTCAACAAAGGTTTAAAGAAGGTTTAATGAAAGTTTGATGAAGGTTTACGGAAGGTTTACAGAAGTCTTAAATAAGGTTCTATCATGGTTTAATGACTGTTTAAAAAAGGGTTACAGAAGGTTAAAATAAGGTTTAAAGAAGGTTCAACGAAGGTTAAAATATGGTTTAAAGAACGTTTAAACAAGGCTTAAATCAGGTTTAAAGAAGTTTTAAAGAAGGGTTAAATAAGGTTTAAAAAAGAGTTAAATAAGGGTTAAAGAAGGTTAAAAGAAGGTTTAAAGAAGATTTGAAGAAGGATTAAAGAAGATTTAAAAATGGTCTAATGAACTTTTAATGAAAGTTTGAAGAAGGTTTAAAGAAGGTTCAAAGAAGGTTTAAAGAAGGTTTACGGAGGGTTTAAATAAGGTGGAATTATAGTTTAATTAAAGTTTAATTAAGCTTTAAAGAAGTTTTAAAGAAGGTTTATCGAAGGTTTGGAGAAGGTATAAAGAGGTCTTGCTCACCAAATAACTATATCGATTCCTCCGCCTGGCCAGACTCATGATGCAGATGCCCGTGAGGATGAGCAGGGTGGCGGGCACAAAGGTGGGAACCGTTTCGAAGTTGCCCACCGTGATGGTGTAGGAATGGAGCAGGAAGTAGACGCCCAGGAAGAGCACGCCCAGCAGGCAACTGAAGCCGCCGCAGATGAGGCACCACACAACGTACTTCTTGATCCCAGCTCCATGGCGATGGGCTGTAAAATAGGTGAATAAAATATATATTAAATACGAGTGACTAAGAGAGAGAATTAGTTCAATCCCAACCAGAGCCGCGATGATGGCCATCCACGTTCCCCGAGGAAGGAGGAGGAGCTGGCACCCAGGAGCAGGGCGGGGGCATGCTGTACTGCACGAACTGCATCACCGGATAGCCGTGCATGTTGTATGGGATATACGGATTGGATTCCTTGGTCAGTCGGAAATGATAGTTTGGCTATCAACTAAGAACACATCCTGGCGGGGATCTCCTCAAAAAAGCTGCGAAATTCCGGAACACGTTTTATCACTCTTTCTTCTTTTTTTCTCCGCAGCGAACAGAAAACAGAAAAATATCTACACAGCCATGGAAGCTGGCTGAGATGAGGGGAGAAAGCTGGCGATGATGGGATGAGGCATCTGCGCGGACTTGGGCCAATGGAGTGGGGCACTTGGACGCTGGATACTGGATACTGGATACTGGATACTGCTGGAGATTGGGAGGTGGCGCCACAAAGAGTGTGCGTTGCAATTACAGGAACGGTGTCAACTGAAATCCCGACTGACATTAGCACAGCGCCAACCCCCCGAGCAAATATTTTGCACCAGCTCCAGGAGAAATAGAGAGGACGAAAAAGGAAGAGAGAAGAGCAAGGTCTTCGGGCGCAGGCGCAGGAAACGCGGATGAGGAAGTCACGGCGAAGCGGAAGCTGCGTTCGCAACGGGGCGGAAAATCACTGACACGAAATCTGTGACCAGGAAAAACAGTGATTCGCGACAGCACTGTTGGGGAATGAGAGCCAGGACCTTGAGCGAATCTTATGATACCCTATAAAATTGAAAAGAGCCCATTGTTACCATATATTACCATATTACCAAAATATTTATATTTTAGCTAAATGAAACAAAATTTGTTTACCTCAAGAAACATAATACATCATAAAAAAATCTACACCAAAAAAAAAATCGATAAAGATCAATTTTAATTTGATATGTGGCCAGGTAAATTTGACCTGGTCGAAAAGGGTATTTCATGTAAAAACGATATGGGTTTAGCATAAACATGCTTTTTTTGTATGTACATAAAGTTATGGAATAAATTCTGTAGAAATAATCTTTATATGTATCTTTCATATTTGCCAACACTCTTAAGTGGAATGCATTTGCTTTTATTTCTCAAGTCTTCAAAGACGTATACGACAGAACCAGCAAATGGAAACTTTATCTGTGGCATTGCAAGAACATTATTTTCATAATTTTTTCCCAATTTAAAATATAAATAAAATGTATTTTTCGAATTTATTTGGCAATATTTTAAATAAACATATTTCGTCAAAAAATTTCTTACGAGAAATTTGTGGTGTTGAAAGTGCCATCGTCACTAGTATATACCAGAAGGCCGTAATCGTTATAATTTATATTTAAACACACGTTCATAATAATTTTAGTTTCTTAGAAATCTGGTTCTCAGTGTTTTAAGATATAAACTTAAGACGGGGCCTGTATAAGGGCTCCCATTTTTCTTATCGCTCTTTAGTTTTTTAAACCTTTGTACAACGTTAGTGATAATACACCAAACTTGCTAAACTAAGAGCGACACCATACTTAAAGAACATACACAGATGGAAATGCCCTCCTTCATTCCGGAAGTAGAACTAACTTACCCTTACCGATAATCGTTCCAAAATAAATTTAATATGAACTAGTATAACGCTTAATTCTAAGAACATCTTGTATTCCTTGGAAATCAGATTTGGGTGTTTTAAGATGTGTATTTAAGGCAAAACGCAAGTATAAAAGCCACAGTTCTTTTCTGGATACCATTAGAAGTACACGAATCGTTCTTTAAAGTTTTCGAGCCTGTGCAACTATTATCGGGAAATCCAGTAACGTAATCCTTGCTACTCTTCTATCAAAAAAACGACTTTGGTTCAAATACCATATTTAAGATCAGTCCTGCATTGTTAACCTTTAGGGCTGCAAAAAAGGTAAGTTTCACAAAAAAAACAAGAGAGAACGCTATAGTCGGGTTGGTGTCCCGACTATCTAATACCCGTCACTCAGCTAAAGGGAGTGCGAACGCTGTGTCGGGTTGGTGTCCCGACTAATAATCGTTACTCAGCTAAAGGGAGTGCGAGGGAGATAGATATATGTTGACAATTTATAAAGCGTATAACTTTTTAATGAATGGTCCGATTTGAAAAATGTCTTCTACATTTCGATAGGTATAAATATACACAACAAAATTGCATTTATACTTCTCGGAAATCTTTAAAGATGTGGGCGCAGGACCCATTTTAAAATCGTTAGTGGGCGATTGTGGGCGTTAGAGGGGGCGTGGCGCTCGGCTAAAATAAACTTGCGCTGCGTAGGAAGCCAAAGAATATGTGTGGGAAATCTCAACCTTCTAGCTTTTGTAGTTTCTGAGATCTCAGCGTTCATACAGACGGACAGACAGACAGACGGACAGACGGACAGACGGACATGGCTAGATCGACTCGGCTAGTGACCCTGATCAAGAATATATATACTTTATGGGGTCGTAAACGCTTCCTTCTAGCTGTTACATACTTTTGCACGAATCTAGTATACCCTTTTACTCTACAAGTAACGGGTATAATAAAAAATCTTTAAAATACAAGGATTTATGTAAAGAAAATATTTAAAAAGAAAAGGAAAATAATAATCCGTGATTGATCCGTAATTTTCCATTGACTTTTTCAGTAGACCGAGATGTCAGAGGAAACTGGGGAGCTGATCAACCAGGCGACAATGTTACCGCATCACAGGCTTCGCAGGCACACGGACAAGGTTTGGTTGGTTTTGCTCGGGGTTTTTGCCTTCCTGTGGATTATTGTTATCGCTACCAAATTACCATTCGGAAGTTATAGACCCAAGGACTCTTTAGGGCAAGTGTGCGGCACTGGTACCGAAGTGAACAAATCAAAATTGTTCTATTTCGACATGGATAAGTGCCAGAATCCACTGTTAAATCCCTTGTCAACGTGCGAGACCCCACAGGTAAACAAATATATTTAACTAATTATAACTACATAAATATTTTTAGTAAAGAAATAGTTTTAGGTAATACTAAATTTTTGCCCATAACTTTTTAATATATTGTCCGATTTAAAAGTTTCTTCCACATTCCACACTTTAAAACAAGAGAGAACGCTATAGTCGGGCTTGTGTCCCGACTATCTAATACCCGTCACTCGGCTAAAGGGAGTGCAAGGGAGATGGATATATAACTTTTTTTTTGATTGCGTATAACTTTTTAATGAATGGTCCGATTTGAAAAATGTCTTCTACATTTCGATAGGTATAAATATGCACAACAAAATTGCATTTATACTTCTCGGAAATAATTAAAGGTGTGAGCGCCAGACACATTTTAAAATCGTTAGTGGACGATTGTGGGCGTAAGAGGGGGCGTGGCGCTCGTCTAAAATAAACTTGCGCTGCGTAGGAAGCCCAAGAATATGTGTGGGAAATCTCAACCTTCTAGCTTTTGTAGTCAGAAATATACCCTGCAAGTACTCTACGAGTAGCGGGTATACAAATATTTTAAATTTAAAATACATTCTTAAGATATTATAATATACTAAATCATTCAACAGGTGTGTTTAAAGTCCTGTCCCAACGAAACGTTCTTGTGGGACACGATGAAGGACGAACTCAGCTTCGAGGACCTGTACAGTCGTCTCATCTGCCTGACGGACAAGATCAAGGACCAAGTGAGCACAATAGAGGACATGGAGAAGGCCATTGAGCGCAAAGTTTGTGCGCGATGGTACAGCAACAGCACTTCATATTTCGGCCGATGCATTTCCGATACTTCGAAAAACATATGTGATTACCTCCCAAGCGACAACATTCGCGAGAAGGTCCACAGCGGGATCATGGGCTTGACCACATCATCGGAGGAGTGCCGCCACTTACTGAACGAAACTCTCTTCAAGAATTCATTCGTGGAGACTTTCCCGACGTTAAATAATTTGATGAAAAATGCGACCCAGAGTGTCATCTATGCAACGGATAAGGAACTAATCGAAGATCTGAAAAGGTCTCAGCTTTGCATCATCTTTGTCTGCATCGGCATTCTGATCGCCTCAGTGACTATAGTTTCCCTTATGAGATGCAAACCCAATTTCTGGTTGCAGGCCTCCTTTTTTTTAATGATCGTATTTCTAATAATAGCCTTTGGGTACTCCATTTATAGGGCCATAAATGTTGGAAAGACGAATACCATCATTTTCGGCTTCGAGCTGTATAAAAGAACGCAATGGATGTTTATATCAGCGATCCTTTTCTTGACCATCATATTTTTCATAAGTGAGCGCATAAAACAGAGTTCAAGCATCAGCTTTGTATCTGTTCTCCTTAAGGAGGCCAGTAAGGCGACGACAAAAAAGCTCATGAAGACTTTGGGGTTCACGTTCTTCAACTTAGTACTCTTTATAATTTCCCTAGCTTTTACTATAGCTATTTGCTTGCTTCTGGTCAGCACCGATGAAGCTTTATTTGAAGACGAATCGGGTAAATCCTGCGACCCAAAGACTTTGAATATTTCGGAAGGCACCTGCAGCTTTAAAGAGATTGACAGATCGTGGTGGACAAATTTTGCACTCTTCTACATCGTATTCATTTTCGTCTACTTAGACTCCTTGATCTACGACTTAAGCTACATGATACTAGCCTCCAAGTTCGTCAATTATTACTGGAAGTCGAAATCGACTTTCTTCTCGGGCATTAAAAAGCATATTGGAACCGTGGTTAAGGGTTCGATCGGTACCATGTTCAAAAGATTAGCCAGCAATATAATTAGAATCTCACCATCGTTCCTTGCACCCTCTTTGTCCTGGCTTGCCCAGGTTTGTCTAAGAACCCCATATTACAATGCCTACATCATGTGTGCCGATCAGGGCTGGGATTTGAAATATAGTGGCGATCATTCGAAAAAATTAACCAACGAAAACGCATCTCTTGGGTTTTATGTTGAAGAAGTCGGTCACGTTTTCTTGTGTTATTTGAGAATGGTGATAATCATCATCGCAGGAGGGTTCACCTATTTCGTCCTGCCTTGGTGTTCGATTCAACACAATGTGGTACCCACCATAGTGGTATGCATTTCCGCCTACTTCTTGACAAAAGTGGTATTTGTGATCTATGGAACGGCTGTAGACACGTATTACCTGTGCTATCTGTTAGAGCGCGAGGAAAACGGCGGAAAATGTACGTCCGCGGCTTTTCAAAAGATCACGGATGAAATTGAAGAGAAAAAGAAAAAAAAGGAAGAAGAAAAGCTCATATTTGAATTACAAGATAAAATGTACCGGGAAGAAAGGATGGTACATAGAGAAGTACAAAAAAGAAAGCAAGAAAAAAAAAAACAAAAGAAGGAAGAGAGAAAACAAATGAAAGCTGCTGAGAAAAAAAGGAAGGAAGAAGAACAAAAATTGCTCATGAATGAAAAGCTAATCGAAAATGAAGAAAAAGAAGAAGACAAAGTCGAGAATGAAGCGCAAGGACAAGAGCAAAGGGAGAATGTACCAGAGGATGAGGATATCGGGAAGGAAGAGCACTTACAAGTTACTATCATTAATGAAAGGCTAATCGAAAATGAAGAAGAAGACGAATTCGAGAATGAAACACAAGAACAAGGGCAAAGGGAGAATGGATCAGAGAAAATGGGGAATGAAGAGCACTTACAAGTTATGGGTAATGATCGTGAAATAGATTCAGAAAATAACAGGATTAGAGTTTAAAAAATAAAAACTTTTTTGCAATGGTTTTTGCCATAAAAAATACTAATACCATGTTATTAAGTAATCACATTTTTGCCGAATTTCCATCGAATAGTTAGAATTAGTTAGAATAGATTTCTGTATACCCCCTATAAGATTCTTTGCTCTTTTCCCGAAATTCCTTGTTAATATCAATTACTATTTCATTTATGTACCTAAAATCTGTATTACCAACAGACTAGTTTCGAATAAAAGTATCATATGAGATCTTCCAGTTTTCCATACCAAAACGAGTTCTTAACTTCCCCCTACCAAAATTAAGAACTTCTTTCAACTCACCTATGGAACCATTCGCATTACTCCTGGGCCTGGGCGGTGGGCGTGGCGGCAGAGGTGGCCGATTATCATCCAGAATCTGTGACTTGATTCCCGAACCCGGGGAAGTAGCCACCACTCCTCCTGCTCCATCCAGCTCCGTGTCGTGGTAGATGTCATTGCAACTATCCCCCGTGGGTTGTGTCTTCGGCGGAAGTGCTGCAGCTCCTCCGCCAGATCTTGACTTCTTCTTCTTGATCATGGTGCTATTGTTGTCCGATTCACTGACCGTGATCTCATCTGCCCCCAGCATGGCATCCGCCAGTAGACTCCTCTTGTGCTGGGCCAACGAGGAGTTGCCTCCGGTGGCTGGACAGGAGCACTCCAGATCGCAATCACAGCTTCCGGCTCCGGCGGAGGAGTCCAGTTGGAGCTGCTCCTGGTGATGATGATTCTGGTGCTCCTCGTGGAGCGCCTGGTAGGAGTGATTGAGCAGGGATTGGGCGGACTGGGCCTTGAGTGGCTCCTGTTGACTGGGCGTCTGTTGGTGGACCAGCACAGCCACGGCCATCGAGGCATTCTGGCCGGGTTTGGTTGGAGCAGGAGGAGGAGGAGGAGCAGGTGCCCTGCCGCAGGAGCAGGGACACTGGCAGGGCAGTTGTTGTTGTTGCAGCTGTTGAGGCTGCTGCTCCTCAAGTTGCAGCGGCTGAAAGTGCGCCGGATACTGGATGTAATGATAGTGATGGCCCATCAGTTGGCCAGGCGGAGCAGCTGCTGCTCCTCCAGCTTCCTGCTCCCCCTGCCGATCGCGATCGCGACCAAGACTGGATTCCGATGAGACACGTTGCAAGGATGCCGACGCATTCTGTTGAGCTGCCGCTGCTGCTGGTGGCAACTCCATGTTGTCCGAAAACCGGTTTGACCCTTTAACTTCCAGCGATCACTTATGCTGCACACTCATTTTTTTCCACTTTTTCAGCTCGCGGGTCTCACGCTTCTAAAACCGAATACCGATAAATTGGCCGAATTTATTGCTAATTCTGCAATATTTCGCCTGTATATATAAATATTGGATTAACATAAACAAGGCACCACCACCGCAAAGCACACACGGAAAACAAAAGCAGCGACGCGGTTTTAGATTCGGATTCGGAGATTCGAAGAGAGCGGAGATCAAGCCGCGCTCGCAACTCAAACGTAACTGAGAGACAGTTCTCGACTTCGATCGCACTCTGATCTTTTCGAACTCTGGAGATCGAACTTACACTGAGCGAAGAAATGGAAAGCGAAGATAAATAAAATTAAAAGGTTAATGCGGAAAATGCATTTTATCTTTGAATTTTAAAAATACATAAAATGTGTTAAAGCGTGTTTATAAGTTAATCTAATCAAATACAAACGAGCTCCAGTATTCCCTTAATAAAAAGAGTTTTTGGAATTTATTGAATCAAAATGGGCATCAAATTATTTAATTTAAATATCTATACAATTGAACACCATTTATTTAATATTACATTAAAAATAAAGTTTTTAAAATAATAAAACTTAAAATAATTTTCCCTTATCAATTAGATTAATTTTTGTCAGTGTAGGAGTTCGAAGCGCCTTGCAACTGACACCCACACATTACAATCCAAGCTCAAACTCGAGCTCCAACTTCAACTCCACTCCACTGCGCATGTGTGCGTGTGTGTTGCGCGCGCTTCAACTTCAAACGGATTCCGGTTCTAGTTGTTGTTGCTCGCTGCACTGATTCAGAAAAATCTTTAAAGACGAACAGGGAAAATCAATTTCTTTGTTGTTGCCAAAGGTGAGCATTTGTTTTCGTTACCTTTACCTTTACGATTACCTTTTTTCTGCCTGCTGAGCGACTACCTGAGTATGTGGATAGTACTACCTATAACTATATCGCAACCTGCACGCCAGAATCTGTGTGAGAACCCATATTTATGAGTGAGTATTGGTGTTTGTGTTGGGGTAATCGGTAGATCCAATTTAAATGAGATCCCCAGCTGAAATAGTACAGTGGATACTGGCTATCTTGACTTGCCTTTGAATAGGAAATGTTTGTTTGGAAATGTATCTATAGGGTTCAGTGGTTTTTCTAGTTTCCATTTTACGGTTGATTGACCACACCTCTTCAACCCTTTTTCAGGTTTTCCCAGAGTTTCCTCTTTAAATTAGTTTCGCACAGTAGGTGTCCTCTAAAGGAATTTCCATATTCCATTGATTCGACTTCTGTGTGACCAAACAATAACCTACAAATAATAATATATAGCCATTGGTGATCCCGATGTGCTTAAAAATCTTATACCTTTAAAACTCCTAAACTAAAAACCCCTAAAAGTTTTCCACACAATAATTTCGCGCATAAAAAATTGTCAATCATTAAATTCATTGAATGACTTTTTTTATTTCACACATTATCTAAAAGATACTTTATACTGTATAGCTATTGGTGACCCCGAAATTCTATAAAACCTTATACTTATGGATCTTCTAAACTTAGAAACCCCTAAAAGTTTTCCTCTAAAATTTCGCGTATAAAAAAAGGCGACTTAATTAGTCCGCTGTGGTCTCATCTATTTTAGTAACCTGATATCTGTTTCCCGGACACACCTTAAAGTGTTAAAAACGTTAAAATACCACCTTCTTCACCAATAGCAAAGCACACACCCCTTAGCTATTAATCAATCGATTACTTTAGTCATATTTAACTGATAGCTGACATTTCCGCTGCATGATAACGCACCTGATATTGGAACATACCCCACCATGGGAGAGATACTCTAGATAGGGGTATAGTTCTTATAAATTGGAGCAAATATATGAGGATTAATACAATTTGGACCTTGTTCCTTGACTTAATATTTGGGTTAATGTTCTATATTCTCTAAAATCATCTAAAACAAGTCCCATTTGTTACCCCAATCCCAAATATTTTTTAGTATATTCCCTGTTCGGCTCTTACGCACATCGTCTTCGTATTATCGCCCCTCTAACTAAGAGCTTAATCAGAGATCGAGCAAATATTGCACTGAAATTCCTGGTAAATCGCAATAAGACGCCAAGTTTTCGTTTCGTATTATTTGTGTTTATTGTTTAAGGGGCGTAATCACTACATATACATACACATACGAGTACGGAACCTACTTAAATTAGAAACGTCGTTTGCACTTTGGCTATATACAATTGCGCTGATACGGTCAGCCATCGTCAATCTAAGGCTAAGAAGTACAGAATATGCAACGAAAACAGGATAAGATAGGTCAGGCTACAGGATAGTCTTAAATTAGTAGGTTGGAGCTTGTTCCAGCTCTAAGTAAGCAACTATTTACAGGGTTTAAAGCACGTTCAACCACCCATTGTCCTTGGAGGACTATGTACAGTGTGTAAGATCCAAACGAAATCCGGACAAATAATTACTATCACAACCGAGAATCGATCCGAATGCCGGGCGGCAATCCTGAGTCATGTTTACTGGCCACTTGCGGCGAGGGAATGCACCAGCATGGCGAAGCTGCTGATGAGGAAGATGCTCGCTGGGAGCGAGGACAGCATGCGGTAGTTCTCCTCCGTGTGCTCCCGCGTCTTCTTCTGCTTGATCACCCATCCGAGGCTGCGTTCCACAGCCCTCTTCCACTTGCCGTAGCGCTCCTTGCGCTCCACATCCGTGGTGGTGGCCAGGAAGGTGTCGTAGTGCACGTTCTCGTAGTAGCGCTTCTCGGGCTCGAATTGGCACAGATCCACGCCCTCCGCTTGAGCGGCACACATGGCGGCGCCGAAAGCCGTGGAGTCCATCAGCTGGGAGCGAAAGACGGGCAGGCCAATGGTGTCCGCCTGCAGCTGCATCAGCAGGTTGTTCGTCGTCAGCTTGCCATCGGCATGGAGCTTATTGATCTCGTAGCCGCACTCCTGATGCATGCACTCCAGGATGTCGCGCGTCTGGAAGCAGATGCTCTCCAGCGCAGCCCTCACTATGTGATTCTTGCGGGTGAACTGCGTCAGTCCAATGATGATGCCACGGGCATTCTGCCGCCAGTAGGGAGCATAAAGTCCAGTGAAGGCGGGCACGAAGTACACATCGCCCGAGGTGGGCACCATCTCGGCATACTTCTCCGCATCCCTGGAGTCTGGCAGGATGCGCACTTTGTTCTGCAGCCAGGAGAGCGCATGACCAGCCACCGAAACGGCTCCCTCAATGGCGTAGATCGTGGGCGCCTGGGGACCCAATTTATAGGCCACCGTGGTCAGCAGTCCGTGCCGCGAGAAGACGGGCTTATCTCCCGTATTGCAGAGCAGAAAGCAGCCGGAGCGATAGGTGTTCTTCGTCTGTCCCGGCTTAACGCACATTTGACCCAACAAAGAAGCCTGCTGGTTGCCCATGATTCCACTAAGAGTCATGCCACGCAGCGGACTTCGCTCCGATGTGATCTTGCCAAAGATCTCCGAGCAGCTGTGGATGGTGGGCAGCATGTCCTCCTTGATGCCGAACGTCTTGAGCAGCACGGGATCCCAGTTTTGGGTCTCCAGATTCATGAGCAGCGTGCGCGAGGCATTCGTCACGTCGGTGATGTGGAGGGCACCTGTTGGGGAGCGGGAAAAGTAAGTAAGTAAGAGGATATATATTAGAGCCCTGTGTGAATCATTCAATTTGTGTTTTATTATAGTATGCCATGAAATTTTTGATTTGTTTAATTCAATTCTATGTGAAATAAATTGATGTTTTTCTAATTCATTTCGAATTGAATGAATGAATGAATAATTTGAATGCATTTTTTAAATTTGCCAGATTTTCTTTGTGCTTTCTTTTGAGAAGATTTTTAACAAATCAATATTAACTGCTTAAAAAATATAATTCATGCAGATTTAATTACAAAATTATGGTCCTTTTTTCTTCAAAAGAAATTGTCGTTTGAATTATTTCGGAATCCATGCCATTCAATCAATTCTAATAAACTCAAAATTCTAATTAATTCATTAATTCAAACAATAAAATTCAAAATAATTCATTGCAGGTCTCTAAATCCCACATACCATTTGTTAAATTCCAGACGATCCAGCTGTCCACGGTTCCCGCCTTCGCACGCCTCTCCCTGATCGCCTGTCGCACCTCGGGAACATTATCCCTCAACCACCTAATCTTCAAAGCCGAGAAGTACGTGGAGATGGGCAGGCCAGTGCTGCTGCGAAAGTGATTTGGGTCCTGCACCTTGGCCACGATCTGCTCCACCGTAGTGCTGGTGCGGATGTCCTTCCACAAGAGTGCATTGTACAGTGGCTTCCCGGTGACCGCATCCCAGACAATTGTTGTCTCTCGCTGGTTCGTAATGCCCACGGTGGCGATGTCGCTGGCGGAGAATCCCTGCTCGGGCAGCTGCTTGATGGCCTCCTCGGCGCACTTGTTGATCGAGGCCATCATCTCCAGCGGATCCTGTTCGTACCAGCCGTCCTGGGGAGTGATCACGCTCAGCTCCACCCGGTGAGCGGCGATCTCCTTGAAATCCGGTGTGGTGTAAATGGAGAAGCCAATGGTCTTGGTGCCCTCATCGATGACTCCTACTAAACCGGTGTGCTGGATGAGCGACTGCTTGCGCAGCTCCTTGCTGCGGAAAGGCACATCCGCACTCGAGTGGGGTAAGTTCTTGCCCTCGGTCATGCTGCCTGCAATTTATGAGATAAGATAACAGTTAGTCTGGGTGAATTATTGCATAATAATGGGTTGTAAAATGGGTTTGTAAAAAATTGTTTACAAATAAAATGATAGAGATAATAGGTATAGCTCCTAAAACCTATTTATTATAATAAAATATATTGTTTGAAACTATTAATAAATTATTTAGTAAAGATAACAGCTACAGCTCTTAAACCCATTTATTTTAATAAAATATATTGTTTCAAATTATTAGTAAATTGTTTAGTAATGATAATAGCTAATAGCTATAGCTCCTTAACCTATTTATTATAATAAAATATATTGTTTCAAATTATTAGTTAATTATTTAGTAGTGATAATAGCTATAGCTCCTAAAACCTATTTATTTAAAAAAAATATATCGTTTGAAATTATTAGTAAATTATTTAGTAATGATAATAAGCTATATCATAAACATTTTATTATCTCCTAGTAATATTTTTCTATTGCCTCAAAAAACCCGAAAGCTTAAAAACGAACGTCATATTCAAGGTACTTCCGCTGGAGGTCCAACCAATATTTCAAACACAATAACCATAAAATCATTCCGCGATAACGATCTGAGATAAAGTGGAAAGGCTGTACGTATCTCTCATATACCCCCTCCCTCTTTTATTTTCAACACCCGGGTTCTATATTTGCCATTCACACTTCCCTGGAGACACATGGACATGGTGGACCTGTCGAGCGATATGATCTGAAATGGACTTGTGTTCAAAACACGAGTACGTTGTACTCGAGCACTTGTTTGGCCCATTGTTGACTTTGTACCCGCCCGTCTCGTTTGGGGGGCTTGATTCCCATTCTAATGGTCGAGCCCTCTTCCCACTCTCACACAGAGAAAAAAACACACTTGTTGACGCCAACAACTTATCGCTCGGATTTAGGAGCTACGTTAGAAACTGGAATACATAAATTATGGTAAGCTACTGATTCGTGATTGCGCTCCCTGCGACAAGGTCAAGTGCTCGGAACAGAGATAAGACCCTAATGATTGAGTGCACATATAGGTTGTTTTATTTCACCGCTAGGTAAGCTGATTCAGATCTACATTCGAAAACTTTCCACAGTTTCCCCGCTTTCCGGACTCATCTGGTTGTCAGGTTAAATTACCAGGCGACACTTTTCAAAGTTAGTGCGTTTATTTTTATGGCTGTGTACTTTTGTTAAGCACTGTTCCTCTGATAAGCAACTATCGATACACTAGCCATAAAAAGTTATGTTACCCGAAATCGTAGATTAGATATGGAAAGCACTTTTCCAGTGGGCTGATCGAGCAATATTTGCTGGGAACATTCAAATGAAAACCATCAAGGAATTAACAAATAGTTGCAATTACAAGGGATGATTTACGATTGCAAGTAACAATCGACGATAACTGCGATAAATAATATTTGATGAGTTGTTGCCTCACTTTTGATATTCCGATTGTTGTTTATAGCTGATAACACTTGTTTAAATATTTTAGAAATGTAAGAGAGAGCGAAAGGCGAAAGTCAAAGAGCGGGAATCGATCGGAGGAGAGAAAAGCAGAGCGCGACGAATATAAAAAACACAACCGACCGCGGCGAGCGCCAAAAAGTATCTGAAAGTCGAAAATCAAACGATTCCGAAGGCGCGGCAGCGCAGTGAAAAGCTTTTAGTATGGATGGGCACTCGGATGGGGCAAATCGGGAACTCTACGAACTCTTAACTACCGACTACTACTACCTATCGAATCGAATTGAATCGACCAGACCCAATAAAACCGGCAGTAGCAACAAAAAAAACCGATGGCTGATAAGACAAGCCGGCAAAAGGCAAAGAGCGGGGATGTCTGGGTCGGTGGGTGGATGGGCAAGTGGATTAGGGGGTCGATTGGTGGGTGGGTGGTGTATTGGGAGGTAGCACTAGACGCTCCTCTCGGTGCAATAAACTGCCAACTGGTTGCGACAGATGCCAGGCAGCCTTGGCATTTAAAAACACGCATTTGCATTTCGCCCCAGACGGATATAAACCAATACAGTGGGTCAATTGTATTGTAAGTAGAGAAAAAATAAATAAAATAAATAAATATGCTAATTAAAGTACAATAGTAATTGCTTTTTGCACTTGGTCACGGAAAAGTTCCGATTTTTCCCCATCCAAATGTCAAATAAATCAACGAGATACAAAGCATAAAAAAGCTCCAACCCATAAATCTTAAAATAGCACTAAAAAATATCTTAAATATTTCGAGAACACAAAAAGGTCTCACTCTGAATTTCGCCCTCTATCAACAGTGGAAAATTACAAATTTGTCTGGGTTCCAATCTCAAGAAATTTCGAAAATGATAATGCTACATTAATCGTAAAATACCTATTAGAACTAACATGTGAATAGGTGATGATCAAGTAACCCACTGTAAATTAGTGGGAATCCCTTGGAAACTTAGCGGTATTATGGAATGAAATTAGGGATTGTTGAGGCATCTTTATAGCTACAATTTGCATGGAATCTCTAGTATATTCTACCCCTTTCCCTACAATTATGTACACGTACATAATAATGTCTCATTTTCACGGGGCGGAAATTATTCCACTGAACTTATCCCACACATAAATTCTTCAGCTTTTCAAAGACAATCCGCATACGCAATCTCACGTGTGTGGGCGTTCATTCAGCTCATACTTATAGGCCCCCGGCTATTTAAAGATACAACAAATATTAAAAATATTCCATTGAGGGGCAAACAAATAAAACAAAGCAGAATTCATGTGACATCTTCAAGAGCAGGCCAAGAAAACGAAGTAAAGCGAAATGCAAACGATTGTATTTAAATATTTGCATCCATTAAGCGAAAAGGGGGAGTGTGTTCGTTTGTTCGTCGGTTGTTTATATAACCGATATAGAGTTAATGAAATCATTTTGGGCAACTAAAACGACTTCATTAAAGCCAAATGTCACTGTGAAAATATACATATGCATGCGTTGTGTGTGTTGGCCCACAAACGAAAGCAATTTGGCCCGACTTGATGGCCTTAAGTAGGAAACTAGTGGTTGAAATGGGGTATATCAAGAAAATGGTGATATATGAATCGATTTTAAAATAATGGAACTATTATAAAGAAGTACTTCAAAAAATGTTTATTAAATTTGGATTAAAAAACTATTTTTTTAAGATATCATAATATTTATAATATTTCTAGGGTATTTCCAAAATCGACTTGACCATCGACCATCAAGATAATGAATTGTATTTCCTTGATGTGCAATTTTTGTTTACGCACATATATCGCAGTATACATATATACACAAAGTGGGAGTGTATATTTTTGTAGAACCACTTAAGTCATTGTAAAATATCGTATTATTATTGGTTATTTCAGTCCCAATATCACAGTTATACTGTGATTTTTGCATTTTATGCCTCTTTGTTCTTTTGTTTGTAAATCGTGTAATTCGAGTGCAAGTAGTGCAATAAATGATTACATCAGGGGTACAAAGGTTCACTAAACTTTTTGCACCTACATGCATAAATTAAATTACGCATACGACCGGTGGACTATATATAGCTGCCTTATCGCAATTATATCGTTTATCGTATCGTATCGTATGACTAAATTTCTTACTCAAAGCGATTGCAGAAATATTTGTTGCTTGTTGATAAGCAAGGTTTTTGTTGTGATTGCATTTTTTTGTTGGGTGTGCCGATGTTTTTGATTTGGTAATTGCAGTGGAGAAGTGGGAGAGTTGCATGCTATTGACATGTAATGAAATCCCCAGTCACGTCAGGTCAAAGGTCATTCGATTAGCAAGCTTTTCAGGCGCCATATAATTGTTTAATCATCTGGTTGCATCTAGAATAATGTGCACACTTCTGGGAAAGAATGTTGTTGATAGACAAACTAAAGAGCTTTTACAGACGGAAAAAATATTTCTTACATTTTTATGGGACTCTAATATTTATTATATTTTGTGTAATTGCTAATAATAAAAACGGTTTTATTTAATTTAGCTTATATTGTATTTAGAATTTAATCAGAGCCAACTTAATACAGTTAATCAATAAAATGAAGTAAGGCTTTTTGCAGTACATTTTAATTATTTAATGAAGTAATAGTAGGTTAAATATGAAAATTGATAATTTTAGATTATTTTTAGATTTTATTATTTCCAAAAAGGGTTTACATTTAAAAAAAAAATGTTCTTTTTTTATTATGTCGAATATATGCATAGATTTATGAAGTCTTTTTTTTAACAATTTATTAACGCGATATTTTAAATTTGTTATGGAAAATTATATTATAATCTATAATATTTAATGCATTTGTGATATTCTTTTTGCTTAGTGCATTTGTTGACACCCAGACACACCTAAATACATATATTTATAATTTTCCTTAGCACTTGCCTGCAATTAGTTACGTAAATGCAGGTTGCAATAATATTTAGAAACTAAATTGCACTTTTTGCTTCCGTATTTTGCGATCCCACTGCGTCGAACGTTCGCGTTTGAATGGGTTTATTTATTCGAACTGAGCAACAAAAGCATATAATGATCAAAGGGGGAGGTAAAGTGGGTGGAAACGCAGGAAACTCACGTGGTTTTTCAGCACGGGCAACAACAAAAATCAATAGTCGGTGTTGCCTACGTCACTAGTGGGACAAGCCCCTTGAAAGCTGCATTTTGATTGGTCCAACGCCCCATGACGTCACGCCTAGGGAAAAGCACAACAACAAAGCTACATACGTAATAAGCACTTAAAAATCCAACCATTTAACCTCAATCACTCAAATGTAGGCTCTAATTAACAAATTAGCTTGTCTTTTAATTAACACTCCACTTAATGAGCTTTAATTAACAACTTATTAAGTAATTAAACCACTAAAAAAAACTAAACACGTGCCGGCCGAAGGCAAAAACTCACATTGGCACTTTCTCAACTCAATTTCAAGTTGAGCTGGTCAACGGGTATAAAACTAGATAACCGACATTAAGTCAGCACACTTTATTTGCTGGATAAACACCATTTTACGGCCTATTTTTGCGGTTTTATCACTTTGCAACCGCAGACGAGCCTCCTTTTCTTTTAATTTGGGAAATACCCTAAAAAATACCAACTGCCAGGGGGCTGCCAGATGGGCGGAATTTGATTGTAAGCTATCGAGTGTGGTTAATCGATTAACAAGGGCGCGCATTTAAAGTAAAATATAAATTTAATTGGAATTTCATAAGTAAAATGCTATATAAGTCTTTAAAGATGTAAATATTTCTAAATTTCAAAAATCGAGTAAACTGAACAGTTCAACGATTTGCCCATTAAATTTCCAGCTGCATTATGTATATAGTAGGTCGATTTAAATGTGCTAATAATAGCCAGGTGATGTTGACAATTGATTAATTCTGACTTAAAGCGCGACCTCCCTATAGTAAATATTAGGTAACAAGAGAACAATAAATCGTCACTGTGTTAAAAATAATATATAGATTATATCAGCGAGCAGCAATGACACATTAAAGGTATTTTTCTAAAGTGCATTCCCGTTTAAATCGTTCTGCGCCTGTCATTTGTCGCGCTAATTTATTCCAGTCCATTCCTAAATGTTAAATCGCTACGTAAAGGCAAAGTTTGCCTCAAATTTATCAGTAGCTAATTACAGTGAGGTGTGAAAAACTGTTAAATTTAGTAAACAAAGCATAGATAAGAATGGTGCGTGGGTGTACAGAGAGAAAAAAGGGGTAAAGGTGGTAAAAAGTGCTGTCAAAATTGGTTATCCTCGATCTTGAAGTGCTTGACTTGTGTTATCAAAAATGTTCCCAGATCCTATTGACCGTCATTTCTTATCGGCGAACTTTTAATTCCAAAAAGGAATGCCGCGTTTCAGTTGCTATCTACATTCTAGTGTTTGAAGTTTAACGAATTTCGTAATTCGTATTTCTCGCTTTTTGTGTGTGTTATTTTTTTATTGAGGCTCCGAATCGAATCGAACGGCTATGACTATGCCTATCTCTCGGTTACCGATAAGTGGCGACTATCAGCAGGCAGATTAAGAGCTAGTTTTATCAGCGAGTGACTGAGGTGAGTCCAAAGGGGTATCCCATATCCCGTCGCCTCCAATCGCCAGTCGCCATGGGCAGTCGAGCGGCAGCGGAGGAGCATATTCCCGATCTGAATCCGGCTAACCAAACCCTCGAGGAGCGGCTTTTGGGCCAGGGATACGACTGGAATTTCAGGGATACTCTCATCCAGAGTTGGGAATCCCTGTTGCTCATCCTCTCCACCTTTTGGTTTATTCTCCTGGCAAGAGTGGTTAGCCAAAAGTTGAGACTCCATGGCTCCCCCAATCTCTGCTATGCGGTGGAATTCGCTTTGGTCATCCTGCCCTGCATTCTGCTCGTCACGGTGGCCGTGGATTATAGTAACTATATAGGAGGGGTAATCCTACTGATTACTCTTTGGTTCCTTCAGAGAAGTAGGGCTCTGGAAAAAGCCAGAATCCGCAGCCAGTTCGATTTGGGTGGCCATCGACCCATGTGCTTTTCTGTTCTTCGAGCTCTGACTCACTTGATAACCGCCATCTGCATTTTGGCCATTGATTTTGGCAGCTTCTACAGACCTTATAGAAAAAGCAGGCAATATGGAGCCAAGCTGATGGATACTGGCATTGGTCTATTTGTCTTCACCATGGCCATGGTTTCCCGGAGATCCAGACACCTTTCGGATATTCGGAGGAGTGTTTTATACTCGGCTATGCCTTTAATCTTGTTAGGATTAGCTAGAACCATAGCTATTTTGATTCTGGGCTATGGACAGGATGACCATGAATATGGTCAGCATTTGAATGCCTTTTTCACCCTCGGATTTACCAAGTTCCTGGGAGCTATGGTCAGCATTTTGGCTCGCAAGGATCTGCATTTGCTGCCCTTGGGTTTTGGTAAGGCAAAAATATTACTAACTTGCCATTTAATAATCCAATAACTAAACTTACAGGTCTATTATTAATACACCAATTTGGCCTAAGTTTACTGGGCTTTTCCGACTATGTGATGAATGATGATATAGAGCGTTCAAACCTCTTCAATGCAAATCGCGAGGGTTTGGTATCCTTGCCGGGATTTGTGGGATTGTATCTGCTATCCATCTATGTGAATCGCTGGATGGTGTCCTCCAGTCTTCTGACCTACTCGGAATTCATAAGAAAACTTAGGAGACTCTTTTACATGGTGGTGATCCTCTGGAGCTTCTTTGTGATCAGTGCCTATGGAATTGGAATCTCCCGAGTGACCTGCAATCTGGGTTATGTCATTTGGATGCTGGCCATTGGCTGCACCACTTTGTGGGCCAGTTTTGGAGCCATCGACTTTGTGATCAACAGTGTGATGCCGTGGGAAGCGAATCCTTTGGAGGAACAGGAAAAGGGTCTTCTAACTGGAGATTCTCCTGCTAAAGGAAGGGATAAATCCATTGTGCCATTCACCATTAACCAAGCTTTAAACCAAAATGGATTGACATTCTTCCTGGTGGCCAATGTCTTGACTGGCATGGTGAATATATTCCTCAAGCCAGAAGATCGCTCTAATCTCGAGTCCGTCATCATCCTGCTGGTCTACATGTTCCTGGCCACCAAAATGGCCCATGAATTCCTAAAGAGAGGAATTCGATTAGCCTAATATGCACTTTGTGTTTCCTGTGATTTTAAATGAATTTAATTTAAATGTATAAGAAGTACTAACTATTTATAGAAGTAAATGTAATTTGTAATAATGATATAATATGTAGTTTTAATGGGTGTCTTGTAATGGAACTGCAGCCTTTCACTATCTTTATGATTTTATTTCTCTGATAAGGTTGTTTAATTAAGCCAGTAATTATGACTTTCGTAATCGATTAGTTGTCATATGGGACAGTTATTTATTTTATTTGGTTTGGACTACTTTTTGAAAGCTACCCCTATAAATTTTATATCAGATATCAGTTGACAGTAAATGGAATCTTTAATTTATAAGTGATTGCACACTTCTGGCCTTGTCTTTATAAATTATCTGTGAAGTTACCAAAATATAAGTGTTATATACATTTATTTTACTTTATACATGGATATTTAAAATGATCCGCCTTCGATAACAAACAGGTGCTTCGATAGCAAAATGTGGCAACAGGTTCTTCTCTACCTTTTACCACAAAACCGGCTTTGTATTTTAGCCAGCTGAGCAATACAATACCATACAATCCAAACTGGAGTTAAGATCACCATGGAAACCACTTCGTTTTGTTGCCACAGCAAATGAAATGAAAAATAGTTAAAGGAAAAGACAAGTGCAATTGCAATTGCAACGCAAAAATGTTTGTTTATCTCAGCAAAAAGGTAGTATTCACCTTAATTTCAAGTGAATAAATAGTAATTATTAAGTCTCTATCCCCAGATAGCCATTCCCAATAATGTCAAGCTCAACTGCATTGCTTGGAACAAAGAGGAGGGCTATATTGCAGTGGCCGGTACGGATGGACTGCTCAAGGTCCTCAAATTGGATCAGGGTAAGTCTATAAGATATGTGGGTTCGAAAAAGGTACCTACAAGATTGAATCTATTTAGTTATTTTTGGTACTTTGTAACCTACCTTTTGGGTTTATCAACCGTTTTCAATCTCTTTTTGTTGGTATATGTCCTAATGAAATTTTATTTCTAAGTGTCAAGATCAAGATATAAACAGAATTGATTAATAAAAGTAAAGATTCCTGTTCAATAAAATAATCTTTGGCATTTTTTATAAATATAACATTATCAATTTATAACAAAATTAAATTAAATTATCCAATTTACATCTTATTCTTTATTATCTAGTTTATTTTTATTTTTCCGTTCAAGTAAGCCCCCAATTTCATTCTTCTTGTAATCTTGACTTACGATTTTTTATATTTATGTACCGTTAACATAACAATTATTAAATTTAATATTAATATCTTATCCTTTAGCTGCTGCCAATGGCCAAAGTAAAGGTGGCCTGGCCGCCGTCTCCAATCTGTCCATGAATCAAACGCTGGACGGGCACAAGGAGTCGGTGAGGGTGGTCACCTGGAACGATGCCCAGCAGAAGTTGACCTCCTCGGACACGGATGGGGTGATCATGGTGTGGATGCTGTACAAGGGATCCTGGTACGAGGAGATGACCAACGATAGGAAGAAGTCCACCGTGGCCAGCATGAGTTGGACCTCGGATGGTTCGAGGATCTGCATAGTTTACGAAGACGGGGCTATAATTGTGGGTTCTGTGGATGGCAATCGCATCTTTGGCAAGGAACTCAAGGGTACTCATTTAACTGGAGTCCAGTGGAGTCCGGATAATCGACTCATCCTGTTTGCCTTGGCCAATGGAGAGTGTCATCTGTATGATAATCAAGGGAACTTTGCTGTGAGTGGAGATTGGATTACTTTTATAGCTATATTACTTAGATTATATATATTTCAGATGAAACTACACATCCAGTGCGTGAGCTTAGGTGGGGGTTCCTCCTCCAGGGTTCATCGCATAGCCAGCATCTGTTGGTTTAGTGGTAGGGTATCCCAGAGTCGGAAACGTCCTGTTTTAGCCATTTGCTACGAGAACGGAAGGGTGCAGATCATGAGGAATGAAAATGATGATGGTAGGTTATAGCTTATAAACAACCCTTTATTTATAAGAAAACTAAACCCTAAAGGTTTTATAGCCCCCACAATCTTCGACACTGGAATGCGCAATGTGGACGCCAAGTGGAACCATGATGGAACTGTCTTAGCTATTTGTGGAACCACCTTAGATGCAGTTACTCCACCCTCGCAGCGAGACTCCAACCAGGTGTGCTTTTACTCGCCAATGGGCAGGATCTATAGGACCCTCAAAGTTCCAGGAACCGACATCACCTCGCTCAGTTGGGAGGGCAAATCACTTCGCATCGCCATGGCCGTGGATTCTTTTATTTACTTTGCCAACATCCGACCGGATTACATTTGGTGTTACTTTGAGAAGACTGTGGTGTTTCTGAATAGTAACTCTAGTACTCGAGATTCTCCCATGAGTGTGATTACCTTTTGGAACACCGTTTCGAATCAGAGTTTCCTCAAGGAGGTGGAACCCACTTTGTGTTTGGCCTCCAGTAGTGAACACTGCGTTTTGGGAGTGGAGTGTGTTAGTAGCAACATCAAGGAGATTGCACTGAGTACTCTGGAGAATCGGAGTAATCCAGCGGATGACAGAGTTTACCAGTTGTTGTTGTGCAACTCTATAGGAACCACTGTGGATTGTGAGTATTATAAAGGGTAATTAAAAGATCTTATTAGTCTAACCATATTTGTTTTAGCCAAGTACACGGACATCAGACCCTGCTTTGTGGGCATCAACTCGAGCTATGTGGCCATAGCCTCGCAGGAGGAGATCCTCATCTGGCATTACCATACCCCCAAGGTGGGTAGTTTAATTAATTATTATAGATCATATAGATAGTTAATCCTTTCTTTCAGAGTGCCTCCACCCTGCACAGTGTAAAAGCCCGCAAAGAGAAGCGTTTCCACATCGATGACACACCCACTGGCGTGGAGATGGCCAAGGATTTGATGTTGACCAGCAGCAGTGATGGTCACTCCACGCAGCGTGGAATCAGTGATCCCATTTGTGCTTTGGCCCTCTCCGAGAAGCTGCTCCTGGTGGCCAGGGAATCGGGAGCCATCAACGAGTACAGCATAGCCAATGTGGCGCTGAGGAACCGCCACCTGATGAACTCCAAGGTCTACAAGATGGCCATCAACTGCAATTCCACGTGGGTAGAGTCTTTTTCTATTGAAGTACTAACTATCTAAACTATTTCTTTAGACGTGCTGCTATTATTGATCACATGGGAGTGATGACCCTGCTCGATCTGGATGATAATAGGGAGACCCAATTGAACTTCAGTCGGGTGGAGCGAAAGGACGTTTGGGCCGTGAGTTGGGCCAAGGACAACCCACTGCTCTTGGCTCTGATGGAGAAGACGAGGATGTACATTTTCCGGGGCAACGATCCCGAGGAGCCCGTCTCCTGTTCCGGCTACATTTGCACCTTTGAGGATCTGGAGATCACTAGTGTCTTGTTAGACGACATCATCAGCGTGGGTGAGCTTCAGAACTCATCGCATCTTATCCAACTGAGGGTAAAGTCTTTGAGAGACACTGATGATCTTCTGGAGCATGTGGGTCTGGAGGATGCCAAGCAGTTCATCGAGGATAATCCGCATCCGAGGCTCTGGAGATTGCTGGCCGAGTCTGCCTTGAAGAAACTTGAACTTGAGACGGCGGAGAATGCCTTTGTGCGATGTGCCCACTATCCGGGTATCAAGTTGGTCAAGAGATTGAGGACCATCCACTCGAAAGAACTGCAGCGAGCGGAGATCTCTGCTTTCTACGGTGAGTTTGAGGAGGCGGAGAAGCTTTACCTAGATGCAGATCGACGGGATTTGGCCATAGAACTGCGAATGACCCTCTGCGATTGGTTCCGTGTGGTGCAGCTGTATAGGATGGGCGGATCGGGGGTATCGGATCAGCAAATGGAGGTTGCCTGGCGGGAGATAGGCCATCACTTTGCGAATCTACGATCCTGGGAGAGTGCCAGGGAGTATTACGAGAAGTCTCACTATCTGGAGGGCTACATGGAGGCTCTATATCACCTAGAGCTCTTTGATGATCTGGAAAAGTGTGTGGAAAGGCTGCCGGAGAAGAGTCCCCTGCTTCCCAAGCTGGCCGAGATGCTGGCCTCCGTGGGCATGTGTTCCGAGGCGGTTCAGGCTCATCTTCGCTTTGGTGACCAAAAGGCAGCGGTATCAACCTGCGTGAATCTCCGCCAGTGGGGCGAGGCAGTGGAACTGGCCCAGAGATTCCAGCTGCCCCAAGTGCAGACCCTGATAGCCAAGCATGCGGCCCAGTTGCTTCAGGAGGGACGCCTCAAGGAGGCCATCGAGATGCAGAGGAATGCGGGACGTCACCTGGATGCAGCTCGTCTTTTATCGCAAATGGCGGAGAGGGAACAGGAGAAGCGAGCTCCTCTACTGAGGATCAAGAAGCTATATGTTCTGGCTTCTCTATTAGCAGAGGAGCATCTCAAGGCAGTGGCTACCCCCGAAATTGACTATGCCAGTGGAAGGAATACCCTTCTAGACTCGATTGCTCTCGAAGATGCAGCTGAAATAGAGAGACTGTGGCACTGTTCCGAGGCCTATCACTTTATGCTCCTCGCCCAGCGGCAACTGCGCTTCGGGATCATCCACAGTGCGGTGGTCACGGCGGTGCGACTAAGGGATTATGAGGACGTACTGCCTCCGGAACACATATATAGTCTATTAGCCCTGGCTAGCTGTGCTGATCGGGCCTTTGGCACCTGCTCCAAGGCCTTCATGAAGCTGGAGCAACTGGGTCACCTGCCGGAGGCGACTCTTCAGAGATACGAGGAGCTGGCCGCCGGGATCTTTGCCAAGTATGATCCAGAGGATACCGCTGGGGAGAAAGTGGATTGCTATTCCTGTGGAGTGCCAGTTCCAGATAGGTAGGTATATTATAATTACCTAAAGAACACCTCTTAATAATTATGTATTCCTAATATTTCATAGCTCACCATCTTGTCCCGAGTGCAATGCCCGTTTTCCCGCCTGCATTTCCTCCGGGAAACCCATCACCCAGCCCACGAATAATATTTGGATCTGCACCACCTGCCATCACTGTGCTGCCCCCACGGAGATCTCAAGGCATCGCACTTGCCCACTGTGCCACAGCTTGATTGTCTCCATGACTGTGGAAATCTGAAGTAAATGAGGTTTAGTTTTGTATATTATAAGAAATTAAGAGATAATCTCAGAGCAATTTCCCATTCGGGGCAGGCTATCGTCTCAGTAAAATAAATAAAGGGAAATCCCCCTCAATCTTAAGTTAGAATTTGTAATGGCCTGGAAGAGGGAGACAAAATATGGTAAAAACGTTGTTTTTTTTATTTTTATAAAAACGATTTTCATAATTGTTTTTAAAAGCGTAGTAGGTTTAAGGTATAGATTCATAGCCGTTAATAAAAACTATATAGTTTTTATTTTACAAAATATTTCAATTGAAATTTTTGAAAGAGGGTAATTAAATTAATTATTTATAATTTTATAAATAATTATTTAACGTCAAGAACCAAAAAAAAGTGACTAAACCGTTACCACAGAAACCGTGACTCCTTTCACCGGTATTTTATGGCGAACGCTGTTAGGTCCTACAAAAGTATTTCCTCAACACTCCGGTGACGGTCATACTGACGAGTGCACGAACAAAAAACGGTTGCAGCGCGTTTCGCTGAATTTTAAATAAATTAAATAAATTCCAGCTCCGCGGCGTGCGGTTGTGTGCGTGGGCAAATAAAAATAAAGTAAATAGAATTCGCGGTGCTTGCAAAATGAGCTCCAATTGAGCGACGAAAATAATTGAAGTGCATTAAAGAATTGCGTTGTTGTGCGTCGACCCCTTTGTTGTTCTTGTTGCTGTTGTTGTTGTCGCTGTCGGGTTGAGTGCACCGAAAAAATAATTGTTATAAATTCAAAGGGGTTGCCACATAAATTGGTAAATCAGCTTTGTGAATAGTGTGCCAAAAAATAAAGAGAGTCGCGAAACGAAAACGAGTTTTTTGTCGTTTGGTGAGAAAGTCCCAAACAATACGCAGATATATCTATTGCTATAGATGATGTTGTAAGCATTTAAAAATAAAAGATCCATGAAATCTAAAATCCCATTTCGCAAACGTGTAAATTGAGTGGAATTTCGAGTGCATTCTTCGTTTGTTTTGAGTGAGAACATAAACCAGTTTACAGCGTACTTCTTTTTCTACCAAGGTGAGTTTTCGTGGCAGTTTTTTTTAATTATTTAGTCATTGTTATTGTGTTAAAAAAAGTTTTGCGTTTAAATTTAAATGGACTTTACGAAAGTTCCAGTTAGCTTTGTCCCCACTTTTTCCTTTCTCCCTCTCTCCCACACGGTTTGTTTATGGCCGCAGTTTGCATGTGTGTGTGTCAATTAGCGCTTTTATTGAGCGCACACCAAGAACCGTAAGTTTTTTAAACCTGTTCTGGTTTCTCTTTCGCACAATTTAATGGCCTTTCTTTGGCTTTTGGTTTCGTATCTTTGTATCTGTCGTGGAGAGCAATCGCAGCAAATTAGCGAAATTCTCTTTCATCGACCGCATCGTTCTTCACTCCCCTCGCCCTGGAAAACCCGCATCTTATGGGTTCTTTTCCAGTTTCCAGATTGCTGCGGAAGCTTCCAGCTGTCAGGGTAACAACAACACACAGGCAGATCAAATGAAAACACAGCCAGCATAATATACACACACCAAGGAAAACCCAACTAATGCACACAGATACAGATGTTCCCTGGATGAAATGTACAACAAAATACAGTCCTACATCTATAAAACTAACTACCTAACTTCGAATACTAGCAATATTACAATTATATCAAATTAATTAAAAACCAAATCTATAAGCTGTTCGACTTATGGAAATTCCTTTTTCATTGTTCCTCCTCTTTGATAAATTTACAATATTCTAATAAATATTAATAATAATATTAGAGCAGATATCCCATTTTCATGTAAAATTTTAAGAGTGGTGCTGTTTATAATATGCGCATTTCATTATGAAAACTGATTGTTGTACCAGTCCTTAGCTTTCGATTACGAGAATTTCTTTAAGTTCAAAAAAGGGGAATCCCAGGAGAACTACTTAAAAACTTAAGAGTCGTTTAGGGATTGCTTTATAAATTTATAATTTTTTTTCAGTAAATATTCACTAAAATCATTTGACAAATTGTTACGTGTTTATTTCCATAAAAGACATTAATATTTTTCACACATTTTCCTTATCCAAGCGATTTCGAGCTTAATAACTCTGACACTGACAATGGAACTTGATCATTATTATCATACGTGATTTGATGAACGATGACGCCTGTTTAGGACTTGAGCTTGAAAGTGCAATGCACAGCAAAAAATCCCCACGAGCCGTTGCAAAATAAAATGCTGAAACGGCACAAAGAGAGGTGTGCTCTTCTCACCCCCATATCATACCATATCATACCCAACCATCCCATACCCTGCATGTGTAAATGCCTGTTCAGATTCCTTTATAAAGCCAGACTTTGCTGTCGCCATAATTACTCAGCCTTATTGATAGTGATGGGTGGAGTGCCAGGGAGTGGCTGTAGGATGAAAACCTTGTCTGATTTCTGGTCCTATGACAGTTGTTAAGGAAAAACCCATCAGTTTTTCCATTGTGATTACAACAGTTCTCTGGTTCGTTTTTAATTTTCTCTTAGCTTGCATTATCCAACATTTTTTTTGCTTTCTCCGTATTGTTGCAAGTGCAGTTTTCCAGTTCTTGATGATGATTATGCAAAATTCTTGGTTGTCTGTCTGCATTGCAAGGTGTGGGTGCCTTTCCACTAGAATAATATACAAATGTTCTTTTGATTTTCAGTTGTTGCTTGCATTTTTCTACGAAGCTTATAGCTTTATCCGAATTCGGGCTAGAAATCAGAGCTTCACCTGCTAATTGGCCAATACAAATGAAGGTGCTGAATGTGGGCTCACCTGTGAAATGAATGCGAAAACAGCTAAACAGGTGAAATTGCTGTCTCTGCGACTGACGTGGCAACAAATTTACTGGTTTATATACTTGTTTGTAGAATTTGTCATATTTGTCATAGTGGAAGTTAACTGCCCTCTTGAAATAATCACTTTTTATAATTCTTTAAGTATTAAGCTGTTCAGTGAATGTATTAACAATACATTGTACCCATGTCTTAGAACGCCTTGAGTACTTAAGAACCGTAGAATTCATTTTACCGAGTACAGCACCATTTCTATAATAACAACGAGTCACGTTTCAATGCCAGAACATTTTGTTTTCATACCAAATCGATTTCTTGCCATTCAAAACGTTTATTATTTCTACAATTGTTTATTTCAAATGTGTTTTATCAGCACGGCAAGGCGTTAAATTGCCAACTGGATGTAAAACATATGCGTTGCGGTTATTGGAGATGTTTTGAGTAAATTCGACTTTGATTTCGCCATCCAAAGTACAGCTTAAGTGAAGGCTCCTCTGATATAAAATATAATTCTGTTTTTATGGAGCGGGAAGCGACAATCTTTGTTTAGTATTTATCAAGTGCGCAGTATGGGGGAATTGGAGAAATATCTGCTTCGCCTTCCCCGTCCCATTTCGTACATATAAGATTATAGGAAAATATACGCCAAAACCAGATGTTTTCCAAATGTACTTAGCCATTTTGGATACAAATTCTGGATTCTTGAACTCCTATACAAAATATTAAGTTAAAAGCGGGAAGAATGTTTATTTTTAGGTCCGAATTACAATCCTAAGTTCTTATAAAAATAGTCAAAAGTACTTAATAAAATGGCATTCCAATTGAAATCTCCCCATCTTTAGAAACTATCAGAAAAAGAGATGATTCTCTTTGATTTCGGTTCAGCAGAGCTTTTCCTTTGTCTAAAAATGTATTCCACAGCTTTTGCTTTTGCACGATCCACTTGAATGTAATTTTCTTCATTTTCCTTCATCAAAACTCATGTGATTAGTCATAAATAAGTATACCCATATATTTGAAGCACTTAAAAGGCACTGAGACACGTAGACAGACGGTCAGCGGAAATGGAATTGAACCTATTTGCCAAGTTTCTAATACAGGTGCTAACAATTTATGGTCTTCAGTTGGCAGTTTAGCTATATTTTGATAGCCCTTAGTGTCCGATTAAGAACTGCAATCGATATCAATGTTTGTGCAACTCTTTTTTAAGATAAGATTTTGTTATCGGAGTGCAAGTAAACATTAGGTGCGCCACAATTACCCTTTTATTGGGAAAGGGCGGAAATACAAACCTCTGATTTTAGTTAGTTATATCGAACCCTTAATAAACGAACCTTAGCCCAACATTTATGAATGAACTCAAAGTGACTCAGTCAAAACCAGATGCTGTTCATACGCGGAATCTGTGAATGGTGAATGGAATCGATACTCGATAAATTAACTGTGCCGGACACGTTTTCCATTGAAAAAATCTCGCCTATTATACAACTCACAGATCCACATAGTTTATAGACTATAGTCTAGCATTGTTTACCTTACAGTGTGACTCATCCACGACATTTTCATTTAGCTCATTAAAACAGCAATCAGCAATGTAAACAAATAAGTAAATTGCAAATGTAAACTCGTTTTCTCGCAGAAAACACACATAATAAGAGAGCTTTTCGCATTTTAATATGATTTATGCGGAAGGGAGAATAACATTTTATTTGCTCCTTAAGTGGCAAAATGAAAAGTAATGGTGATGGGTTAATATAATTCTCTAATGGGGGTTCCTAGTTTATTTTTGTTGTGTCAAATAGTTCATGTTATCTCTATATTGAAATCTATATTATATATATTATACCAACCATCTTGTGATTATTTTCCGGATTATAAGGTTAAGATAATAATAACAGAATAATCCACATAAATATATTATCTAATCATGTAATAATATTCTTTATTCCTTAGTTCAGAACACAGAATTTAATTTTCTGAATAAAACTCAGCAAATAAAATAAAATCTGTTTTGTTTTATTTCGCACTTTTTTGCTACCCAAAGTGTGTTTTATTTATTTACACAATGATTTCGTATTATTCTATTAGTTTTTGTCCATGACCTGATTACGCATCATCCGTTCAATGGATTTGTTTATTCGTAGGGAGACTTAGTCACTTAAAATATACATACAAATATCATTGAACCGAATCGCTGCTGGAATAGAGGAGAAGGGTCTGAGCTATTCTTATCGCACAGGTCTTATCTTCCGTAATCTTTTGAGCAAAGTCGAGGGGTTGCCAGGTGTTATCTCTGTCTGCTATGTTTCTTTTTTGTAGTGTAGTTTTTAAAGTGATATCGGTAAAGATAATTATTATCGTTTTAGTGACAAATCCTTAAATTTTACTTTCTCTAAAGAACCGAGTTAAAATTCTAAATTTTTCTTTTAGAAAAAGGAAAAACCTTTGGGGAAAATAATTTTTTTTCGGTTTTCCCCAAATGTTTTTCCTTTTCAGCGCCACTTGATTACTTTTTGCAGCTCATCACGCTATTTTCGGACTAATGGCAACCTTGACAATGCCCACTTTCTGTTCTGAATTAAAATCGGAAAAGTGATGAGTTTGGGGGAGTACCACCTGCCATGCGATTTAGTGAATCAGATTTCACGCTGGATAGAGAAATAACCGGCAATTATCTTTGCCGTATAAATACAGATTGTAGATCACGACATTCCCCGCTTTAATTGTAGGTATTTTCCAACTGAACAGACATTATAAGGGTGGCCCATGCTTCATGTCAGTTTTTAATAAACGGGTGGACTGGTGGAAAGAAACAGCTCTCTTTTGTCTGCGATCGTAATGGGTAAAATATATAACCGTGCCCCTAATGTTTAATATTAAAAGTGGATCTTCATTTCCTGAAAAAAATATACTTCTCTGGTATAGTATCAATTGAAAATGTTATGGCCTGGGTAATTTTACTGATACCGAACCACTTTTATGCAATTTCGTTTCTTGATGGGTCATTGGTAATTGTAAACCGGCTTCGGAAATTACTTGGCCCAGTTCACACGTAGACTTGACATATATTTCGAGTCAAGTTCTTTATATCGTATTACCAATCCCTATTGTAACCCCTGAATTGATTATGAAGTCCCTGGGGAAATGAATCGAAACTTTAGGAGGTTCCCTTGGGAAAACTCTTTTATACGCTGTGCAAATTAAATGTGGCTGTCAGTAGCCACTCAGTGAATCATAAAATATACTGTAATGTGCTGTGAAAATGAGGCTCTTTGCTGGCGGGATGCAATTGAAAGTGAAATTGCAGCGAGCATGACCAACAAAGGCCCACAATCTCTGGTTTTTTTTTTGCTCCATGAGCAGCGGAAATGTTTTCGTTTTGGATTGGTTTATAGTATAAACATTATACCCATATTTATCATGCAGAATAAATTGCAAAAAAAAAAAGTGATGAGCAAGTGGGCAGCTAGAGATTTATTAGTAAACAAATTAATTTATTTTCGAATTATTGATCACTTATCGATTATAAACAGAAAGCCAGATACCGAACACCTGTAAAGCTTAAACAAACTTTTCGGAAATAAAAACAAATTTAAGCAGATGCAATAATAATATACAAAGTATTTATCTATGGTTATTAAAATAACAAAAACAAATGATGCAATATTATACAGATAATTTATTTTACACATTTTAATTATAGGAAATTATTTAATAAATACAAATTAAATATTTTGGAAATAGGATTAGTTAATTGAGCTGCTATTATATTATCGTTTTTTTTTCTAAATCTTAAAATAATATTCCTTCTGTTTTAAAAACACAAACCTATGAAAATCCTTAAAAAAAAATCATTTTTACTTTTCTTGTGCTCTATTTCGTTGCTGCAACACAAAATATAGTTGATGTTCAGGTGGTTTTTGGTTAGTATGTCTTGTATTATTTTGTGGAATGCGCTGCTCTAGTGTTTCTATGTAAAGTGTCTGATTTGGGAGGAGCTCCATCCTCCTGGTTGCTGCACTTGCTCCTAAAATACACGCCGGCGCAGATGACGAACGCCCTCGGCCAAGCCCGTTTTCATGGAGAAGACGAATGAGATGGCAAAGCCCATCAAACTGAGGAGGAAAAGCCAGGGAGTCACCAGGACGACGATGAGAAAGAGCAAGGTGTCATTGGCCTTGGCATTGGCCAGACGCCACAACATTTGACGCAGAGAGCTGCGCAACTGGAATTTAGCGCGTCCCACGCGGAAGCGAACGCCACCGCAGAAGCAACCGATCCTCTTCACCTGGCGGAAACCCACACCCACGACGAGGGTCAGAAGCTGGAGCAGCACCAGCAGATGCTTGGCAATCGCCGTCTGTCCACAGCGGTGGAGGGTCTGCTCCAAGCGCTGACGCCGCTGCTCCGGCAGAGTGTCCATCAGGCAGCCGAAGGCACGACGCCAGCGGGATTCGGCACCCAAGGAGGCGGCAGGATCCTTCTGGCTGCTGACCAGATCGCTCTCCGAATCGGTATCTGTAATGGCTTTTCCCAAACTCGGCGTTTGATTCAGATAATCCGGTGGCGAGGTCTCCTCCAGCATGGACATGGCGGCGAGCTCACCCTCGTAGGAACCATAGTAGGTGCTCCTGGGACTGGGAACTCCTAAACGAGGTGTCCCACCTCCACGTCCCATTGCGCTGCCTTTCAGGATCCGCTGAGCTATCTCCGGAAGCGGCGGAGGCATTGAATCCAACCCTGCTCCTTCGACCAACGAACGATGACGACTAATAGAGCGCATTAGCGGCTTGCTAGGTGACTTGGCCAGAAAGGGCATTCCATTGAGACCCTCGGGAACGGGAACGGAACCGGGTCCAAAGCCACCGCCATCGCCGAACTGCGGGGCATTAAAGTTGAAGGCACTGGCCCCGAATCCTCCCGGTCCATTGTTGAATGGCAAACGCTGCTTGTGCATCCTGATCTCCTGATTCTCGACCTCGCTCTCTTGGGTTTTCGATAAGAATTTAGTTGTTCTGACCAAGGATATCGGGGATATCGTTTTCCAGTCAGGTTATAACGAGAGCAGCTTTCAATTTCTAGCTGTGTTGGAAATTATCTACATTCAGAATGGGAACTTAGTTGGAGGCTGACATCTCAACTGGTCAACTGGAATCAGATCCCACTTGGATCGGTTGGGCAATTCCTATACTACTATATAAAAAAGGGCATATTTAAAACGGCAAGTTTAAGCTGTAGCAAAAATGGTTTAAGATAGAAATCTAAAGAAAAAAACCGAAATTCGGAAATAATTCAAAGATACATACTAATGATTGAATTGACAAAATTCGACCCAAAATATATTCATATTATTAACATTATTATGATATTTTATATGTCTACTAATAAAATAGGTGATTAATACAGTATAGTATAGTTTAGTAATGCCCTATCTATAATTACTCCCTTATTTTAGAAACTATATATATTATACTTTGTAAAATAAACTGATACTGTGAACAACAACCTGACTAATGCATTTCATTCTCCCTTTGTTCTTTCAGTCGGCTCGGCAGTTGGTTTAATCGCAGCTTGAGTCATCCCTTAGTGCAAACTGACTGTGATTATCAGTTCAATGTGATGCGCCAGTAAAGCAGCAGCATCAGCAATTGAACTACCCACTGGAGGTCCTGGAACCCTTAAATCCACTGCCATCATGTTGCGTTTAATCCTCATCGCCTGTTTGGTCCAGCTGGCTCTGGCCCAGGCGGATCTTAAAGATCTGGATGGACCCAATATTTGTAAAAGAAGGGAAACGTAAGATTAGTCTGGAAATTAATCCAATTTACTAAGATTAATAACGAACTTTACTGTATCTTTAGTTATCCCGTGGAGGTGGTCTACACAGAACTGCAATCTTATCAGGAACGGGGATCCACCTGGTGCGTTGCAGTCCCGCCGAGATGCTCCACCTATCGCATTAAACACCGAGTGGTCAACAAAACCCAGTCGATAATGAAGAATCGCATTGTAAGGGATTGTTGTGGTATGTTAAGATGATCTAGTATACTTTAAACTACCATTGGATAACTAATTTCCCCTGGTTCCTTTCAGATGGCTACATTGCCAGTGCAGGAGAATGTGTGCCACATTGCTCGGAACCCTGCCAACATGGTAGATGCATCTCCCCGGAGAAGTGCAAGTGCGATCATGGCTACGGAGGACCCGCCTGTGATATAAGTTCGTTGACCTATTAACTTATTTGTACTTTGTCCTTGAATGTTGTGTGTTTTTAACGAAATCTATACAATGAACCGCCTTGGGTGTTCCTAGGGTGCGGCTCATCCTGCAGTCCGGATTTATTTAGTTTTAAGTCTTTTAATTTTTAATTATTTGGTTTCCCCCGGATTGACAGTGATGAGCCGAGCCCCGTTGATAAGAGCTCGCTTAATCGTTTGAGAAGCTTTGTCGTTTCAAATGCCCTTGCAAAGATTAGAAAATGTCTGAAGTTGGATTATTTTTTATGGCACTCTTTATTATCATTTTTAGTTCCTTTTAGAATGTTTATACAAAGACATTAGACTGTTTGGGATACGCAAAAAGACTTAAATAAAAAGACCTGATAGGGAGAAAGCAAGTTAATAAGTTTATTGATAATAGTTTAAACCAGTGATTCTAGGAATAGAAATTTTAGGAATTTTTAATAAATGCTTGATTTGTTATCTTAATTAGTTTGATCCCAAACCTATAAAAAAATTAAGAATCTAAAGATAAACATATCCAAACATGCCTTAACAATACAAATAAAAGGAAATTGATGTAATACTTAAAAAAACTAAGCCCAAATCAGCAGAAATTATAAAGGAATACAAAGTATTTAAATCAGAAGAATATTTAGATTACCCAATGGGTTCCAAAACTAAGGAAATATTAAAGATCTAAAGAAAATAACATCCCAATATGACAACACAGTAAAAGTCAAAAAAAAACTGTAAGACAAAAACAGGAAAAAATATAAAACACCATAAAAAGTACCACACAACCAAGCACACACCACTATTCACAACGAGGAACACGGGATGGATGAGGATGAGAACTTCGACTACCTTCCGCCGGGAAACACCAACAGATTGAGCGTGCCGAATGACCCGGCTCTCCTGGCAGTCTACGAACTTTACAAGACGCCCCTAACTGCCCATCGGCAGCTGCTCTCCGAGCGAAACCGAGTGACCTTCGCCGAGGCTCTTAATGGTCCCGATACCATACCCACCCTATCGGATCTGTGCGTCCGGCAGTTGGCCAAGCGTGGCAATGCCCATGTGCCTGCTGCCGTGCGCCAGGATCCGCTGAAGATGCGCATCCACTACGACTCACTGGATGTGGATCTCCCTTTGCGGGAGTGCTACTACGTGGAGGATGTGAGCTACTGGAGGCGTGTGGTCTTGGCCAAATCTTCGGATACCTGCCTGGTGATGAAGGGTTTACACGATTACGATTGGCGCGGCAAGGGATTGAGTTTGAAGTATGTAGAGCTAGTTGAAGCGTGTCCAGCTGCCCTTTGGCCAGAGGAGGAGATGTCCCAGCTGGCGCAGTTAATTCAAGATAAAGTGCGCTCCATGGACATTCGGCATCTGCAGTCTCTTACCGAGTACGCCTTTCGGAAAGCGGGACGCGAGGAAGACGACACGGAGCCGGATATCACCTCCGAAGAGTCCGGCGGCATTGAGATCTCCAGCGATGAGCCCATGACCCCGGAAGAAAATCCCGAAGAGGGCGAAGAAGAGGAGGGGGAATCATCTCCCTCTGTTAAATCAAAGGTCATTGGTTTTAATACGAAATTTGTGGTTGACTTTTCAGACGACGAAGAGCAGGCTTCGGGTGGAGAACGAAGAAAGCGTCGCCAGGAGAGGAACGCCGCTCGTCAGAAGTTGAGGGATCTAAAGGCTACCAAGGATGCGGAGCAGGAGGAGCGAAGGCGTCGTCGTTCGGAGGCTAGGAAGTCCAAGGAACCAGAGCCGCGGAGGAAGAGAAAGCGGAAGCAACGCATCACAGGCGCCTTTGACATCCGAGTGGATCCCGAACCGGATGATGGCGAGGACAAGGTGATGGACAAGCGCAACAAGCAGCGTTATCTAAAGCATCTCCAGCAAATTAACTACCCAGAAGAGGAGTGCAACCACATAGATCTCAGCTTTGTAAGGCACTTTGTTAACCTGGTGTCGCTGCAACTGGAGTTTTTGGGTCCCGCGTTGGGCAGGGAATACCACAAGCGACATGTGCTGTTCTCCATAAAGGATATGGTTCGATTGGCCAGGGGATTGGCTGCTCTCCAGCAACTACAGATCTTCCGGCTGCGCAACAGCCGTTTAAATAGCTTCAAGTTGTATACTCTCTGTCGAGCGCTTCGTGAGCTGCCTTCACTGGAGGTGGTGGACTTTGGCTACAATCAGATGAAGGATGACTGCGGTCCGGAGCTGGGAATTCTCCTCGAGCGACCCTGCATGCTGAAGAGCCTGGAACTGGAGTACAATCGATTGGATTCCCGGGCCATGGCAGCCATTGGAGCGGCACTGCAGCGACCGAGCGTCACTAGGTTGGAGTATCTGGGATTGGCGCACAACAAGATCAGCGGAGAGGCTCTGGCAATCCTTTGCAGTCGCATCAAGGGCACCGAGCACGTGGAGGAGCTGAATCTCTCCGGCATCGAGGTGAATCCTAGGATTTTTGTGGATGAAATTAGCGATCTTTTACGCAAACATGAACCTCTTCGTCGGATGAAAATGGTTTCCATCCCCATGAGCTTCAAACTGGGCAATAAATTGATATGTGCCCTGAATGCCAACATGAACATCACCCATTTCGATTGCCGTGACTGCGATTTGGACGAGGATGAGGAGCTGGATGTCGACATTATAGTGAGGAGAAATGCCTCACTCAACGAAAAAAGCTTCATCGCCGATACGGATCGCTTTCCCAGCTTGTTGGATGTTTTGGAACATGCCAAAACACTGAAGCATCCGATGGTGCAGAGGATCGAGAACGACATGGCCAGGAGGAAGGAGTGCCTCCAGCACTATCCACCACCAACGCCCAGTGAACCGAGCCTCCGGACGCAGACGCTGGTGGCGGAGGAGTCGGAGTATGATATTTGGCAGGTGCTAGGAATCACCACCAAGCCAACGAAGACACCTCCACCGGAAGAGATGGCCAGGAAGGCGAGCACATCCTCTGAGCTAAACAAGGAACCCTTCATATACGAACCCAACAAATTTGATATGGAACAGTTTCGAGCTCATGTATTTCTGCCGGGAACATCTAATAGGCATGCATACTTTATGAAGCAAAGGCAATCGGCTATGTAAACTATATTACTATGCCCATCAAAATTAAATGTTTTGATAACTATACATCTTTTAAATAATTATATGTATAGGTCCCTTAGGAAAATTGGAAAGTATATTTAGGATAGAAATATAAATATTAAACATCTTTATAAATCAAATATAAGAACAAAGGCAATCGGCTATGTAAACTATTTGTAGATTTTCATATTACTATCAAAATTAAATGTTTTTATAACTCTTAGCCTTTAGATTATTATATTGAAACCCCAGGCAAATTAAAAAGTATTTAGGATACGAGTATATGTATACAAAATCGCTTAGAATCCTAAATGAACTGAAGAAAAGATCGAAATAATATTTAGTAGCATGTTTTAATTTTAGGTATCTGTAAAAAATTTTAAGTAATAGCTCTTGCAACGGCATTATATCTTTGGACTACCGATGATCTGCACTTAGTATCTCCTTAGTTGTACTTTGCTTTCCCCCTCTAAATGTTGCTTTGTAGCTTGAGTTGGTTTGTCCCTTTTGAGTTGCCATCTTGACCTTATAATCTAACCCTGACCACACCCATACACTACCCACAACACCCCACTCTCTCACCCACCCACTCCAGTCAATTATCCAGGTGCAAGCAGGCTTTTGGCCACTAATTCCTAATCACCAAAGCAAAAAGATCCGTGGCTTACAGGCAAAACAAGCAAAAAAGCAAAGCAAATGCAAGAAAGCAGCAACTAACTGTCGAACCCTGTGAACCCCTGTGAACCGCTGCTAACCAAGTTTGTGTCCACTCTCCGGTAGATTGCCCACCCGGCTTGTACGGCCGGAACTGCTCGATGCAGTGCGACTGCCTGAACAACGCCGTCTGCGAGCCCTTCTCCGGCGACTGCGAGTGCGCCAAGGGGTATGCGGGACTACGCTGTGCGGACATCTGTCCGGATGGCTTCTTCGGGGCCAACTGCTCGGAGAAGTGCCGCTGCGAGAACGGCGGAAAGTGCCATCATGTGTCCGGCGAGTGCCAGTGTGCGCCCGGTTTCACGGGTCCCCTGTAAGTGGAAGGAATGGGAGGAGGAGAAGTGACCTTTTCGGCCGAGGATCAGGCTAAATTAAACGTAGAATGTGATGGTTACTTAAACAAAATATTATTTAATTTTTAATTAAATTTTTAAAGTTTTTTATTTGTTTTTAAATAAGAAAATGTTTTATAATTCAGTTAAACAGTAAACAAATTGATATGAAATAGGGTCAATTCTACCTTATTTCTTATCAATGAATAGACAATATTATTAATGTCAAATTAATGATTGAACCATATCAACATGATATTTTATCATATCATATAAAATAACAAATTTAGTATTTTTTAACAAATAATTCTTATTCATATCAAATTGAGATGAATTACTTGATCTTGAAAAAATATTAAATTGACCAGCACAATATCAATATGATATTATGCCAATTTCGTTATGTGATTTTAAACTCTGATTTATATAATCAAATTTTGTTTCATTACAATCAATAATTTCTTTCTTAAATTCAAAAATTTCTTACTTAAATTTAAAAATTTCATTCTTAAATATTTTCAATTTAAATATTCTAAAATTAAATCATGATTAAATCAGCATGTTTTTTATTTAATATTATTAATTTCTCTCTAAAAACCATCACATTCTACGTTTAATTTTGCCCCCGAGATCCCCTGATACCCCGTACTAATGCTCCGCTCCAACTAGATGCGACATGCGCTGTCCGGACGGGAAGCATGGCGCCCAGTGCCAGCAGGATTGTCCCTGCCAGAACGACGGAAAGTGCCAGCCGGAGAGCGGTGCCTGCATGTGCAATCCCGGCTGGACGGGCAATGTGTGTGCGAACAAGTGTCCGGTGGGCAGCTATGGAGCCGGATGCCAGGAGACCTGCGAGTGCTACAAGGGAGCCCCCTGTCACCACATCACGGGGAAGTGCGAGTGCCCACCTGGTTACCTGGGAGAACGCTGCTTCGACGAGTGTCCGCTGAATACCTATGGATTCAACTGCAGCAGGACCTGCGACTGCGCGAACGACGCCACCTGCGATCGGGCCAATGGAACCTGCATCTGTAATCCGGGATGGACGGGTCTGAAATGCGAGGAGAGGATCTGCGAGGCGGACAAGTACGGAATGGACTGCAATCGCACCTGCGAGTGCGACATGGAGCACACGGATCTGTGTCATCCGGACACGGGAAAGTGCCACTGCAGCATCGGATGGAGCAGTGCCCAGTGCACCAGACCCTGCACCTTCCTGCGCTACGGTCCCAACTGCGAGATGACCTGTAATTGCAAGAATGGAGCGAAATGCTCGCCGATTAATGGAACCTGCCTGTGTGCTCCTGGCTGGACAGGGGAAACCTGCGAGGAGGGCTGTGCTCCGGGTTACTTTGGCCAGGATTGCGCCCAGCGCTGCGAGTGCCAAAATGGAGGCAAGTGCGTCCAGGAGTCGGGTCAGTGTTTGTGCACCGACGGTTGGATCAACATGAAGTGCGATCGTCCCTGTGACCTCAACCACTATGGCAAAGATTGCGCCAAGGTGTGCGATTGCCAGAACAACGCCGCCTGCAATCCGCAGAACGGAACCTGCACCTGTGCCGCCGGCTGGACGGGCGAGAAGTGCGACCGGAAGTGCGATCCTGGGAAATTCGGACACGAATGCGCCCAGAAGTGCCAGTGCGACTTCAACAACAGCCTGGCCTGCGACGCCACCAACGGACGATGTGTCTGCAAACAGGATTGGGGAGGTACTAGCGGGATTTCTCTATATATGCCTCATTGAATTCACCCCATCAAAATCATAGATCATTGGGATTGTCATGCTGATGAATCATTTGAGATTAATCTTCTAGTTCTCAGAGAAAACTGAAAAATAACTGGGAAATTTACTTTTTTTATGGTATTACCAAAGGTCCTTTAGATTGTAATCGTATACAAGTCACTAGTTTCAGGAAAAAATTAGAAAATTCGATTTTGTTTTTTATCCTAACTTTAAAATCTTTAAGCTTGCATGATTTGCTTACCATTATAAAATATTTATTATTTCTATAGATTCTATTATTATCAGTAATTTAGAAAATTCTTTTAACACGTTTTGATTTAAAAATCAAAGAATCCATTAGAAAAAAAATCTGCTAGGAAAAAGTGTAAGAAAGTGTAAGAGACTTTTTATATCAAATACCCTTCAGGTTTCCCCAACTCTAATACCAACTCAACCAAACATTAATGCTCTGCACTCATCTCATTACTTTCATTTTAATTGCATCTCTTTTGCATGGCCACGTTTCGTTTCTTTAATTTAATTTGCCTTTCTGGTTCTGCACCTGTGTGTTTCTGGTTTTTGTTTGTACTTGTCTGGTGCCCAACGATCAACCCAAGGCGTTCATTGCGAGACCAACTGTCGGAGCGGTTACTATGGTGAAAATTGTGATAAAGTTTGCAGATGCCTGAACAACTCCTCCTGCGATCCGGACTCGGGTAACTGCATCTGCTCGCCGGGATGGACGGGTGAGGATTGTGCAGAGCCATGTCCGGCTGGATTCTATGGCATGGAGTGCAAGGAGCGCTGCGCAGAGATTCAGCATGGTAAGAAATAGATGAAGATTCCCCAATCAAAGAGAAAAAATTACTAATTTGAATTTAATTTACAGGCAACAAGAGCTGCGATCACATCACTGGGGAGATTCTCTGTCGCACCGGGTACATTGGACTCACCTGCGAGCACCCCTGCCCACCTGGACTCTTTGGACCCGGCTGCAAACTGAAGTGCAACTGCGAGCACGGTGGCGAGTGCAACCACGTGAGCGGTCAGTGCGTCTGCCTGTCCGGCTGGACGGGTGCCAACTGCAACGAATCCTGCCCAACGGACACATACGGACAGGGATGTACGCAAAGATGCCGCTGCGTTCACCACAAAGTTTGCCGCAAGGCCGATGGCATGTGCATCTGCGAGAAGGGCTGGTCGGGCGCCCGCTGCGATGAGGTTTGTCCAGAGGGATTCTACGGGGAGCACTGCATGAACACCTGCGAATGTCCGTCGCCTAACTTCCAGTGCCATGCGGCTAATGGTTGCGTGTGCAGGAGTGGCTACACGGGGGAGAATTGCGATGAGCTTATAGCCTCCCAGAGGGTTGCAGATCAGAGCGAAAATTGTGAGTTGTTAGCTTGGATTTTATATCGTTAATCTCACTTATTAATTACCCTTTTAACCCAACAGCAAGTCGAGCAAGTGTGGCTCTCACTCTAGTCCTGATGACCCTGTTTGCCTGCATAATCTTCGCTGTGTTCTTTTATTATCGTAGAAGGGTGTCCAATCTGAAGACGGAGATTGCCCATGTGCACTATACCCACGATACGAATCCCACAAGCTGGCCGCCTAACCATAACTTTGATAATCCTGTGTATGGAATGCAGGCGGAGACGCGACTGCTGCCGAATAATATGCGCGCCAAGATGAATAACTTTGACCAGAGGAGCACCATGAGCACGGATTACGGCGGCGATGATTCAAACGCTAGTGGAAGGGGTACGATTTTAAGATAGAACCTTTAAGATTAGTTTCTTACTATGATTTTCCATCCCCAGTAGGTAGCTATTCGATCAACTACAACCACGACCTGTTAACAAAGAACTTGAATGCGGACTCTACCAACCCAATTGTCTACAATGATTCGCTGAAGGAGGAGCATGTCTACGATGAGATCAAACACAAGGAGGGCTACAAGGATCCCGGTATGTCTTTAGACTCGCTAAAATTAAGGCTTAGAAATTTCGCAACTAACTATGTACTCCACATTTGCACACATTCGCGGTATGAAACAGTGAAAATTTATAGCAAGATTTTGTTTCCCGAGGGTAAGCCAGTGGTGTTGAAGAAACATTCTGTGTAGTGCTCTGTTCGCTTTCACTCATGTCCAGTGTTTAGATAGGTGATTTTAAAATCCAGTAATTTAATTCTTGGAATTGTTTACCCCAGGTGAATATGACCATCTGGACTACTCGCGACCCAGCACCTCGCAGAAGCCGCACTACCACCGCATGAACGATGCCATGCTCAACATTAACCAGGACGAGGAGAAGCCCAGCAACGTGAAGAACATGACCGTGTTGCTGAACAAACCGCTGCCGCCCACGGAGCCGGAGCCGCAGCACGAGAGCTTCGACAATACAAACACCAATCTGGACAATGTTTCGACGGCGTCGCCCAGTTCCAGTCCGGAATTCCGCAAGTAGGCAGCCGGAACTTCAGTCACTTCACCCGCTGTTTTAATTTCTAAGTCGTCTGTCTGTCTAGGCTAAGAATTTCCCCAACTGGTATACATACCAACTTTAGTTTAATTAATTTCCTACGTCGTGATGTTTTGTATTTCTGTGTAGCTTTTGTCTTGCATTCGATTTGTATTTTGTAATTGTAACTGTCTATTTTGTCGCTCAGTTTTAGAAATGTCCGCTCAAGCAATTGTAAATTATTATTATTTAGGGACCCTTTTGTCCTAACTTTTGTAAATGTCTACTTCACTCGCTCTAAATTTTGGACTAACAATTTACGATGCTCATTTGATACACACACCATCTGAAATCATATTAAATTAAGTACCTTTAACACCTCTTCCTGTTGAAATTGCGGAGTGTCGTCTCTGAGACGAACTTGTCGAATCGAAGGTTGCAATAATTTTAAATCGAACCTATGCATATACAGATTGATATCAATAGCCTAAGCATATGGTATTTATATTTTTAATAAGCAACTTATTTTTAGAGTGCATAAACAATACATTAAAAGAGTTCATCATTAGGCATTGATAAACTATTTTTAAATACCATCAAATAATTGTTATCAAAATTAAATGCTGATGTTCTGTAATAAGGAAACGTTTGGCCAAAATTGTATAAATAAAACTCAGATTAATTTTAGATCAGATATTAAGAAGTAGGTCAAATATTGGAATATTACAATTGTGTAACCCATTTAAAAGCGTTTTAGCAAAAAATATTATGTTATTCTTCATATACACATATTCGATCTTTTAAAAACGCGAATAATAAAATCATAAAGTGAAATATTTTAAAAGTAAGCATTTTTCCCTTAAAGAAACCGAATACAATGACTTTCATATATTTATTTCAATATCTGTTAATATTATTTAGTAGAAGCATCAAGTACAGTAATTTTATAAATAGTTTCCGTCTGCGCTTTCCTCTTTGATTTTCGTTAAGCAAGTGTTCTATTACATAGACTACTCGGTAATGCTAGGTAATGCTAGATAAATACAAGATCCTTCGCAGGATCCACACGCGCACACATACACATACACAGATACAAGTATTCAATTACAGACACCGAAACGATTACGAGTACAGTTTACAACTAGAAGCGTACTAAGGATCGCGAATGGAATGTGTGGCTATAAGTGTGTGTTTTAAGATGTGTTTATAATGTTGATTACTTTAAATGTAATGCTTGACTGGTTTTTGGGGTGGGCTAGGTGGATGATATAGGCTGGATCGTTTTGGGTCACAAGATCTTAAAAGGAAGAAGGTCAACTTAGGATTATTTAAGGTAGATTAGAGTCGAAATTTTAAGGATATTTTGATAAATTCGGATAGTAATAGATAAAATGGAATTTTTTAATCGGATAAAGTTGAAAATAATTTTTTATGACTAAGGTGATAAGAAAAAGGTTTTAGAAAATGTCCTTAGATGACTTTCCCCTTCTAAAATCCTCTCAAGCAACCCAAAGCAATCCCTCCCAGGCTAGTTTAGGATCTACAGATAGCCATGTCCGGCCACCTCGGCTGGGATAAAGCCTTCTCGTCCATCCCTTGTCCGCACATAGAACCACTGCCTCTGATCCTTGGACTCGCGGCACTCGCACAGCGTCACAATCTCGCCCTTGTGCACCGCAATGCTCTCCGTGATGTAGTCCGTGTTGATGGCGACTAGAGTTTGCCGCTGGCCCACCTCCTGCTGGCGGCGCAGTGCCTTCAGCGTGGCATCCGCTTCCGCCTGGTTCTTGGCGGGCTTGTGCTCGTAGGGTGGCAGGGGAACCACCATCTTGGTTGGATGCAGATGCTGGCCATTCTGGCCATTGGTTATATAGGATACATTGGACAGACGCCGCGCAGCTGCTGGCTGTGACTGGTGGAGATGCTTGCCCATTGCTGACTTTTGCTGCAGGGTCACGTACTCATCCTGGGAGGCGCCTCCACTTTTGGCGGAGGCGGAACCCACGGAAGCCACCTGCCGGGTGGAGCGCAACTGGGCATAGGCCTTCTCCACCAGACGCGGCTTGGAGGCAGCCCGAAGATACAGCTTATCCACCTGCTGTTCTCCGTACAAGGAGCTAGTGGTGCTACCCCCCTTTGTTTGGTTATTGTTGTTGCTCTGGTGGTTATTGTTGTTTATGGTGGTGCTGCTGATCTTCAGATCCTCAGCGGGTTTGGAGCTGCTGCTGCGTGGAGTGCGGGCGCCATCGGATCGAGTGCCTCCTCTTAACCTAATCTCCTTTTCCGAATCCGTCATATTGCCACAGGGACGCGGGAAGACATCCGCATTGGACTCCCAGCAGGGGGTGTTCCTCGAACCCGCTCTCGCCTGCTGCGGGAGGATTCCCAGCGGCAGGCAGCAGGCATAGCCCACATAGCCCTCCTCCGCGTGGGGCGTTTGCACATACAGCCAGTTCTGGTTCTTGAATACCGCATTTACCACCATCCCGAGGGGCAGGGGAATCTCCAGCTGATAGCCACCTGGTCGCGTTTGGTAGAGAGTACTCGCTGTGGCCAGGACAACGGGTATGTTGCCTGGGGTGGCCAACGAGCAGCGGGAGAGGAACTCATCCACATTGTGGATCTCATAGCCGAATCTCTGCACCCGATTGCGATCCCTTCGCTTGCGATGCCTGTGACGACGCTGCTGCTGCTGGGGGGCAGCTCCTGCTCCTCCTACGGATACTCCTCCTCCCTCGGAGGCCGCCACCAAACTGGGCTCCGAATAGGAGGTGCACTTCAGGGACTCTGCTCCCGTGACCGATCCCCTGGCTTCTCCCGTCTGCGAGCCACTGGATCTCGCCTGTTGCAGGCGCGAGGCCAACTTCTTCCGTATCTCATTCCTCTTTCTGGCCAGGATCAGCGCTTCGCTGTGATTATCGCTCCTCGGTGCCCGCTGTGGCGTGCAGACGAAGAGCAGCTCTTTGGTGGAGGCGGCGGCCACTGGAGCACCGCTAGTGGGTCCGCTCCTCGAGACATCCAGCAGATTCTGGTTGCTGAAGAACTTCTGGTTGGCCAGGTGGCCATTCGGAGGAGCCTGGTGGGCGGTGGGCGTGGTGGCATAGCCATTGAGGGGATCCCCGTTGCTGGGCAGTTGCTTAACCCTATAGCGCTTCTTGGTGACATCTAGTTGGGTGGGCACAGGTTCAGTTCTGGCCGAGAAGCCCTCGTTATCCTTGCGATCCAACTGGGTCTCCAACGATTCCTTGGGCACCTCCTTCTGCGGGGAGGGCGGCGCCTGTGACTGTGGAGCCGTCTGCGTCTGCTGCTGCTCCCGGAGCACCCAGGTCAATGAGATGCGAGGCCTGCGGAGGCTCAGGTTCTGACCCATCGCCAGCTGCGGAGTGCTCTTCGCTCGCCCGCCGGCGACTAAAGGTAGCAGCTCGTCGATCTCCACATAGTCGGAGCTGTACTCGAAGCTCTCCTCGGGCTGGGATTCCTGGTTACCAGCAGCTCTCGTTGGCGGTGGCGGTGGAGTGGCCGTGAAGTTGCCCACGGAACTATCGCTGCTGCCGGGCGTCTGGAGAATCAGGGAGCAGGCGTGCAGGAGATCCGGACAATAGGCATCTGGAAAGGGAAGAGTCATTAATAAGGCTAGAAAATTTTATATAAAGAAATCTGCAGAACAGAAAAAAGTCAACATTACTCATTTGAAAAGAAATGCTCTTAAAATCAAGGCGAAAAAACCCTCATTTTTGTTTTTCAAGAAGGAAGCGATCTCAAAATAGAGAAGTAAGTTGTCTTGAAAATCGAAAACACTTATCCCAATTTTTTCTTACCCCTCAATCCCCTCCTGCGTCGGCGCTGCCTCCTGGTGGCACTGCCTCCGCTTCCCAACTCCGAGCAACTGGATCCGGAGCTACTGGAGCTATCTGTGCTGGAGGCGAATTGCAGCTGCTGTTGCTGAAGCTCCCGAAGTCTTCGTCTTCTCCTTGCCTGCTGACGTGCTGCTACTTCGCTGGCTGCCAAAGTTCCACCGCCTGGAGGTGGTGGAACCACTACTACTCGAGCTGGCCTAGCTGGATGCACTGCATCTGCACTCTGCACCTGACTGGATCTCTCTGTGTAGCTGGGCGGTGGTGTCAAAGGATGAGGACTGTAGTTGGGCGGCGGGGAGAGCGGAACTCTCAATGCGGATTCCTCGAGCACGTAGTCGTTCTCCTGGGCCTGCAGCTCTAAAGTTCCGGCTTCTTCGTAACCCAGAGGCAGTCCATCCACAGGTGGGGGAGAGGTGTTGTGAGTAACATCGCCGCCATTCTGGCGATAGGTGGGTAAAGGTGTGACAGCTATAAAATATGGAAATTAAGGTAATGATATAGGTATAAAATGGTGTCTGGATAAGCGCAATATTATTAATTTGGATCATTAGATATGAATTAAGAATATTCCCAATAATCATAAAAGATTCAAATTAATTTATTTTTAAATAAATAAATGTATTTGTATTCTGTTAAAATTTCGAGCTCCTATAAGAATGTTCCCAATAATCATAATTGATTAAAATGAATTTATTTTTTAGAAATAAATGTATTTGTATTATATTAGTTAGAGTTCCTATAAGAGGTGTTTTTATTTGATAAGTAATAACTAAAATGTTCCATTTCCCTCACAACCCTTTCTTAATTAAAACTCCAAATCCATTTATGCCTCGTAGGGGATTTCATAACCATTTGTCCAAGATTGATCCGCCCCCAAAGAGACATCACTATGGTCCATAGACAACCCCTCACTACCGGTCCAATAATCCCGCTCAGACTTCACATGACAATAAAAATTCCAATTATAGTTAAGAGTCTGCCGATTCAAAAAACAATGATGTGGTCTGTGCAGTGGTTTCTTCTGTCTTCTGTCCGAGATTCCCCCACTCCATTCGGTGGTCATAAAGACCATTGAGACGCGATAACGACACCTGAAGTCTTGAATCTTCGAAAGAGGAAGACAACTCCCACACGGGGAGCAGGGAATATTTAAAATATTTGCCAATATAAATGTCAGGAGTCGGGAGAGTGGAGAATGGAGAACGGGGACTGAAGATTGCGGATCGGAAGAGTGGGGAATGGTTTGTGGCCGCCTTCATATGCGGCTATCAAGGCCAAGATCAGTGAGCTGAGCCCCAAATGGCAAAGGCGAAGGTGAGGATGAGGATGAAGTGGAAACCCAGTGAGGATCGGAGCTACGCAAGAAGCGTGGCCAATAAAATTCCAAACTGATATGCTCAATGGCAACAACGTGCCACAAGTGAGTAGTAAAATGTTGAAACGTGACGGTATTTCAAAAATACTCCTACCAAATATTGGATTGAGCATCTCCTTCTCTTTTTGGATTAGCACATTTGCACAACGTTCAATGAAAAGAGAAAAGTTGAGTTGCCTTCAAAGCACTCGAAAGACTCTGGTACACTCTATAGCGAACCTGAAATGAACAAACCAGAGAAATTGCAATTACATGCCGACAAATTGTGACAAATTAAAACATGGCCATCTGGAATGCAGACTATATTTATGGGTGGAAAATCGGATGAAAATTGGAATGCATGTTAAAAATGTTTTAATGGTTGTAACAATAAAATTTCAAGGTTGTGAGTATTAAGAAATATATTTATGGAGATAATAATATTTTTATCTTTATAGAGCTTATAAAGAGCTTACTTATAGAGGTCATTTAAACATCCTTTTGGAAAATATAAGTTAGTACCTTTAGAGTTGTAATATCTATTTCAAGTTTTTTAAAGGACTTTCAGTCCTAACTTTTACTAAAATATTCCCCCAAAAAACCAACCTCAATACAGAGTAAACCCTCCCAATTCGAAAGGGTACTCCAGATCATAACTAAGCTCTGATGAAGCGCAGAAAGGACAAGGCCCTGAGCCCTGAGAGCCAAGAGCCAAGAGATCCAAGACCCGCCAAAATCTGCGGGCCCAGCGGCAACGGCAGCGATGCGACTTTAACGACCTTTGCGAGGCGATTCGGAGTGGGGGATTTGGAATGGGGGATCCGCAGGGGGGAGTGGACTTCTCTGCCAGTCAGTCAGTTGGCGGTTCCGTTGCCCCGGCCCTAATCAAAAAGGTTCAAGCGCAGAGATCGTGCGAGGATTACATGGGGGTGTGACGACAGGCCGGCTCAAAGTCATTCACTCAGCTCCGACTCTCGACTCCCAGCTCCCCCAGCTCCATCTCCACCTCCTGCTAAAGCCCAAAAACCAAAAAAAGCTCAGCTCCAACTCGATCGTGATGCTGTGGCCTTTAATGGCCTCTACGTGAGACGTGATCTCCACCTGGTGCACTTAGAAAAAACTCATACGTATTCCTTCACTTTTAAACTGATCTTGTTTAGAAAGTTTTCTGAAATATTTAGAACAAATTTTCTAAAAACTCTATAAAAATTTAAAAATATTTAGAATGTATATAAAACAAATATAATCAAAGTGAAAGGGGAATTTTTAGTGATTGTTTGTCTTAAAAAAATAACTGTTCATAAAGATTGTAAACATTGTAAAATGTATAAAATTTATAAAATATTAAAAATGTATTTAAATATTATATAATCAAATTGGAAAGAAAGTATTTTACTGTCTTTTTTAATGACCTTCACTATTTATAAAGCCCTTCTTACAGGTTATTATAATCCAAATTTCAGTACAACATTTCTTTGAAGTGCACATGGATCGAAGGGGCGGTTCAGGGCCGGATTGAGGGCGTGGCCGATCACGGGGCAGCTAAAATCGAAAGTGTTGCTCCGGGTCGGAGCTCCGCTTGGCGGCCCTCTAATTAAACGCAGACGGCTGCCAAATTAGCTAATGACAACATTGCGCCGGAACCAACAGCTAAAGCAACAACAGCAAATGCAATTGCAATTGCAATTGCAACTAGCAACAGCAACATCGACATCAGCAACGCATTGCACAAATCACATATCCAAAGCTGCAACGCCTGCCCAAAAATGGTAAAAACTCTGACAAATTTGTTTTGCAACTTGTTGGCCCGCCTGCTGCAAATATGGTTGCCTCTGCTCTGCTCCGACATGAACATGGTATTGGACGGTGGTCAGTGGACGGTGGTCAGTGGCCACTGGGGCATTGTGGTCGTGGTCAACGGACCGGGTTCTTCCATCCATCCTCCTTCAAAACCACCGCACAGCTGTCGGTGAGTCGAACCCAGGTCTCCAGACTCCCGACTCCAATCTCTTTAGATATTGGTAGCCCCTCGCTGGTGATAATAATTCAATCGAGAAATGTCGAGGCGTGCAAATCGTCCGGTTGATTTGTGTCTGGCCCGTTGGCTTAAAAGGCGCTTGGAATTGATTGGTGTTGCATGTGATTAACTGTCGGACTCAGGAGACAACATGCCAATTACAGGTGTTGCTCAGAAGTCGGCGGAAAGGTTAAAAGTCAGGCAAAAGCTTATTGGAAAATCAATGGAATTAATTGCAATATATTATAGATTTTTAAAAGATATGTTTTCTTATCGATCAAAAGATTTTTTTGAGATCTAAAAAACCTATTGCATTTCTAGAAAATTATGTTAAAGTCCATTGTACATATATGTACATTATATCATAATAATAGTAATCAACATTTTTAAGAGCCAGGTATAGCTCATAATCAGCCTTAAGACTTCAGCAAATATATTTAAAAATAAATTCTTTATAGTGTTGCGAACATAAAGGAAAATCAGAACAAACTCTGAATCTCTAGAAATTTCGCAATTAATCTAAAGAGCCTTTTAAGAAAAATATTTAGGCTGTGGGAATTGATTAAGGAAGCGAATCCCGGTCAGGTTAATCGCTTTAATAGAACAGAAGAACTCTGGAAATTTTTCAATCAAGCCTAATCTCTGGGTTACCCTCTCCCGCCTCCTTGGGCACCTTGGAATGGATATATGGATGCTCCATAGATGCTGCACAATCGATAACTGTTGTGGTTTAGTCGGCGTTTCGCGCACGTCCCTCGCATATATCTTAAAATGGCAGCCGCAGATAAGACGCACTAATAAGATAAAAACATTTTAATTGCCACTAAACATGGCAGCGCCTCAGACGGACCGGGTTCACTCTCTCCCCGAGATCTCCAAAGTCCAATCTGGGATCTTGGATCTCGGTTTTTTTTTGCTGCAGGCCAGACAACTGTAAAACGGCCACTGCAATATACTTAGACTTACTGACTCTGTCCACTCTGTCCGGCGAAAAAACGTTGTCGCCGCTAATGGGTTAACAAAACGCCAGCGAGGCAGACATATAAATAAAACTCTGATTTCGTTGGGATTTAATTAAATCCAAACTTCGATCCGCTTCCAGACTTTAGCCCTTGGCCGAGGTGCCAAAGCAAATTAAAACGCTTCCGGAGGGATCGTCAAAACTTTAACGACCCAACCCCAAACCCAAGGGCCTTGGTCCACGAATATATGTGCAATCCCTAGTCCAGAGCCATCAAAATGACCACCAGCCTGGGCAACCTGGGCCGAATGTCCAACTGCTCCACGGAGACCATAAAATCCGGCATAAACTCGCTTGATTGTCAGATTGTCAATAGGTGCTAGGCAGGGTTGCTCATTCGGCGGGTTTCTGGCTAAATTTTATTTGGGTTTCGGGATAGAAAGCTAAAATATTTTATAAAAATTTATCTGAGATCTTTATAAAATTTTAAAGAAATATTTAGGCAATCAAGCTTTTAGAATTTTAAGAAATAGACATAAGCTATTTACAAACATACATTTATCAATAATTTTGATGTCTAAGAAAATTCGTTTAAAAATATTACTGTATTTTTAAAATCGTTCATAAAAGTATTTAAAGTGTGGAGTAAAAATAAAAATTATTTGCAATTAATTAATCGGAAATCTTGTTTCGAAAAATATTGTTGCCTACTTTTAGACACCTTTAACAATGATTTAAAAATCCTAGAATTTTTCGTTTTATTCCTAATAACGTATTTCCCAAAACATACCATCGTTTAACCCATTTTATAGCATTCTTCGGCTTTTTATAGGCAGCCCTGTCAGCCCAATGGCGCAGCTTGTCCCAGGCGATGCCAAATCCTTGATGACAGGCCATGGAAGCCCGGGATAGAAGGTGACCGACCAGGTGCCAACATGCCAGCCACTGCACAGCCATCAAATGGATAATTTATGCCGAAAATAATTTACACAAATTTCAGTTTTTAGCTTTTCAATTAGTCGGGATCATGTGGCTGCAGGGCGGTACTGGGATACAGCGATACTCGGCGATACTACTTAAGTCCCATTTTATAGCCTTTTAATGGGCCCTTCGCTTTTGGGTGGTCAAGACATGGCCAAGATTTGAATAGGTGCGATTCCCAAACGCGATCAAAAGTGAATTAAAATCTTTTATCGACTTGTCTGTTGGACGTTTCGAAGGAGAAGGAGCAGAGCCCTTTGCTAGTGGGTTTGGAATGGGCTTGGGTTTTGGGTGGAGTTGGGGGATGCGGTTGCTGCCGGCCAGGGCAATAAAATTAAACGTTTGTTAGCTTTGGGTTTTTGGTTTTCGTGCGTGTTTTAAGCGGTTTTAAATATTTATGAGCCCATTTGTAGCAACGCTGGCTGGGGCCGCAAAAATATCATTTTATGGCCTTAATAAATTTAAATGTTGTGGCCGCCGGGCTGTTGAACACGAAATGTCTGCGGAGGTGCGGAAATGAAAGTGTGCTATATTGCAGGTGAAAGAAATCTAGGGTTACGGAATGATGATTTTAACTGATTTATTTCGAATTGGAAATCATTCGTACAATTATGCAAAGTATTTACATAAATTATTATTAAAAGGTGCTTTTAAATAGTGGTTTATTTTCAATTTAAGAATCCTCCGAAATAAATATTAATATTTTATCAAGTAAAATTGTCTCTTGTATTTTTCTTTAAATTCTTCTCTATTTTAAAAGCAACTCAAAGAAATTCCATTTTCATTGTCATGCTTTGTCAGGTCTCTTTGACGAACTCTCAACTCATCCTACTTTCAGTTTGACCAAACCAAACCACAAATTCAAATGGCAGAAGTAGCAGGAGAAGGACAAGCCAAGATGTCCTTGTTGTCCTGCCAATGCCCAAATGTCCAAGGACAGTCGAATAATTCCTGGCAAGTGCGTATTTATGACCAACTTGGAGTACTTTCCATATGGACAAGAGGTTGTTCAGGCACAGAGAGAAAAAAAGGTTTTGAAATAGAAATATCTATAGAAAATTAGATTTAATTAATTACCTATTTATTTTGCCGTCAAAAATATTTAATTTATATAATTGAATTAAATATAATTAAATCTACATATTCCATTTTTAATTTCCATGTTTAATAAAAATATTATTAAAAAATTCTGAAACATTTTTGTCTACTATTTCTTCAATCGAACATATTATTTGTTGATAAACAATTTTGTTAAATTACACAGATGGAGGAATATCAAAATGTTAAAGTTTATATAGGTACTTTAATATATTTAATATTTTTACCCTAAGTGCTAATATTTTTCTCTACTATTGTTGGTCCGTCGAAGCTAAAATCAAGTTAGGAGAAGACAAATGTGCCCCCTTTTCTTGGGGGGGAGGGTATTTTGGTGCCAGTGCCAGTGAAAAAGCGTCACGATAAGCGTCAAAGGACTGGGCCATAAAAAGCCATGAGTTCGTCGAGCTGGTGGAAATTGGAGGGTGGCTGCTCTCGGCCAAAAAAAGGGGAAGATCAAAGCGAAAAAAGCAATAAGTCCTGCGGGCGGAATGTAAATTGAAATACAGGAAGGAGGGAGTGAGGCAGCACTCTCTCTGTTAGAACTTTGAACCCGAAAGTGAAACCCAAAACGAATCCGGAGTCGAGAGCCGGAATAAGGAATCCAAAATCCGGATTCCGGACCTAACCCAACGCGGGAAAATGGGAAACCGGAAAGGGAAGCACGCGGCACGCACTTTGATTTGCTGCCCAAGATCGGGATTTTCTCTGGATTTACTGATGAAGAACCTGTTGTCGTTGAGGGGCAAATGGAGAGCTCCTGGAGCTCCAGCTGGTGGCAAGTGCACTTTGGCCTCTCCGGGAAATATGTCTTCAAGTGCCATCCATTTAACCAAGGGCGAAAATCCCGCAATTGCATTCGCAGAAACCGAAAAACCGAAGGAGGAGCTCTCTCTTCTAGGAGTCCTTTGTCTTCCCTTTGAAATGCCGCGTGCTTTATTAAAAAATTTCCATCTCTCCATAAAGGAGGTGGAGAGTGTGGAATGTAGGTCCCTTTGGGGACATTGTTATAAATTCCTTTGCTGAAAAATGTGAAAAATGCGCCATGTAAATTATTTCTGCGTCATTTTTTCCCCGCGCTTCGCGCTTTTATTGTGCATCATAAATTTTTATTGTAATTGGCTGTTGATTTATGGGCCATGGCTAACATAGACTCCGTGGAGCCGAATCTCTGGACCCTCGGATGATAGCAAGTGCCAGATAAACGATTCTCTTTCAATTTGCCATTAATTAGGCGGGACAGCGGGAGCAGCTCCTCCAGAGGCTATTTTCTGGAGATACTGGGGATTCAAGTCCAAATGGTTGGGTTATAAAAACTAATCGCGGCATTACGAGAATCATCTATGAAATTGCGCCCGCTGATGCGTAACCTGGACTGCCGCGCCCACCCAAGCAGGAAGTGCAAGGTTATAAGAAAAACCTCCTCCTCCTTCTAAACCAAATCCACAGGCAAATCACTGCCGAGGAAAACCAAAGGCCAAGGCCTCATTGTTTTTGTTAGATGCTCAGGCAGTCAAACACCATAAAACTTTATGAACAGTACCCAAACCCACCGAACAGAAAGGTTTTTCGCCCAGAAGTGGCAGATCTTTTAATGCCTTGCCAAAGATTTCATGGTAATTTCGCCGGGTTATAACAATTTACAAATTATGTAATCGAAATTTATTGCTGCAGCTCCTCCATATCAACTTCATCCTCCTCCTCGAGGGCATTTATGGCAGCTCCTCCATTTTCCATTCTCGATCTTTGGAGTATAGACTGGGTGGGCAACTGGGTAACTTGGCAACTTGGAAACTTGGCCTTTTGGACATGCACAGGTGGCCCTGATGGCCAGCTTGTTTTGGCCGTTTGATGTGCGCCACATTTGACTGCCGGCCAGAAAGAACGGAACGAAAGGCGGCTAAAACTCAACGAGGATGGTTTTTAGATTAGCGGGAGAAGAGCTGGGCCTAAACGGTAATAATGCATTGTTAATATCTAAGCTCTTGATAGCTGAAAATCAATGACTGAGAACTTCTCAGTGAGAATGTTAGCTTAGCTTAGGCTCAAAAATGTTATACACTTTACAAGAAGATCATCCTGAATGTGAGTTTTCAAAAATAGTTACTTTGAAAGAAGAAAAAAGAAGAAAAGAAAATGTTAACACACTAAATTTATAAGGAATTTGTATTTAAATGGTAATAATTTCCCATATTTTTAATGGATGTAAACTAAAACTTTTGGGAAATGTTGTAAATTTAGTTGTCAAACTTTAAAATATCACCAAGTAATTAAATATTTAAAAAATATTTTTGTTAATAAATGCTGTGTATTATATGACAATTACCCCGACTAAATACCAAAGAGGATGATATATTTGAACATTTTTGGTAATTGCTTGCCAATATAGAAATGGACATTTAGTATCTCCAACAAAACCCATTCAAGAGCAACTTTTTCCTCTAGAATCATTTGAAAGACAGCACAAATTGAGTTATACTAATTCCCCACTCGAAGCCTGTCCACGGCCATTAGTTGAGTTTCCACCTGTGAGACAGTGGCTTACAAAAGTTGGCCCACACAGATAAATGGCAATTTGTTCGCATTAACCCAGAGTTACGCCCCCAGATTGCCGCCCCTTCTGAAGCACAGAGCCGTGACCCATTAGTTACGGCACTTTCCAAACAAACTCCAATAATGCAGCCATTAAATGCCAACTATTCTGCCATCAAGTGCTTTAGTTTGACATAAATCTCGAGCGGATGGCGAAACTTTTTGCCCGCTTTGCCGCTGCCACAAATCTGAGCTGGCTCTATTGGTCGCAAACCTCCGGAGCAGCCACCCACCCACATCCTAGTCCAACGCCCAATTCCCGAGTGGCCACCAACCAACCACCCACTCAATCCAGAAATCCCGAGTCCCGGTCATCCAACAGGATCAGTGGGCTGTGTCCGGCGAGAGCTTATGTTGCAGCTTTAATTAACGCCAGGTTTTTCGGACCATCGTGCGAGTTTGGCCAACAGGTGCGGAAAGTTTTGGCCAGTGCTCTTGTTCTAGGCCTCCCCTTTCAACACCCTTTAGCACTGGGAGAAAATTGTATTTATATGAGAATTATGAGGTATAAAAAATTATAGAGTTTCTATAAAAACTTGGGATAATTTTAAAATATTTTTCCAAATATATTTAATTTCCTATAAAACTTAAAAAAAAAGAATATCATTCAAATAAATAGATATTTACCCAGAAATATGGTAAAAATATATTTTATAAGAGTGTCTAAAAGTATGCAAAGAATGAATGAAAAGTGAATATATGGCTGCATACCTTTAGACACATTTATAAGTGTTTTCCAAACCCTTATATATTTTAAAGGACATTGGATGAATTACATTTATAATTAACATAATTAAATATTTATTTAATTTCTACAATTAATTATAATAATTTTCTTACTAAAAGCTTCTTTAATAAAAAGAGCTTAAAAATTCTCCCTTTATTTATAGTACCTTTTAATTTCCCCAAGTGCATCCCGTTTTGATACCCCACCCAGAGTATTTTTATTTAATTTAGAGTCGCGCATTGCTGCCCAGGACTTTCATGTTGTAATTTCCTCAAATTTACGAGTTTGCTTAGCCCGGATACGGGTTGGGATAGTGCAGGATTCATGGGTGGGAAATGGGTGAGTTGTATTTTTTGCTGGGTGGAAAGGCAGAGCAGCAGCGCCAGGATTTACGACCCGGCTTGGTTGGGTTAGTTTCACTGCCTTTCGGGTTTTCCGGGGCTCTGGAGCTACCATTCCCCATCCCGTTCTCCGCTTCTCGGTCCGCTGCGGCTTGTTAGCGCCTCGACTCTCATTTTATTAGCAGCATCCTCTAGGATGAAACTGATGCCCCACCCTCGTTATCCTTCGCAACCAGATTGCTGTAAATGAGCAACTTTTTGCCCTTAAATCCAACAAACTGTGGGTGGGTGTGTGTTCCTGCTTTTTGGTAATTTCGCATGCAGTTTATGGCTAGGCATAACATCCAAGGCAACAGCAACAAAGGTCGCTGGAGCTTAGCTCCTGCAGCTGTTAGAAGCCCCCTGCATACACACATCCAACCCCCTTATTTACACCAAAAAACACCCACTAAACACCCCCTCTACGCCCCTGACACACACAGGTTGATGACGCCGCTTATAAAAGTTGATCAAAATTATTACTACACCCGGGCAAACATTTCGGGAAGGCTGCACAAGCAGGGAATCAAGTAGGAAACACTAGTTTTGGGAAAGCACTTTGAAATACCCTAATAAAAAGATAAGCGATTTGTTTCATTTCATTTGTTTTCATTTTTTCTGAACCATTCAATGAAAGAGAAAGTTTATAATTTATTCACAGATTTTAATCTATCTATCTATAAATCTCAATTCCTTTGTTCTTCTTTCATTTCTCGCTCTTAACCCTTGGACCATGTATTAAATTATAATATCTAGAAGTTTAGAGCATTAAAAAAATGAATGAATCAAAATCAAAGTGATAGATCGTAAAATTTAAAAAATACTACTAAAGTCCAAAAACCATTTTTACGATCTTAGCAGACAAAAGGTCAAATGAATTTCAATCTGTTTTGATATTTGGCATACTTTGATTGAATATTGATAAAATTAATATCGGAATAAGGAAAGTGGCTTTTGACGACGTCTTACTTAAACTAATTTAAAAGTGAATTTTAATAAACCCAAAAAACCGATCCATATTCATGGAAAACCTAGAAGTACTAGAGATACCCTACCTTGACACAATAAAGTAAAGAGGTGAAGGTGGCAATAGCATTTCTGGGGCTTCTTCCTCCTGAAGCGACCCTCTTTCGGGACAATTAGAGTGGGCCATTGCCATAAAGTTATAGAATTCATGGCCCACGTTTTCCACAACGCATTTCGTAGTTTACTTATTACTGCAGTTTATCTGCCCGACGGACCAACTTTCTCGGGCCACGTTTCATTAGCCATATGCCATATGCTTTTTTGGGTGGGCGGTAAACCTTCGTACTTCTCCTCTGGATTTTCATTCTGTTGCGTAAGTGTGCTCTGGCTTTTTACGAGTGTGCGATATTAAATCCATATAATGAGGCGAATGTGGATTGCATATAAATAGCAGAAATTGTTGTAGTTACTGATGCAGAGTAAATGGCAAAATTCCAATTAATTGCCAAAAGTCGTAAAATGGTAATAATTTTATGGTTTTCGCTGAGCAGCAGAAAATATAATTTTAATTAAACTAATTCAGGGATTAATTATGCAAAATAAAGTTATTAATTAATAAAAAGGAAAGTTAAAATAAATAATTACTTAATATTAAAAAAATATATTTATTGGAGGTTACCAAAGTTTGATAACCTTAAACATTTATTTCCTAATACTTAGGAAAATTAAAATAAATGCCTTTCATAATATAACAAAATTAATCTCCTTAGCAAAATGTTACGCATACGCCCCGTAAACTAGGTGAGCTATTGTCCAAGTTACGTATGTAAATGAAACCGATCACTGGCGAATGCTAATGAAATGAATATTAATACGCAACGAATTAAGTACTGGCCTCTGCGGACCCCTCGCATGTTTGTTGTCCAGAGAAATGTAATTAAAGTAATAATGTTAAGTGCAAAACACGCGCGAATCTATGTCTTTTCCGCATTTTGCGGCATTGCATAAAATGTTGAACAAAGCGCGAAGCTGGCCGGTGGATTAAATTATATTGTTTAAAGGGATTGGACTGGGATTGGATTGAAAATTGAGCGGCGGCGTATGTGAGATTCCGCTGGCAATGGTAATTCCGATTCCGTTTCGCCGGCTCCCAGAGCCAGTCACCAAAATGCCGCTTCCGATTCAGCGATCCAAGCAATCCAAGCAATCCAAGCGATCCCAGCAATCCAGGAGATCCAAGAGCAGAGAGGCTGTGGCGAAAATTGTTTTGTTGGCACAAAATACTCACAACGCTCCACTGAGCAGCGACCGCGCCCCAAGTTTAGGCAGACACTGAGAGAAAATAGTACCTGGATTTTAATTTATAGTTTAAATAAAAATATTAGAAGTGCCGAGGTTTTAAAGTAGTTGTAGACAGGTTGTAGGATAAAAACTAGTTTTATTTAATTTAACTTCATGTTTCGGAATTTATTGGTATTTTAAAATTTTTTAAAAAATCAAAATAAATAAAAGAAATTCACGAAATATTAAACAAATCTGTTCATTTCTACAAAAAATCTGTTAGTTCTACCATTATTAGAAACTAAGATACCTCAAAAATTGTGATTTAAAATAAATATGTTTTTATTATTTTTTTAAATAACTGCAGGTAATTGAAATATTATTTTTTTTTTAATAATTTAATATTCTAAAAATAACTGTATTTCTCTCAGTGCTTCACCGGGCAACAAGCTGTAAGCAATAATTAGGCACACGTAACTCTGGACGCGACTGTGGGCGCTCTGCACATGCAAATGTTGCGGCTCCGTGGAGGCTGCAATGCAATCGACACCGCCGCCGCCGAAGATAATGATGGACAGGTGGGCTGGGAGGATGGGGGGTGGCTGGAGCTCCATAAGTACGCCACATGCGGCCATGGTGCACTGAACCTGATTACCGCATCCATATAAAAGCCCCATCGATTCCAGCCGGCCCACACAGTGTTGAAGGCAAACTCGCGCCATTCGGTGGATTCGGTGGTTGCAGTGGACAAACTAAAGGATTAATTAAAGGACCTGCCTGACCAGCTTAATCAGCGGGAACATTAACTGAATCTACATCAACAAAATGACCAAAGTGAGTCAAGTTAAAGCTGATCAATTAAAAGTATATAAAAGAACTTTATTTGAATATAATCAAGTTAAAATTTTCCATAGCTTATTAAAAACAAATTGGTGAACTAAATCAAAAATAAATTAAAAACACACAAAAAGTTACAATGATAAACATATTCTAAATCTTTCATAAATACTTATTAAAGTAAAACACATTTTAAAAATTTAACAAATCTGTAAATTTGTCAACTAATTAAATCTAATTTAATTACTCAGACTTTATCTAAGACCTTCAAAACACATTTTAAAAATTTAACAAATCTGTCCATTAATTAAATCTAATTTAATTACTCAGACTTCATCTAAGTTCTTAAATGATTCTTAGTGATTCCTAATTGCTTCACAGTTTCAAATTAAATGAGTGTTTCCTTGAAACCTCTGCAGAACTTTTACCTCAGAAATAAAACGCTTAGCAACTATCTCCCTTTTATTTTCCCCCCAAAAAGGTGTCATCAGGGAGTCCTTCGATGGCTGGCCAACTGCTGGCCATAATGCTCCTGCTGATGGCGACGGGGATACAGGCGCGTCGCCTTGGCCACCGTCGCCTCATCATCCACGTGCCGGTCAAGGTGAAGACGCACCATCACACCCACACGGTCTACAAGGTGCTCCATGGATCGCATGGTGGAGGAGGAGGAGGTGTGAAGCAAACAGTGTACAAAGTACTTGGCTTTTCCACACACGGAGGTGGCATAGCCAAGGGGGGCGGAGGAGGAGGTGGTGGCCACCACCATGGCAGCTACGACTTGGGGAGCATGGGAAATGGAGGCGAAATCACGTACGAGGACATGCACGGATGCGAAAGTGGAAAGGTGATTCCGGCGGCCAGGGACATGATTTTCAATCACTACTCGCGACACGGAGAAAGTGACGGAGCTGGTGAGGATTACGCCGAGGAGCTGGACGACTTCGTAGACCTAAGGGATGGCTGGTTGTGAATAAATACTGAGAGATGTGCGCCAAATCCCCACCGATTAATTATAAAATTCCTGGTAGCAACAGCGATCCCCTCTCCACATTTGCACTTGCAAATTGCTGACGAAGCTTGAGACTCAAAATTCCAAAGCCCCCGGAATTTGTGTCTTTGTCTTTCGGCTACCAATTCGCATTTGTATTGTTTAATTAGAAATCAGGGGGCTGGCGAGAGGATTGGGTGGGGCTTTTCGAGGGGCTTTCAGAGGGGATAGAGTCCAAAGGCAGAGACTTAAACTTCTTGCAGTCGCGGCGCACTTGAGGAAAACTTGAAGTATTTGCATAGCTCTCGACTCGGGCATGCGGCATATTTTAGTGGACAATTAAAAGAAACGAGTGTCAATGGCTGTATAAAGTGAATGGAAATAGCAATGGAAATGGGAGATTCACAGATCCGAATAGGATGGCCAGAAAAGCTTTGTTACTTTAATATATTGGCAAGGCAAACATCTTTTGAGTGGCAGAAGAAAACAACGAATTTAATTAGTATCTTTAAAAAGTAATTTTTTAATTGAACTATTAATTAATTTAATTCAAGATCTTGGAATTATTTGGCAAATTTCAAAGTACAGAAATCCTAATCTTGAATTTCGACCTCAAAAATCATATTTTTTGGCCAAAAGAATATAAAAAACTATCGGAGCATCAAGTGCTATACCTTGCTGAACTCGTAATTAAATTCCCAATCGATAGGCATTCAAAATAAGGAATATTAATTTTTGTCAATTTTTTGCAAAAAATCACCCCTTATAAAAAATTCAAAAAATGGCCAAATGAATTATTTTCTTAAATAAGTTACAAAGTGTTGGGAATCGTTAGTTTAGCTTATTCGCTGTTCAAAACAGTTATCCTTTCCATTTTGACTCCCATTTGGACCAAAATAGAGGTAAAATACCCCTAAAAATCTTAGCTTTTTGAGTCCTTTTCTTTTTTTTCAATTTTTAAGTTTTCTACAAACATTTATAAAACCACGAAAAAATCTTAATATTCAAATATTAATTTAAATAAATAGGGAATTATTTCACATATTTCCATTTGTCTACCCCAAATAATTCAAGGAAATAATTTCAAATGGCTCTCGATCACTTGAGCGTCAAACTCATAATTCCCCTCTCATTTTAATCGCCTTTGGAGCATCCCCATTGGAATGGGTTTCTAATCCGCCTTTCCCAAACACCCATTGATCAATCAATTTAATCGCTGCCAGGGCGACCATGCGAACTGGAGCATCAGATTGGCATCGGTTGGCCGGCGCTTGACATAAGGCAGATGGATCACTGGCAGATGCCTCCGTCTCCAATAATGATAAGCTCAGAGTAGAGATTCCCCTCATTCCCATTTCGAGATGCGAAACCAGGTAAACGTAAACACAGGTGCCGCCGTTCGCTGAGCGCAGAATAATTTGCGTGTAATTGAAGGCGACAGCGCGTCACGGGTTGGGATGATAAATGCGTCTGCCGGCTCCACGAGGATGAGGAAAACCCGATCCCCTGGAGGAGGGATCCCATCCTATAAAGACTCGCGACGGGTGGTCGGTCGGTGGTCAGTGGTCGCACTTTCGGCTGCTGCTGCTGCTGGCGCCAAACCAACTGGTCAACTGGTCAAATGAAATGGATGGGGGGCCATTTAAAGGCATTTAGCTGGTAATGACATTTAAGGCCAGCGATATAAATCGCACCACAACATTGTTGCACCGAATCGAAACGAAGCGAATTAAAGCCGCACACGCACTCGCACCGCCTTCGACAGATGAAGTTGTTGTTCCTCTGAGCCACATCTAATCCCCTGGACACGTGGTAAAGGCTCGGAATCAACTGAGCGGCTTAAACATTGAGCCATTGAGCCATGCACAAAGGGAAAAATGTGCAAGCGAAAAATAACTATAAACCATTATGAATGAAAACCCTTTTAAATAATAAAGTGTTTACTTTGTGAAGGCGAAAATGTATATAGATTTTTTAAGCACTTCAAATATGTGGGATTTTTTAAAAAGGCACCAAACACTTAAAATATGTGGGATTTTAAAAAAGGGATTTTTACAAAAGTAATTACTCGAACATTAGAATTATAAGAATTATAAGAATTATAATTTATAAATATAAAAAAATGTGAAAAATAAAAAAAATTAAAAATATACGACCAAAAAATAATTTAAATACAGGATTCCCAGATGAAAATGTTTTAAATTTTTGTTGTGTAAAGATGTAATAGCTAAAGTTTTCCAAACTAAAGGTTTTCTTTTAAATTAATAAAATTAATTTTTTGTAACATTTTCATGGCTAAATAATTTAATAAAAAATCGGTTGTTTCCCTGTTTTTATAAATGTATTCTAACTATTTATACTATACGATTTTTGGGTAATCTAGGAAGTCTAATTTAATTTGAATCAACCCAGAAAACTAGCTTTGCACGACATGCAATTTAAAGGAGTATAGCTATTTGATGGCAAAATCCTTTTTGCTCTGTATGAGCCACTGAGCTGCTTATGTCCACCGATGACGAGCTGAGTCCGCAGAGCTTTGTCCATCAGTGGCTGGGCTTTAGCCCCACCATCTCCGCCTCTATTTCCATACCCCCCTTATATATCCACCTCCATGTCCGTCTTTTTGGATACCGGCTTTATTGGATACGTTAAGCCTCTGCACATATTTGCATCCTGGCTGGGCGAATGGCTGGCGGCAACAAAGCGTAAAACGATTTGGCCAAAACCAAATAGGCAGTGGACCAAAGTCGGGTCCAATGTATTCGGAATGGACCTGGACTACACTGGATTGGGTATTTGAGTTACCTTTACAATATTTGGCTGCTCTGGGAAATGCCTCCAAATGCTAAATACATTTTGTGTCGTTTGCCCGGCATTTGATTTGCTTGCTTTTCACTCTCCACAGCCTGCGGTCTAAATAAATGTATTGATTTTAGCAAATGGCTTTTGCGCAGCCTGGAAAAACCCTCAATCTCTATTTGTACAAGTGTGTTGCAAGCTCATGTACTAGCAAAAAAAACAAGGGATTTTTATGACAGCTTCTATTCCTATTTTTATAAAATTTCACTCAATTTTGATACAAAAAAACCGGAAAAATTATATTTTTTATATAATAAATAAGTGTTATTTTTTTTAAGCTTCAATAAATGTACTAACAATAACAATGCTTGTTTTATGAAAGTTTCATCTTCTTTTATTTTTATAATTTTTTTGAAGTGTTTTAAAAATTCTAAAAAATGTATTTTGATTATAATAATATAGCAATAATGTTATAATTATTTTCCCCTACTTCCCACTTTATAAACCCACACTTTCAAACTGAGTTAAGCTGCTTTTCAATCATCCGCCGGACATTTAAGCTTGCAAAGTCCCATCATCGATTGACGTGCTTTTCCCCTGTGTGTTCATTTCGTAATTGAGGCAATCCTTTCACCGTCCCTTTCACCACTTTCACCCTTTCTCTACCTTGTTTACCCATCGTCTAGCCTTTGATTTTTCATTTTTACCCGTCCACAATTTTTGGCCATTTGGCTGTTTGCTTAATTGGTTTCATTAGGGAAATATTCGGTTTTCCATTCTGGGGCTTAATTTCTTCAACACCCGGCCACTTACCGTCGTCCTTTCTTTTCGCCGACCGGAGGATGCCAAAAAAACGACGCTCCTGAATGTGAATCGCACCTGAAAGTACAGGGAGTGAAGGAGAAAAGTTAGAAAAAAGTTGGTCCAAAGTATAAACTTTAAGGTGGAAAAGTTTTTTGGCAGGAAAGGGAGAAAAGGACTCCAGTTACACGTGTCGCAGGAGCAAAAACAGCCTGACTAGGCGGCATAATTTCCACAGAGTGACAACTAAATAAATAGAAGAGGGTGTCAGGTGGAAGGGGCAGCTGAGCTGGCAAAGTTTCTGAGCTCAGTGGCAAGGATGCGGCCACTTCGTCTGAGGCACTAATTTTAACACCATTAATTTGCGAGGCAGGAGCAAAAGGAGCAGTCAGGAGCTTGGAGATAGAACAGAGAATTTTAAATGAAATGGACACAAGTTTTATTGAATTGACTGGCAGCAGCAGCAGGGACAAGGAGAAGGAACCCGCAGAAAAGGACAGAGGATCTGGATTCTGGATGGCAAGGAGCCGGGCCGGAAACGGAAACGCATTACTCTGCTCCTTTAAGCGAACAGGAGCCTCTGCTTCTCCTCCTGCTCTTTTTGTTGTTCGTGTGGCCAGCACTTTGCCCCACACGTTTACACGCAGGCTTAGGGAGGTCAAATGGGTGGTGCACCGGGGAAAATATAAAATTAAACATATAAAAAATATAATCCCTGCTTTTTTTAACTGATAGAATTAAGACTAAGCTTATCAGAAGATAGAAAATCACAAGTCACAACAAGATTTAGGGACTTAAAACTTAAGACACGTCAATTTAGAGAGTCTTGTTTTTTATAATATTTATTTAAATTTCCTTAGCGTTTTCCATTAAAAACCCAATAATAATACGAATATATAAATCCTTCATTTATTGCCTTGAACACGTTTTGTAAAAATTAAGGATAATTTAATTGTAACTTCAAAAAATGTAATTCGAAAATCTAAAAAAAAATGTATCATTTCATTATTATTTTTATTGGGTAAAATTATTTCTTCCCTTTCAATTGTATTGTTTAACAATATTAAGGTTAGATCAATAAGATCTTAAGTAACGCCTATTTTTCTCAGTGTAACTATAGTAGGCGGGGGTCTTGCCACCAATCAAAAAGAAGCGCCAGCCAACCAGAAGTAGAAGTTGTGGCAAAGTTTTTGATTTCATGATATATTTATGGGCATCCGCTGCTACTTTGGGCCTGGGCCCCATCCAATTCCTTTGAGTAATAAACCGGGGCCCCCAAAGGCCGCTGCAAAGGATGCGGCTTACAACTTTAACTAGAAGTTATTAATTTTGTTTTATTTTCAATATATATTCGGTTTAAAGGGGCTGCTCGAATATTGCATAATACATTTTTAAAATGTAGGATGATTCAGTGGTTTTTGCGGTCTGTGGCACGTACAAAACCTGCTAACACAGATACCAATCGTTGGGAATTTATTCGAATGCGGTTTGGTTTCAGGTACTTTTGTAAATTTCATCTGCAATTTGCGCAGCCAAAGCGAACCGATAAGCCGGCACTAATATCCCGCAAAGGACTCGCATTGTCCACTATCGCAGATGGGAATTGGTCATGGGTTTTAACTGAGTTTGTTAATGGAAAAAATCGACTCGGCCTGGATTCAATTAAATATTAAATAAACGATATCAGCAAACAGCAATTTCCTCTGCTTTCCCCTCCCTTTTCCTCGCAAAAACATTGGTGAATCCACTGGTATTGAAGAGAAATGCAAACACAATTGCAAATGCCCGGGAAAACTTTATGAGCCAGCGTAATCCTGGCAATTATCTGCTGCCATCTCTGTCCCCCATTATCTGCTCTCTCTCGCTCGCTCTTGCTTTCTGTGCAAAGGAGATGGACCTGGACAGGAGCAAACATTATCTCAATATTGCATGAAAGTATGAAATGAACCACATGCAGGATGCACTGGAAGAAGTCAATAATAAGATTTTTGGAAATAGATTTTTGTTTCATAAAACATTTTGGAAAAAAAAACATTTCAATTTAAATAGACTCTTTTGAAATTATTTTAAGGGTGTTTGAAAGTAGGAAGTAAAAACATTTCGTTTATAGAACAGAATAAAGGGGATTCTAGGGATCAAAAAATATTATTGCATACTTTTAGACACCTTGAAAATGTTTTTTTTTTCTGCTAAAGTCAAAAATTGAGGTATCTAAATTGCTTTAAATTGGCATCGATGATATTTTAAGAAATCAACTAAAAAAGATTAGTCATTTGGAAGGACAATTTTTAAAGTTTTAGTGAAAATCTAAATATTTATTTAAAATTATAATTTAATTGCAGTGATAAACATTTATTTTAAGTGTATTTAGAACGTGTTGCTGCATGGACATTAAATTCAGATGAGAAATGATTTGAACAGGTGCTGCAGTGGCATCAGCAAAAGCAAAAGAAGCCATGACGAGGAGAATGCGAAGGAGGAGGATGAGTTCCCCATTCTCATCCTTCCGTGGAAGTGGGTGGATTGAGAGAGCTTGGCAAAAAGACTAATTATGTATTCATTAAAATGGCAAACGGCAGAGGGATGCACGTAGCTCGAGTACGAATGTCTGTGCGGAGCATCTGCATCCTGGGCATCCCTCGCATCCTTTGCATCCTTCGACTCCAAATGGCAACGAAATGAAAATACTGCAGCCGAAGGGTTGGAAAAAGGTGAGCAGTCATGAAGGCATTTCGTTGGCATATAAGTACATATATTTTCTGGCATAATGGCCCCCGTTTTTGTGTGTGCTTGCAGATCTGTTCTCACATTTTGATTATATCTATCTTGGTAACCTAATATGCAATGACGAATGTGTGAGCCCATCCTCTTCCTCTGACTCCCAACTCAGAGCTCCATGAATAGAATACCCGGGTAATGATTCCTAAATACACACATTTATCATATTTGCACGAGTTTTCTTTGAATTAAGTTGGGAAAGTCTGTTAATGTGTGGGGAGAAGATTGAATTTTTGTGTTGGTTAAGAGACTCTGGGGAGGAAAGTAGTTGGGAGAAACTCTTTGATGAGGTATTTAAAATAAAATGCTTTAAGTCAACCATTCCTTATAAGATGGTTACTAAATTTACTCCTGATGAAGTAATAAATAAAATGCTATAAATATTTATATATCAACTTGAATCATATTATACTTGAATAAACTAAAACCATTTCTTATAAGTTGGGTATGCAATTTACTTTATTTAATGAATATAAGAATATAAAATTTATAAATCTAATGCGTTATCTTAGTTTCTTCCTTAGTTCTCAGTTGGTTCTTTCGGTCAGTTTAATCTTTTCAAGGCTTATCACTTGGAGAAACCTCCAAAGATGCCCTTGAAGAAGCGGTAAATGGGTTTTGGGATCTCCACGGCAAACAGGACAGAGCTCTCCTCCTCCTCCGGGACAACTCCCACTGGCTCAGCAGACGGGACACTCTTTCCGCTGCCCAAAGATTGCTTCTCGAATAGTTTCTGCTGCTCACTGAGATGGCTGAGGATCAACTGCTGGATGGCAGCCTGCTCCTTTTGAAGTTGGCTAAGACCATTGTTGGCCTGCAGCTTAATGGGCTGACTCACATGGACATTGGTGGCCTTGATGAGATCCTGGAAACTAATGCTTCCTGAAGCAGAAGCCTTTCCTTGTTGGAATTCCGGAGCGGGAACGAGAAGAGGAAGAGAAGCCAGGTTTACTGGGAAGAGGACATCTCCCTTTTGACCATCAGCGTTAACCTGATTGGCCAGGGGATTAGGAATCAGATAGAAATTGGGCTTCTGGGATTGCTGCTGTTGCTGCTGCTTCTGCTGATCCTTCTGGGTTTCCTCCGAAAATCCGCGGAATTTTCCAAAGTATTCATAGGTGACATTTTCCTGGGATCCAGTATTCTGATTCTGGTTCTTATAGAAGGGATTCGGTAGGAGCACCAAGCTGAGACCCACGACCTTGGGGAAGTCAGTAAAAGGATTGGGCAGGAAGGGGAATGGCTTGGTCTCCTCGTGAATGTGGGTGTGATAGGTCACATTACCCGTGGTGGAGTTCGAAGTCTGATTAACGCTCACATAAATGGGCTGCTGTTGCTGCTCCAGTTTCTCGAAGGGATTGGGCAGGAAGGGGAAGGGAAATCCGGGCTTCTTCTGGTTGACATAGTAGTGAGTGTGGTTGTGCACGTGCTCGGTCACATTGGCATTCGCTGAGGTGTTCACCACGGAAACATATTCCACCTTGGGATAGGAACCTTGGAACTTGTTGAAGTGGTTCTGATACTGATTCGAGGAGGACTGAGTTCCATTGATCACCTGCACTCCGGGATACTTGAAGATCTTCTCTAGATCTTGAATGGTCAGTTGGGGATATTGGTTCTGAGTTTGACCCGGCTGTTCAAACACCAACTGGATCTTATTATCGCGAGCCTGTTTGTTATTATGCTTTTGGGGAATCACTTCTTCTTTAGGGAGTTCCTGATCCTTGGTTATCTCATTGGAGGTGGGTTGTACTTCTTGGACTTTGGGTTCTTCTTCTTTTTTAGGGAGTTCCTGATCCTTAGTTATCTCATTGGAAGTGGGTTGGACTTCTTGGACTTGAGGTTCCTGGTTTACTTTGGTAACTTCTGGTTTGATGACTTCCGAAGTATCCACCTTGGCATCAATGGAGTTAACCAACTCAGGTTTTTTTTCCTGGACAACTTGGGTATCCACCTGGGGTTGTGCTTCATTGGTGAGTTCCTGTTTTAATTCTACGGGTTTGATAGCCTCAGAAGACTGTTGGGTCGGTAGCTCTGGTTGGGTTTCCTGCTTCACCTCCGCATTTTTAGTTTCTTCGGGTGAAGAGGCAATCTCAGGAGTCTTGTCCTGATCCAGGACTCTTCCCTGAGTGGCCAGTAGAAGACCAAGAAGAACCAGAAGTCGTAGGGTATTCTAGAGGAGAAGTTGGAATAATTGAAGTACTACCCAAAGACTCTCTTCCTCTCCCGGTGGACTTACCATGATGAGGATTTCAGTTGAACTGTGCCTATCCAGAATATTCCCTGCATATTTATACCCAACCTGGACAAAGGTCACTTCCCTAATCTTTCAGAACCGGAAACGTTCCTCAGTCGATCAGCTGGTTTTATTTCAGCTATCTAACATTATATCCTCGGGGCACTTTGGGTTCTCTTTTGCTATTATCGCTGCGATTTGTGTGATTTGTGTTTGGTTCACTTCACTTAAAAAGGCGCCAGTGGCAGTGGAATATCGGTAAAAATGGAATTGCACTTAAGTTTATATTGTGTGTGTGGCAGTGCTATCTGTTCTCCTTCTTCTTGCTTTTATTTGGTTCGTTTTACGTGCAACATGAAAATGCCATTGTTTCCGTGGCGCACAAACGGAAATCTATGACTCGCTTTTCAATGTTTTTGCTCGATGGAAAAATGCACGGGCAGGAGTGCAAAAGACTGTCGTCTGTGTTGAGGAAAGTGAGTAGGGAGTAGTGAGTAGCAGGAGCAGCTTAAGGCTAAAGTGGGTTGGGAAAAAGAGGGCGGGAAAAACTGGGTGGGATTTTGGATTCTCTGGGATACTGGGTGCAAGTGCACATCAGCTGCATATTCATGGCAAGAGCTTTATCTTCCGAACTTTGTCTCCGCCCCATTTACCCGGAATTTCCCATTGACATGTCGCCAGGTGAGCGATGAGTCCTTCGTCCTTCCTACCTGGTCATTGACATGACAAGTGGAGGAGGGGAGGGGGATGGGATAGGGATAGGGAAATATTTGGCAGAAGGAGAAGGCGACTGACTGATTCATTCATCTCCTGCTGGGCTTTGTAATTGAATTGCCCGATGCATGGCTCTCGCATTTTTGGCATACTCCGATTTGATTGAAGGTTTTTGTCGTTGACAGGAAAACTCCCACTGATTTGAATCGATTTTCGGAGTTGGTCAAAACGAGGGGAAAACGATATGCAGTAAAAAACAAAGGAAATTGAATATTTACAATACAATTTACTAATTCAAGTCAAGAAAATCAAAAACAATGGCATGACTTATTGTTCTTGTAAGTCAACCTCATAATCGGATTAAAAGAAATTAAGAAAACTTAATTCAAATGCAGATTGAAAAGCATTGGAGATAAATTGAAAGAATTTTACAAAGAAGAAAACATCCCTTGGAAAGAATATTTTTTTTGTTAAAATATTATAAAGGTATTGTTTATTAAAACAATACCTAAATTCCACAGTAAATCGGAGTTCCTTAATCACTTCCCAAATAAAAGTCCAACTAATCAGGAACTCTTGTAATATCCCCCTTAATTTCTTTTCCTGCTAAGGTTTTTATTCAGTTTCATTTGCCCAGTTCCATTCATGCATAATTTACACCTGAAAATACAATCAAGGTGCAATTATTTTCCTTTTTTCCGACAATGGAAAGTGTGGCTTTTTCCTCATTGGGATTTCCGTTTTTCTTATTTAGGCGTTGAAAGGAAACTAAAGCCTAAGCACTTGCCAATTGAAAAATTCAAAGAGTGAAAATGAACAGGGAACTAAAATCCAGAACTATTTCAAACAAGAGGAAACCTGAACTCAAAGTCTGAAGCTGAAAAATAAAATAAGGCTAAAAATGCTGCTGGGCCAAGAAATTGTTTTGCACAGCGGCAGATGAGCTGTTGAAATTGCAAGTGCGGCACTTGCTCAATTTTTCATGAGCCTCCCACTATTCGATTTCAGCTTCTCCGATGGTGGGGCAATACCAGTTGGAGTCGACTTGGGGTTACCCTTTAATATTGAGTAATTAAATAAATAATAAAGTATTTTTAAAGGAAGAACATTTTATACCCAAAGAAATTTATTTGTGAATAAGTATTTGTTAAAAACTCTTTCTGTTTTCAAATATGTATTAATTGTTTTTTGGAAATATTTATTTACTTATTTTAAAAAAATATTATACAAGTCATGGCCAGGATATTAATACAAATATTTATTTAGTTAATAAGCTTAATAACTTCTTATTATTTAAAAAATATTTATATATTATATTATGGCCAGGATATAAATATAAATAGTTATTAAGCTAATAAGATAAATTAACTCTTAACTTCTTTTACAAATATCTCAATTATATTATATCAATTCTAAGTATTGAATAAAATTCCACTTAATATACCCTACATACCCTCTCCACAATGAACTCCTCCCAGCAGCTGAAAGACGTTGAAACTAAGGCGCAGGAATTCGCCTGAGCCGCAACCCACACAAGCTGGGCCCAAAATCGCAACTTTGGAGATGCAAAACGAGCAGCAGTGGACAGAGGAGTCGAAAGGGGGTATAAAGGGAAAAGGGGGTTTTGTGAAAAGGCGAAATTAGCGGGCTGTTCCCTCGGCAGTTCCATGAGCATCCATCGCATCGTGGCCAGACAATGAGGCGAGCTGCGGCCCTTGACTTGGCCAGCTCTGAGGTCCAAGCTCCGAACTTCAAGCTCCGAACTCCCAGCTCCAAACTCCCAAGACCCCAAGAACCGAAGGCACACGAAAATAATAAGGAATGAATGTAAATAAATGGGGCTAGGGGTAATGGCAACGAATGGACGACAAAAACAGAAACCCCAAGAGGGGGAGGCCGAACGAAGGGGGCCAGAAGACGACGCCCAAGGCCAAGGCAGCATCATCATCATGGTCAGTGAGATAAGCCAGGGACCTGGATCGCAGTTGCAGTTGCAGGCGAGGGTACGTAGCACGGCAGCCCACCACAGTCGAGGGAAAGATAATAGAAACTATATTAAAATAATACAGACTGTATAAATTACGATCCAATGCGACCCATTTTCATTGTTTTTAAATAGTTTTAAAATTAAAAACCCACAGAAATGTATTATTTTCTAAAAAATATATATGGAAAATTAAATGGAAAATTCTCTTCTCTTTGAAGGTCTTAATATATCTCAATTGGAAATCATAGAAGTAATAGAGAAGACCAAATCTTTCTGTACTCAAAATATATTATTGCATACCTTTAAGCATCTTGGTAAATGATTTCAATAGGGAATTTAAGGAAATTTATAAGGAAACATAACCATAACGAACATAATCATTTTCTGACTTATAATATTCTGTTATACAGTATTCTCTTATATAATATTCAGTTTGTTCTATAACGAATAACAGAAAAACTGTAATGGTAAGCAATTATATACTTTTTAGTAGTCATAAATCCGCACCTATTTTCATCACCCCTGCTGTGCCTTTTGGAGATTCTTCTGGCTGAGTTCCTCGGCTCTTTTCTCCTGTTTCTTTTCTTTTCCTTTTAGTTTTTTTTTGGGCCAAGCCGAACTCTTTCATTTTGGGTGTGTGCAGTGCAGCGGCGATAAGATCAACGTGTGAGCCTTTGCTCCACCAGTGGAAGCAGTGGAAGCTGTGGCATCTGCAGCAGGTGTTTCGCTTTCAGGTGCTGCCACACAATATGGGTAACAAGTTGCACCATCCTGGCTAAGTTTATCGCCACATAATTCACACGGAGCCCTCAGCCGGGAAAGGGAGAGGTGGCCTCCACCACCTCATCCACCTCCACACGCGAATTGATTGACTCCCGCTGGTAAAAGTGGGAGTAGGAGTGGGAAAATGGAAAAATCAAATAGCCCGGAGCGGGATGAGGAGGAGCAGGATCGAATGAATCCACCTGCAACAGAACACTCAGCCAGGACCACGCTCCACTAGGCAAATATGGCAGGCGACACAAAGAGCTGGCATATACCAGTATCCTAGTATCCCAGCACATCCCACATTCATCACATCCGCATGCCGGTGCCATCAAGATCTGGCCATCATCGCCCATCTCCCATCCTCGCTTAGAATTCAAAACATTTCAGACAAATTGGCGTTGCTCTTTGAGCCCCAATGTGTGACAAAATGGAAGGCAAACAGGCCAGAGAATCCCCTCCAGCCTCCATTCTCCTCGGTCTCCTCCAACTGGACAATGCAGGAGTGCAGCAGCCCTTGTTTAATTTATGCCAAAACATTTCTGAAGCGACGTTGACGACGTCATTTAGTTTGTCGGACTCACATTGGCCCACAGCAGTTAGCCCTGTTCTCGCCAGATCCCAGATCCCCCGGCAGATCTGGCCTGGGATTGAGGTGTCACTTGATATGCAATAAATAAGCTGCTGGGAAAAGTGTTAACGAGCCTGAAGGGGCAGGAGGTGCTGGCCATAAGTGGTGCACAGTGGGGAAAAATAGTAGGTCAAGCCTTAAAGTTTGAGAAATAATAAAAAGTAAATAAATAAGTGGATGGAGTGGGTATATGTAAGGAGAATAAAAGCGGTCCTATATGAACAAAAATCACTCTATATTAAAAAAAAAATAATTTAATAATTAAGAAGATAAAATTAACAGTAGGTATATGGAAACTAAATATTTCTTCTAGCTTTTTCAGGTAGATTAAAAATATAATTATTAGAATTAAACAATAAATAATGAAGTACATAAATTAAGTGGGTATATTTAGAAAATCAAAGTGCTTAGATACATAAATCCTTAACTAAAAACTATTGGAATTTACAAATTAAAATATTTAATATAGTTTTATAGTTGCTGCTGTTTTGAAAGAAATATCAAATATATCTATCAACAACTGCAATTTTTATAAAATTTTTAAAATATATGTTTTTATATCTGTATGTAGAATTTAAATGCTTGAAGGCTTTTAACTTGTTCCTTTTATTAATTTGTTGACAATTTCAAATTACACCTATATTATTTTCTCTCAGTGTATGGGGGAAGCCTCTGTCGAGGGCCTTTGGACTCCGGAGAGAGCTACTTTTGTGCTGTCTGTGTTTTTCCAGCAGCTTGCAACGCCTTGGCGCCACAAAATGAACGCCATTCATGGGGCAACGTGCAACGACAAGAATGTGACCCATTTTTAGCACCAGTAGCCATTCTCACCTCCCCCTTCCTCGAGTTTCCCCATTCCCCCTCACAAAAGAAAAGCCCCACCGAGTATGCTGTTGTTTGTCTAAATGTTTGCCCATATATGGTACAGCCAGCTATATAAATATGTGAACAGCTTTTAGCACCTTGCCCCCGCACTCGAGTGGAGTTCTC